CCTGATGCCCGCCAGAGGGTCTTGGTTTCTTTGACCGAGCGGGTGGCAGGGTCCCCGTCCAATATCCACTTCCATCAATTCCATGAAACTTGGGAGGAGCGGACGAACGATGTAGAGTCGCGCTAACGGAAGACGTACAGCGCAGCCGGACATCGTGGGGACCGAGAAACCGATCGGTTTTCTGATTTTGCTAGCCTGTCTCGTATCTGGTGCCTTACATGCTGGACGCTGCTATCGCTCCCGACGAAGCATTGAGCAACTGGAGAGGATGCCAACACATCCCGAGCTAGGGATTTCAACGATAGGGGTCTTTGATTGTCTGACTGGAAAATGTCCGGCGCGAACGAATTTCGGACGCCACTGAATACAGTGGGCGACAGTCTGGCGACACAGTCTGGCGACACAGTCTGGCATCGATCGATGCCTGTTCTGCTGAGGATGACAGCCAGATGATGATGATCACTTAAAACCCTGGTCTGTCCGAAGGACGAGTAAGAACCGTAGGGTGGAAGTTACTCGTGTCCACGATGGGCATTATGGACGGAGATAGGTCAGTATTATCCACCAAGTAAATTGAAGTGATGTGCTCATTCGGGAAGCACTGAGTCTCCCTATTCCGCCCGTAAACCAGTCGGAATGGGGGATTGCAGTCTGAATGGCAGAAAGCTCTCCACTCCCTTCCAAACCTGTATCCTGGCCGATGTCAATTTCATCTGCCGAACTGGGATGAGATGGCCGAAGTGGGTGTGAAGGATCAAGGAACCACGGTAACAAATCCAAAAACGAAGAAATGATGCCGCTGCGTGTCTCTCAACCTCGCCCCGAGCCGCACTTGCATTCGCTCTCCCTGCCCTATCCATCACTTCTTTACGAGTCACCGTCGAGCAAGTAGAGGGCGATTGTCCATTCATAGAACGACAGCGACATCTTTACACGGTTCATCAGTCCTCCACCCGTACCTACATTGCAATCACCCACCCTCGCCGTCCAACTGTCTCCCCTCAAACAATCCCTCCGCTCCCGAGAGCAGTGCATAGTGCAGCCGGCGTCCCTAGCCTACCAGCCCAGCCCTCCTGGGTGGCAGCACGCCCACTGTCCACAGCGGAGCGCGGAGCAGACAACAGGACAGCACTGTGCCGTTCCCTGCCGCTGGTCACGGACCCTTTCTCTCCGACCAGATGGCGACTGGCTCACTGCTGGACACGACAGCGCTCGTGGAGGCGGGCGAGCCAGCGTGAGAGGCAGAGAGGCCAGGCTTTCCCTGGTGGGGCCAAGGCGCGACGAGAGGGCTGCAGGCGGTGCGGCACAGCTGCAGGACGTGGGCCACGGCAGGGTCGTTTTTGCTAAATCCCAACAAGACGAATCCTAGGCCGGCGCTGGTACCACGGAGCGGCGCGTGCAGGGCGTCGGATTTGGGATGGTCGGTTCTTTGAGAGGGTGGAGCTTATTCTTCCTGACTGCCATAGGCTTTTGAGGAGTCAATTGCGGTGTTCTTGCTGGTTTCGCGGATTGGGACAAAAGGGGGTGATTTCGTGATTTCGTCGAATCAGTCGGAACCAGACGAATTGGAGACGACGGGACAGCAAAGCCGCGAAGTGATCGAACAATATCCCAAACAGACAACAGTATTTTTCTCCAGAGCTCTTTTTCGGCGAGAAGGGACCCATAATATTTCCTTTTCCCGCTCGCATGTAAAGCGAGATCATCGAAAAAGCAGCACATGCAGCCACGCAGGTAAGGGAAGCCGACCGACATATCAGCAAGAAAGACAGGTTCCCCATTCCACGTTTCCCCAAGGAGCTGGACCACTGAGATACCAAGTCGGCAGCCGTGTTTCGTCCCGTTTTCTATACGGGTTATCTCTAATCCTGCAGAGTACTGCTGCTATTCTTACCCCATCTCCACTGTACGGGAGAGGACCGCGACACTGAGACACTGAGAAAGGATCGCCGGAAAAAGCCCAGCATCACTGCTTGACGCATTTTCCTGTTCCACGACCCCGCCACACCATCATCCCACTGCGCACCGCCGTTTCTGTTTCGTGGTTCAATCCGGCAACAGCAGCAGTAGCGAAACGCAACGCGGACTACGCAACCACACACACCGACGACGCATAGTCGCAGAAAGCGGTACCTTTTTCGCTTGCGCACACGAAAGAGCCGCATCATCTGCGATCCAGGTTCCAGCGGATAAGTCGGATTTCTTGACACGACGGTTCTCTGGTCAGATCGAAGCCGACGAGCCTGGGGGAACGGAATAAGGATTCATATTCTTCGAGCATTGCGTTGGCAGAAGCATCCCAACCCCAGACCCGAACCAACCAAGCAAATCCTTTGCAAACGCTGGGACCGGCGCGGCGACAACCCCCGTTACCGTCGCCGGCCTAACCCTGAATCGGAGAGTCACTTTTCCGGAGGCCCGGGATCCGCTCTGCTAATCCTCCCGACTTTTCCGAATTCCCCTTATCTGCACTCCGACGATTTCTTACCGTTAACTTCAGCCAACGACCGCTCCGAGACGCCAACCAATCGTAGTGCGCGATCCTAGCACCGCGACTGATACCGCGAAAGTGAATCCTGGTCGATTCCCCGTGGTAAAAGCGGAAGGTTGGAATAACGGACGCTTGGTGAAGAAGGCCAAAGAGGGTTCGTTCGACGACGGTACGACTGGTCTAGTGTGGCTTTAGACAGTTGAAAGTCAAAAAGACTGGGTGGAGTTTTGACTGTGGTACTGACAGCTGCTGAGTGCTGGGACGTGCTTGTCGGTTATCTCTCTCCCCTCTGAGGAAAGGCGTGGTGGTCGAATGTGAAGTGGTGGCTTCTGGCGTTGGCCGCTATCGTCATCAAACTTTTTCGATTCCGTTATCTTCAAAGAGAGTGGCAAGGAAGGGTAAGGAAGTTATCAACGTGGTCAAAGAATACTTTTAGGTGAGTTGCCGCGGATATAAGCACATCTGATTTCTTTCTTTCTTGGATCTACAAGCTACTGTGGTTCTCCGGTATGATGTTGATTGCTGGATTTCACGGTCTCATCCATTCGCTTCTGATTATGTTATTGTGGATGGTGTTGAATGCTCTGTTGGCTGGAATAGAAGAGTGTGTGCGTGAGAGGGAGAGTTTGTGGTGGTCGATGTGGACATATGGTGGTCGGTGGGCGTGGTGGGGTAGGGTCATGGGTGGTGGACTGGTGGTGGCTCCTGCGCCCGGCTTCTAGCACTAGACCCCCCTAGATCCCCCCTAGACCCCCGACCGACCGCCCGGCCCATAACCAGCATTGGCCTCATCCCGGCGACCAGACCCAGTCACCCAGCCTCCTCTAACAACTCACTCACGCACGCGGAGAGCTCTCTCTCAAGCTCTGAAGCTCTCACGACCGTCCACCATTCACCACCACATTCCCAATCCCATCTCCTCCACCAGCCCATCCAACACCTCCAACACCTCCACCACCCTCCTCTCCCTCTTGCACTCTTTCGCTCCCTCTATTCCTCCTCGCTCTCTTCCTTTAACCCTGCTTCTCCTCCTCCGCCAACCCCTCCACTTCTTCCCTCATTCGCCATCATTGCGCCTTTTCCTCTCGACTCCACCACTCTCTCACTCACGCTGGACCACTGCCGCTTCTCTTCCTTTCTATCCCAACCTCCTCTGAAATTCTTCCTTCTTTTATCCCTTCTCACCAACCTCCCCGTGAGAAAAAGATTTCTCTCCCTTACCCCCCTGGCCCATCTGCGGCGCTTTCCCTTCCTGCATCGTTGTGTGCTGTTCCCACACCATAGACGTGAATGTGTTGGTGCTCCCGTCCTGCATGCATGCGCTTCTCTGTTACCGTTGAGCTACTCGCCTTATCATAAAACACCATCGTACTGTACATTGGAGCTGACATGACCTTGGATGCTTGTCACAGTTGATTGACGTTGGTTGGATTGGAACGAGACCAACGACGTGCGACGACTTTAACGACCTGGAACGAAGAAATACGTTTAGAATTGACCTCCCACGGCTCCATCTCCCAGAAGGCAGCTTCCCCACCCTCTATCACTGCCCTCAACTATCGCGCAAGGATTGCATCTTTACGACTTTCTGTTGGGTCCGGCTGTCAAGTCAATTACAGAAGAGCTGAGAAAAGATACTTTACAATTCGAGCGAAACAAAAGCTCGCGAAACGAAACATCAGGAAGAAACGACCCGCCGCAGATCATCAGCAACTCATCTCGTCTGGACGATCACGAACCATATTCCTGCAAAGTTGCAACGACACGATTTTTTTACGATTGCCCGTCCCTTCGTCACAGCATTGAAGCGTTCCAGTTGTTTTTAGTACGACCCGAGACTTCGAAACCCAACACACCCCACCGCTAAGCGGCAACCTTCACCATCCTCGCAGAGCAAGAGAGAAGGCCATTCATCGGTTCTTTCGTGCCACGATATTCGCCGCTCCGTACCACCAGACCACCATTCTCCCCCAACGACAACGGACGCCACTGGGTGACTTCGGTGTCGCGCCCACCAGACGATCCCTGAGCTTGCTCTCGTTCCCGCTTCGGGTCCAATTGTTCGCTCCAGTCTTCTTTCGTCCCCCCTCCACCTCTTCCCTCGTTCTCTCTTCTCCTTTGGTGTAGCTGTTTGCCCACGTGTTTTCGGGGTAAAGGCTGGAAAGGACGACATTGTCTCATATTCTCGACACGATCCCCCCAGGAGCAAACTTCGAAGGACTTTCAAGACCGTTGGTGCAAGCTGGAAGTAGCTCGCCCGTCGTGTCCTGCATCCACCTCTTATCACCTGCCGCCTGCTGTCGATCCTCCATTCCGGATCCAGCTCGCTTCCCGGTTACGTGCACAGATCCTGCAATCGAGCTTCCTTCCAATTCCTACCCACGGGTCCGGTTGCTAGGCATCGACGCAAGAATTGATCTTGCGCTAACCCGTGCCCGATCAACTTCACCATCGTGTGAAGTCCACCTCTCCTAATTTCTTTTTTGGCCCTTGCGGCCCATATCCCCAGAACACCGGAAAGCTGGAGCTCCCGTCGATTTCGCAGGTCCACCCTCGAGGCACAGTCGACGCGTCGTGGTACAATTCGCACTACACGCCACGCCCTGCTGTATCGAGTGAGCGCCTTCCCGGACTCCCTCAGATACAACACGCGAGTTCATCGACGTCCTCGTCGCCTCGGGGTGGATCGTTCAGTTCAGGTTCCGTCGGCGCTCACGATAGTGTCGGGTCCGCCACGTCCTATTCTTCATCCGTCAACGGCAACGCCGCCACTTTCAAAACGCCCTCACCGGAGAGCACCCCTCATTCGACCCGTAACGGTCACGCATTGCATGCACTAGGCCAGAACGGATCGCCGTACCCGCCGCAGAATCCAGAGGGATATCCTTGTCCGGAGGCCTACAACATGAATCAAATCCAGCCGTACGGCGATGTGCATGCGCAGCCACATGTGCCGTCAACGGGACCACCGCCGGCCATGGGGCACTATCAGCCATATCAGTCGCAGCCGTTGCCGCAGACGTACTCGTCCACGCCAACATCCTATACAGCGCCATATGCATATCCCAGTGCTCCTCAACATCAGCAACCACAAGCCTATCCACCGTCATCGTCAATGAGCAGTAGCTTGATGCCGATGACGCTACCAGGTATGTCTACATCGCATTTCCTTCGGCGGTGTGCTGAATATCCTGCTCTCCTGCACATCCGCTAACTCTACCTCCAGCCATGGCTTCAAATGCCACCGGTGTGACTTCGATAGGTGGCGCCCCGTACAACCGCGCCGAGCGCCCGTACGACGCTACGGGACAAGTTGCCCCTCCAGGAATGAAGCCGCGTGTGACGGCGACGTTGTGGGAGGATGAGGGGAGTCTTTGCTTCCAGGTCGAGGCGAAGGGCATCTGTGTTGCAAGGCGAGAAGGTAAGAGCCAGCTCCCAAAACGCGCAATTGATTTTCGTGTACCCTTGATGCACTAGGGCTAATCTGGAATTAGACAATCACATGATCAACGGTACCAAATTGTTGAATGTGGCTGGAATGACGCGTGGACGACGAGATGGCATCTTGAAGAGCGAGAAGACCAGACATGTGGTGAAGATCGGCCCTATGCACCTTAAGGGCGTCTGGTATGGGTTCCACAGCTTTTTTTTACCAGTCATGAGCTAACCAGTTGCAGGATACCCTTTGATCGTGCCTTACAATTTGCGAACAAGGAGAAAATCACCGAGCTGCTTTATCCCCTTTTTGTCCATGATATCGGTGCCTTGCTCTATCCCCCGAACCAACCGCGAACGGCGTTGAATGCCGGAGCGTTCGCGGCTACGCGAAGGGATGCTAGATATCTCCCACAAAGTACCCAAGCTCCGGGAACGCCCGGTCTTCATCACCACCACTCCATGAGCGTTGCAGCGGCTCCTCAGCCTTCAGGGGGTATTTCTCATAGTGGCCGACCTGAGCTTGGTCGCGCCCATACCTTCCCCACGCCACCCACGAGCGCGTCCAGCGTTATGGGCATGAGTACGCAAGGCAGCGCATACGAAGGCCAATGGTCCAATGTTCCTGGCATGCAAGCCAGTGGCCAGCCTCTTTCGATCGATACGGGATTGAGCAATGCACGATCCGTTCCAACCACGCCGGCCACTACTCCACCCGCGAACGCCATCAACTCGATGCAGCAATACCAGACGTCGCAGACGTATGAGACGCCCCGTCAGTCTTACACAGCGGCGCCCAGCCAACCAGGTCAGTATAACCACCTCGAATCCCCCCAGCGGATCTCGCTTCGGCCAACCCTTCCCTCAATCATCATCTTATCCCAACACCATCAGCGACATGCCTCCCCCATCCACTGTCCTTCACACCTCAAATGTTCCCACCAACTCATCTAACCCCTCCACAGAAATGAAACACGACTCCGGCTACGCTCACAGTGATCCTGTTCACCACGGCGGCGCTCCCCACGACGACCATGCCGCCTCCGAGCACGATCCCCATGCCTACAGCGCCCACGCCCAATACGACGCCACCCGCGGCACCTACACCTACCCCTCCGCCACCGCCCCCGTCCAGCCCGCGCCCCTGCATCCTACCGACCACCCCCACCTCTCCCCCGAACTCACCCACCACACCCACTCCCCCGCCCATGTCAACGGTTCTAGCCGCGCCACCCCGCGCTCCACCGTCCCCGTGCAACCCCAATGGGCCACCCCCAACTACGGCGGCCCCACCGCCCCCTCCCACCGCCCAGCCCAGCAATCCACCTCCACGCTCTACAACGTCGTCTCCGACCCGCGCTCCAACGGCGCCGGTGGCCCGGACTCATATCCTGCCACTGGTTACGCGCCACATCCACAGGCCGTCCCCGGCGCGTACGGCGCTTCGAACGGCGTGGTCTCCACGGGGATGAAGCGCATGCGCGACGACGACGACGAGTATAAGCACGAGGATGTGGACGCCCCCGGCAGTGATTTGAAGCGGCAGCGCACAATCCGGGAGGACAGCGTTGGCGGTGCGGTCGGTGGCGCGAGTCCGTATAAGAGCGCGCAACGGTCGCGGCCGATCGCGCAGCCGAGGCGATAATGGCAGTGTGAGAGAGGCGGAGTTGTGCCTGAACGAGCGACGGCTCAACGAATGGTGCATTGGTGGCCTTTGCGATTTGCGTGCGGATTTTCATGTCTGACGAAACGGAACGGGACGAAACGACGAGCGATGAGCAAACGCGAGCAACTTGGCTTGGCAGACCTGCGGGAACCATCACCTGGGCTTTTTATCTGACGCAACGAACGAAGCGCGCCTCTGGATTTTTTTTTGGTTTCATTTCCTTCGACATTTGCTCACTGAGCGTTTTTTTCCTTCTGCTTCTTCTTGCTTTCTTGGCCAGGACTTGCGATAGACTGGGCATGGAACACAACACGACACCGCGACGACTTGTTTTGGGCGGGCTTTCGGTGGGCATTCAATCATCGGCATCGTCATGATCGCATGCGAAAAACGCTTCAACCCTGCTTCTGATATCTTCTCACCTACTCTCGATTCGCCTTCTTCTCCTTCTCACATTCACGCATGGCCGAACTGAAGATCCGCAAACCTCAAAATCCGAACCGGCCTCACGAAAATAGCCTTTCACGCCAGCCACAAACGCGGGAAGGTCTAACGCCGGGAAAACGCGAAAAGCTTTCCACCCTCCTTTCCTTCACGTTGATTCGGAATTTCATGGATGACCAAAAAAACGACGTATACACGAATTTTCTCGATGCATGCAAATGTGCGATGCGAATAACGCGCAACAAATATGTACCGAACATTACCAACTGGCGATTCAGTCTCGACGACATATACCTTCACATATACACGCGCATCATCGAATCTCACTCATCAAAACCCAACATCTCCCGTTGTTTCTGCTATCTCTTATGTATTCTTCACGAAACGACAACCTCCAACCATCCGATGTTCCTACCTGCCTTGCGGCAATGGGATCTATCAATCTACCCCACCTTACAGTGACAAATCTTCTTGCTACTTCAACGAAATGACCGTTATGACCATGCCATTTTTCTCTCTCCATTACTGCGCTTTTCGTTTCTAACTTTTCGGCGGAGGAGGCGAGAGTGAAAGAGAGGGAAGGGTGACGGAGCGGGCGGTCGATGGGTTGAAATGACGGGGGATTCGCGCTGTCTTTGATGATGAGCGATGGTGGAGATGGAGTGGCTGGGTGGTGGCTTCACGAAGCTATTCTCGCACATTTGAAATTTCTCTTCTCTCCCAGTGACACCGGGAACTCCTATTACCCGCATATCACATATCGGAAAACTCTCACCTTGCCTTACCTAACCTACCTTACAAACACCGCACAGCCACCCGATTACATGGATGACGATGTTAATGATGATGGAACGGAATGGAAATGGAATGGGAGGGGATGGATTATTCAGCCCTTGACTGCTACGCTACTACTCGCCCCCTTTTACCTTAGTTTACTACTACAATGGAAAAGTTCCAACTGGTCCTTTTGATGCCCTGTTCCCTCCCTCGCTTGCTTCCCCGATGTGCTAGTTCGTGTCAAAACGTAGAAATGGTCAACGAAAGTCGGGATAGGGATTCAGGGGGCGATCTACTGCTCACCCTTTTTACCTGGGATTACTTGAATGCAAAAAGTACCAACCGGTTCTTTCGACGCCCTGTTTACTCGCTCGCTTCCCTGGTGTGGTCGTTTGTGAATTGTGTCAAAATGTCGTAGAAATGACCAACGGAAGTCAGAGTGAGAAATCCAGGGGGCGCTCTTCCACCACAGTCCATCACCACCACCATGTCCACCACGGTCTCCCCTTTCCGCCATCAGCTGAATCTTTCATTTCTGCCCTCCACATCGATTTATAATCAAAAATTAGCCAAACTTGGTCAAAATTAGCCATGAATTAACATGATGTTCCCATCCCGCGCTGACAAAGCTACATGATAGTAACCTGAAGATACCACCTTTGTCGGCCACCAAGATATCGCCAAGCCCGCGTACCTGCTTCAAACCAGCCTAGAGTCAATCCGCCACAAATGTCACCGCATATTCCCCAGCTGAGCGAAAATACCTCCTGACTCAGGAAACCATAAAGATACATGTCGTGAAGCCCAAATTTGTCTTGAATTCCTCATATCATCTTGAGATCACGGATCACCCTATGGCGACCTTTGAAGACTTAAGTGGCGTTAGGGGCGACTCCAATGGGGTCTCGTCCAACCCATACGACGCTCTCATCGCCGCATGCAACGACAATCCCGTATGTCCTTCGTGCTCCTAAGTCCTCACCAACCCCGCTTTCACCTCCCAAACACCGCCAAACAAACCCCAGCATCTAATTTGGCCTCCCATTCTTCCGATATGCCCCCAAATGCCGCACATCTTCCCCAAACGCACCAAATGTCCAAATTGAAGTGCATCTTCCCCTCACCGCACCAACCCCTCCCCAACTCACTCCACATCCAGAAATCAATCCAAACCCGCTACGAAACGCACCGCACGGTCCGCAACGCGCAGCAGAAAGCGAAGTTACTCGCAGACGACTTTTCTGGCGTGGTGATCGATCCGATCTTGCACGCGCTGGAGACGCAACCCAGGTTTGAGGATCCGAGGAATTGTTTGGGTACGCCAACACTCCAATTGACTAGCAATGAACTCACACACGATAATTTTTTCGCCGGAACGTCTACTGACGAGGAACCGATTGTTACAGTGTTCTGGGCGCGTCCACCAGTGAATGTACGGGAGTTGGTCGCGAAAGTGCAGCGGAGGTTGAGGGAAGTGATGCCGAGTAAGTTGATATTGCGGTTTTACACGTGAGCACGGGAACGAGTCATGTGCGCGTGTGGTTGGTTGCCGGTCGCAACGAGGTAAATTCACTCGCATTGGTGTGTTCTGCGCCGTCCATGGGATTGTGTAGACTGCCAGCTAGTGCTGTTGGTGCGGTTCGAGAGTAATTCTTCGAAATGGCACGCGAGGAGATACGCCGTGATGCTCCCAACACGCCTGGGCTCGCGTTCTTTATTCATCCTCATCATCCGGATTACTCCTCCCCTCCATACTGCTAACCATTTTTATTAATTCCTGCCTCCAGAACTCTGGCTCATGCCCCTCCCCAACCTCCACATGACTGCCCTTGAAATTACCCACTCCAAGACCGCCCCCGAGATCGCCTCCCTCGTCGATCTTCTCGCTCCATCCGCCGGCGACATCGTCAATTACACCTCCACCCACCGCACGCATCTCATCAAACCTCAAATCGGCTACGACACCTCTGCCATCGCCCTCAGCTTCGTTCCAGCTGCTCGAGAAGCAACTCCAGTCGGCGACGCTGTGGATGAGGATACCTTTACTTACCACCACCTCCGACGCGACCTGTATGCGCTGGCTGAGGCGGCAGGCGTGGCGGTTGCATCGCGATATGTAGTCCCGTCCGCACATCTAACGGTCGGGCGATTCGTGCATGCGGAAGAGTTAAGCGTCGATGGGGATATACTGAACGGCGTTGATCGAGAGAAAATGCGGCAGGTGGTGGGAAGGATTGAGGAGATTAATTCGTGGTTGAGGGAGGAGTATTGGCCAAAGGAGGCCGGTAGGGAGATTAAGGAGGGAGGGGAATGGGTGGTAGGGGAGGAGCGGGGGTTGGATTGTAGGAAGGGGAGGCTTTGGTATGGGGATGGAGAGACGGTGGTGATCGGGAAGGGATTTGGGAGGAAATGAAATTGTGATTTTAGACATTTCGATTTTATTTGAGCTGACGTAGTTTGAATGTGATACATAAGATACCTTATATTTAATAAAGCAGCTAGTATTTATCATTTTCGTTGCCTTGGCTTTACTCACCGTTACGATTCTCCTGGCTGCCCGCTGGTGGGACTTGCGAGGTGACGACGAGCTTAATTAATAGCACCAGGCGCATCAGTAGTGAGCAGATGTAGAACTCCAGAATCGAACTTTCATAATGGGGTTTCTATGGATAATATTTATTACTACATCATGTTGGCAAGAAGTTCGTTCAGCGAAATGTTCTAGTATCCAGGCAGAAGAACAGCTGATAAGGATCTTGACTTCCCCAGGTGTTAATAGGACTCTCCTTCTCTTTCTAGGAGAATCCCGCCATCGAGTACCGTTGTTGTTCATCGGTTCTCCATTTAGGTATTTCAAATGCAATTAAGTGGCAACCGGTTTTGATAACCCTTATACTCTTCAGAGTACCTGGCGGCTGGTGCGATACGTACAGGGCTGGGACCAATATATTTAATCTAGCATGTAATTGCGGCGGCCTTGTATATATATTACATTACGTGTATTTGTACAAACAAATGAAGTTGAACGTACGACCAGTATTCAATCCCCAATAAAAAGAACAATATTTTAAGTAAAAAACCATAATCTTGCAATGGACGGTGGAAAATTGGGAAAATTCTAATTGTATGATGAACCGCTTTGCGCTTGGCCACTCGCCAGCGCCCAGCAATTTGGCTCCAAGCCCCTAATGGCGGGCCGTCCCGCACTTGATTTCCTTTCTCAGGTTGTCCAAGTACTTTCCAGTGGTTCATAATTCGTAGTTCATAGAACAGTCGAACGTACATCATCATTACCGTCCACTCCGCATACAATTCATTCATCATATTAAGCTAGTTAATATGCTGTAGTTGACTCATCATATCATTGAGCACTTGAGCTATCTTCGTTGATGACTTGCTAACTTTGTCACTACAACCAATCTTAGCTTCATATTCCTACAAGCAAGGAGTGTCGGTTGAAATGGTCACTTACACACCATATTCCACAAATTCGATGAAGAGGATTGAATGTGGGCAGGTGTGCTGGAAACAGTCCTGCTTCGGTGTGCCAGTAGCCTGTGGCTTGCACATGGCGAGAGAAGGAGAGCGGAGGAAGTCGTCTTGTGGATAAAATGTATCGGTCGTTGATGCGTCAGGGGGGAGGCTCGTGAGCGGAGGAAGGATAATGATCTTGGTCGTGTGACCAAGTGCGAGTCTGGTTGTTGGTCGCTGATAATGAATGGTCGATCTGCGTTTGGTTACTGAAATGCTTCGAACAACATGAGCATAATCGCTTTCTTTTTATATCCAAACCACTCCTCCAGAGTCATTTCTTGAACCGGTGAGCATTTCTTTGACTCTGGCAAATATTAGTATGACCAACGAGGTCAGCTGCTGCTCTATCGTACGTCTCCGTCACACACAATGCATCCTCCCGTTCTCCGGTTCAGTTCCTGCATGATTTGCCGCACGTTACCGATATCTATTGCCAATACCGCCTGCAACTGAAGCCAGCGTAAGAGCGGTCATGTCACTTTTTGCGAGGAATATCCTGGTTTTGAAGTTTATATACCCAGCCGAAAGGAGAGTACCACACGGAATATGGGCACCAGGACTGCCCACAATCGGCGATCTTCTGCCCTGCTTGGTCCAAGGTGCACATGACGTTGTTCAGGGAGTAAGAAAACGTCGTTGGCCTGCTGTGGCTTCTTCCGTCTGGCGGTGAACTGATATTTGGAATGCAGTGTACACTCCTTTAAAAAGCTTTTGGTTTGTAGTACTAGCTACCGCAAGGGGCCTTCCCTTTCTTTAAATACCTGCCGGGAACAAGCTATATTATTCTGATTCAATGCTCAATCTCAACGAGCGTTCGATATTACTAGAAAGAGACATCGATATAATGCCTCATTAATGCATCACCATGTCCCATGGCCAGAAGTCTGAAGGACAGGGGCATGACTACTAAAGACTCAGTATGAATCCTCACCACTCTTCCTTAACTACCAACAGGTTCCTAGCGATTCACAACGATAAAGTTGTACGCACATCGGATTCTAGTCAGCAAACTGAACTGGAATTGCTCTTCTTCAGGTCTAAAGCCTTCGATGAACACAACATGGCATGGGACGGTTGGGAGTCTCACACCACAGGTGCATCGCGTATTGTCTGAAGGGGGCATTTCAGATGTTGGATGAAGATACCTAAGTAATTATTGTAGGTATGCGTATGACGAAAGCTTAGTGTGTTGGATGACTTTTTTTAGATGCAGTCAGTGGTGGTCAGCGCGTATTTATATCCTCAAGAAATGAGTAATATTCATTAATTTAGTGGTCAGTCGACCAATTTGGTTAAAGTTTAATAAGAGTGTAGATACGACGCGCCCTGCTTTATTCAACGGAACCCAATCAAAGACAGTCGAAAGTATGGATATTTTCCCCGACACCGACTCGAGTCGATCCTTTCGTGAAATTGTACTATCACCAAGAGGGTTAACAATATCTTCACTGTGGAGGCCCTGGTAGCCCCCCATCACTCGATCAATGTCTCCTTGCTCCTACTCTTCAGTATGGTAAGTTGTCCCCAGAGCCCTATAATATTATATATGGCCTTGCTCATGGTAGCCGAGTTGTATTCGTTATCGGAAGGTTTAATTATTATACCGTGGGAGTAAAGGACTTTAATAATCGACACGAAGGCATAAGCCAGACCTCGTTTCATGCCAACCATTGGCGGATGGGAAAGGGTGGTCGTCTACATGTTTCAGTGCAAAACAGTGGACCATGGAGTACCCCAAGGTAGGATCATGGCGGCTGAACAGAGGAAAGAGACACTTCAGGACATATGTATGTCTTGGTTTAGAACAACCATCCGCGACTATCTTGCAAATTTAATCTTCAAGTGGAGTGTTTTTGCATTGATGAGACTACGGCTACATATTCTAATCCGTACCCCTTGTTGGCTCAGGGACCCTTTGTAGCGTTGTCTCGCGTTGTATTCTCTGAAGACACGTTTTGAGCAGGCTTCTGGTGATCCGAGTGCTTGCAGTTGCCATTATCGCAGTCCTCTTTGGCACCCTGAAAGTAGGGGTCGACCAGGTATGCGCCTGATTCGAAAAAATAAGCCATTTGGGGTTGTCGGTCGGTATCTTAGCTGATGGGGATGATGCTTGTAAAGCAAGATAGGTAGAACAGAGAGGTTCTTGAAGAAGAACCCGGTTTTCGGTGGCTTCGTTTGGGCGATGGGGGGTTTTTATACCTGACTCATTGGATAATATTCCAGTCAGGGTCTTTTGTATCATCTTGGGGTCACGAATCCGCTCCGTGTCCCTGCATTGCCATGCAATATTAGCTATGACTATTCGGCCCGGATTTTGTTACTCACAATAAAGTCCGCCTCAGAGCCTATGCGGAGGAGATTGATCACAGTCGGATTTTCCATGTTAATCTGGGCCCCTCATGATTGAGTAGGGGCAAACGGAACAAAAGCAGTCTTGGGTCTTCGTGCTGCTCTCGTCGAACGTACACGAATTGATCGTTGAATCAGAGGATTCAAGTATTACAGCCATATTGCCGCATGCAAAGAGGATCGATGATATGGTTAGAGGGCGTCCTGAAGAATGGAGACCTATGAAGAGATAAATCTATTATCAATGTTGGGATTTGCCGTAGACGTTGAATGAATCCTCTTAATACTGATAGAAAAATCGACAGTAGTAGTATGTTCAAGCAACCTATAACAGGAATAAAGTTGGTTGAATGGGAAGAACGCTGACTATGAATAAGTAACGGTGATGACTGGGTCCCATTTCACATGTCTTCTAGCACAAGTTATATACAAGTAGGGTAGAAGATGCCAGGTCTTATCTCATGTCTTATTAGAATGAATTATTACATGACTATGTAGGGCGCCCGCAGCTCAAAATATATCCTAACCAATAGCTCCTAGAACGCGCCTTTGGTCTGAGCATGGAAACCCGAAACACGTCGTTATCCACCCGTGGCCGGTAATATATGGAATCCGGGCAAAAAGGACTGCTGTGGCCCACGATATTCGGGCTGTGGCCGGTAATAGACAGAATCGGGGCAAAAAGGGCTGCTGCAGTCCAAGATCCGTTGACCTCCTCTATATTCGCACATTTTGCTTTGGATCCTAGGCCAAATGAAGTTCTTGTTGGCCGCTGAGTTGGTAGGTGGCGCGCAAAAAGAAACCCGAGACTCAGGGGGTAATGGGAATATGATGGTGATGATTTGGCAGAGTGTTCTAGTACTTTCACAACGAAAATAAGGAAGATTTGGAACACTCTTACGCTATATAATGGATCCCCAGTCATGACTATTAATGGAGGCTTAGCACATGGTTGAGGACAAACTATCCAGTTCCCAGTCAGTTCAGTGCATGTGCGACGATATATGACACATCTACACGAGTAAATGCTACAGAGACTCCCATACGTGATAGGAGTCGAAGAATGTCCAGACTCCCAATATTTATCGTCAAGTGGGGTTATTGAGGTGAAAACAAGAGAAGGGGAGGTTCACCCAAAAGCGGACGGAGATAGAGTGAAGGGGGCGATGGATTCCCGAACCTCTCCCTAGGCAAGACACGAGGAGAATGGGCTTGAGAACCTTTGGTTAGCTCATATTTGCAAACCATGATGCATCTAGGCTAAGTATATGTACTGGTGTCCGCTGGTTGGTGGTGAAAATCAGTGTCGATCCCTTGGGCGTGCGTCTCCCCTCACCCCAAGAAGTATTGTATTTGCTGAGAAGTAAGTTGAGGGCTGAGGCCTTGAGGGACAATAGTGAATAGATGAGTCTCCTTACCCTTTATGGCTAGTCCGACCGCAAGATTTTCGGATCAGTTATCACCACTTATCGGACATCGAGGGTTAATTATTTCTCCCAAGGGCCCAGTGACAAGTCCCACCACTTCGAGTCTCCACAATGCTTAATATCCCTGAGCCTGTGGAGCATGGTGCATTCCATCGCCACCTTCGAATATTAGAACAGGTGACTTTTCAAATATCTAGGGCTTGTGGCTCAGTGGTAGAGCGCCCCCTTAGCATACTCGCTTCGAGCGAGCGCGAATGGGGGAGGTCCAGTGTTCAATTCGCTGTTAGTCCATTATGAAGCTCAATATTGAGCGTATATTTTTTGTTTTTATATTGATTTTTGATGTGGTGAAGGAGGTAGCTGAGAATTTCGATGTTGGTGTGTTTTCAAAATTTTGATTTGTGTTGTGTACTTGGCACCTCAGGCATTAATGTGTTCAAGCATTACCTAATCGACGATTCCTCTCTATCAACGTCACAGATTTACTAAAAAATGGTCGCGACTTTGATAATAATTGACTCTGGTCTAACTAGTCTATGGTTGTATCCTTCTCCTTTTTTCTCACCCCTCGCGCAGTTTATTCTTCTAATATACTAGGGAATGATTAGCATATCGTAGTCTTCATTTATGATCCATTTATGATCCCAACTACTGATATGAATACTGAGATAGAGAATCTCGAAGCATTTGTTGTAGCCCCAGCTACGCTCCTCCCCACGAGGACATTGATGAACCTCGGTCATATTCTACAGAGGAAGTGTGGCAAAAACGACACCCCAATCGGCAACCTTCTCCTATTGCTACTGGTACCTACCGAAGGATAGCCCTCAGCGGCCTGGGACACCCAAGGTAATCTGAAGATTGTTGAATTATCTATTATACAAATCATGGATCGTAATACCATCGCTAAGGATCAGACCCATTCACCGCATCCTAAACGTCTCGCCGTGTCGTAGAATCCCGTCCCGGTAGGTATCCCAATGCCATCCAACCATCCGGGTATGCATACGGATTGTTTCCTCAACGGTGTAGCTCCTCCTCCCCATCAGCCTCACGTGGTCTCCCAACCCCCATTGCTATTTTCCGAGTCCAACTTCCTCGCGATCGCGCTCGCGATCCCGTGGTTCAGCCACAGCTGGCGGAACAGCACGTCGTATCGCTTCTGATTGAGGAACAGCTGATGATGGCGGCGGAGGGTCGGGTCCGCTTCCCCGTGCTTGTCGAGATACGGCGCGTTTGCCCAGGAGCCCATCGACATGCCCTGCTGCTCGGGCTGCGTGCTGAGGAGGATCACCATGCCTTTACGGATGTTGATGTACATGCCGGTGGTGCCGCCGCACCTAGCGAAGAACGGGGGTTAGCGGCTGGATGGATGGTGGGATTGCTCGGGGTGTTAAACTTACTTGATTTGGTGCTGGTTGCATCCGCCACGGCGCTCACGGGATCCGGGCTTCCGCTCAGACAGACAGCAGACGGCCTGACTGCAGAATATCTCGCCACAGAGCAGGCACACGACCGGGTCGGTCATGTATCGTCCAGTGGTGGGACAGTTCCGCTTAAATGCCTCGACGGTCAAGGTATCGTAGATCCGAGGAAGACCGATGAGTTCGAAAATGGCAGGGTGAGCGAGGATGACCGGCGATGGTTTGGGATAAGGGGCGGGCGCCACCGGGATAACCTTATCCGCCCACTCCTCATGGTAATGCTTGATCCAGCTACGAACGATCCCATACAGAGGCTCGTCGCTATGGGTTGGGTTCTCCGAGTTGCCGATGACATCCAGGGTGATTTCATACATGCTCGGGAAATTGAGCGCTCTCTCTAGCCTTGTCAGCTCCGGCTCGTCCGCACCTGAATCCACGATTGGGAATTCCGTGGCGAATTTGACATTCATGAGGATCATGCACTTCCGCAAGAACGGGAGCATGTATGTCGCCATCATGGAGTAGATGAATGGCGTCATACCCTCGACAGACGATAGATCCCAGTCCGACGGCGCCGGACCGGTCGGAAACAGCGCTTTCGAAACAATCTTATAGAACTTGAGGAAACTGCGCGCTTCAGCGGGCCTGGTCGGTTGCTTCGTCCACCGTTGCGAATCCGAGAACTGGACATGATGCTTCGGCAGCACGGTTCGGTGCATGAAGGCGAGGATGACTCGAACCATTTCCGCGAGATAGCATAATCGCATAACGACACGCAGATCGATGTTCAGTGCGGGGACGATACCAAAAGCGCATTCGGTGAGGAAGATGAATGGATCCTGGCCCAAGAGGGTGTCAAGGCCTCGTGTGGCGGGGACATCGTTCCCGAGTTCTGGCCGTGCAGGGAAGAGGAGTTGGAGTTGTCGAAACACGGTCTGCGTGTACTCCTTGCTGGTGATGGGCGACGTCTCGCTGCGGATGCAGCCGAGCGAAATGTAGGATTTGACGGTTTCCGACACGATGCGTAAGTGTATCAACGTCTGCTCGGGTACCTTCTCGAGTAGTGTCGCTCCCGGACTCGACTCCACGCCTCGTTGAGCGATTTCCGCAGCGGAAATGGAGAATCCCACAGCGCGCATGAGCGCATCGGTGTTTGGAAGGGCCTCCGTCGGCCGCATGGAGTGCAGCGCATATCGAGAAGGGATGTTGTTTAACCGCAACGTGGTGTTGAGTCGGATATATGCCCGATTGAGCTCCAGCAGCGGATACACGGGAACGCTTCTCAGAGCGTCCAACGGACCAGAAGGCGTGGGGGAGAGGATATGGAATGCATGCGAGAGTTGTCCGGTGGTAGGATCGGGTAACGCGATTTGCTGCACGATCGGGCCGGTGTAGGTGCTATAATCTGCCAACCTTGAGGACACTGGACCGGCAAACTCCTGAGACCCGTATTTGATGAAGGTGTCCTCTTGCTGCAATGCCTTGGACACCGTATCCAGCTTCTTGGTGAGCGTGGTCTCTTCCTCCCGGAAGCCCCTTGCCAGGTACTGCGGAAGTGCATTCACAACCCAATCGTTTAGATCGGTGGAATCCTGTCCCACCTGCGTCACCTTCTGCGCCTTCCAAATGATGGGAAGGAACGCATTTCCCAACGCCTTGCAGAGCGGACATTCGAATTCCCCCAGATCCAGCCGTTCCGGATGGAGCCGTGCGACCTGGCTCAGGTGTCTCCGATGGGTCGCCTGGAAGTAATCTTCAAAACATGTCCAATGCATCAGGTGGCCACAACCTGTCGCGACTGGCCCACGGCGGGTATAGTTCGATGGGAACCCTTTCGCCAATTCCTGCCGCTCCGTGATCGTGACGTTCCCGTCGGCGTCAAATTTCTCGACGGTGCGGCGGTTTTTGCCGGCAACGCCGAACGGGCGGATGCTCTCCGCGGACCGATCCAAGCTGATGGGCGTATCGCGGACTTCCTCGATCCAGTCCATATCCAACGCGGGCGTCTGACGTAGGATGCTGCTTTCGGAGATGAACGAGAAGGTTCCGTAGAGGCGGTCGCTGTTGGTCTCCTCTTGGCACATGATGCATGTACCGGTGGGGAATTTTCGAACCTCCTCCGTCTCCTCCGCTTCCACCTTCTCGAAATCGTCGTCCAGGTCGCTGAAATCTTCTTCTCCCCAATCGAAGGTCTGATTTTGAACGAAGCTGTTCTGCTGCTGTTTGAATTGCGCCATGATTTTCGCCTGGCGTTCGAGGGCTTGCTTCTTCTTCAATTCCTTGTCGGCCTCGCCCGAATTTTGGTGAAGCTCGGAGGGGTCCAAAAGCGGCGACGACAAGCCGAGGGATTCCAAACACTCCGCATACTCCTCTGGCTTCTTCTCCTTCATCCGCTTCAAAATCAGCCGAATTTTGGGAGCACACGCCTCGTACCGTTTCGACGCCAGGATCGATTGCAATGCCGAGATGATCTTGGTATCCGGGCGATAGTCGGAATACTCGGAGTACGCATACAATGCAGGAACCACGAATCCATTTCCGTCGTGGTCCTCGTTGACAGCAATGAGGATCAACGTGAGTACGAATTGGAGGAATACCTCCATCTTCGCCGCCGAAATGTTCGTCATCTCGACCTTGTACACCAGCGATAGCTCCAGGAAGTAGAAGATGATCTGAATGAATATGGGGGTTTTCGTGAAGTGCGCTAGGTTTTTGAAGATGCCAGATTCCAAAGGCAGGAGATTGGGCTCGTATACGACTTCCTCGACCGGTGTACCAGTCTTCTCCGCCATGTACCGCTTGTAGATATTCTCGGCTTCTTCCCGCTGATTGCGGGTGTATTGTGGAATGTACGGATCGATTTTAGCGATGAATTCTTTCTTGAGCTCGAAGGTTCCGACATCCGACACTCCTTCGGGGGCTTTATATTGAGTCATCTGGTCGAGCAAGTCCGCCAACTCGTCGGAGTCCTGGACCTTCTCGGACATGCGTTGCGTGATGTCCGAATGCGACAAGGGTCGGAAGAGGAGAATGTGCGCAATGTCACGGCGCATTCCCATGACGTGGGATTCCTTCGGATTCTCAATGGGAAGAAGGAACGTCCTCTCGATCAACAGCACGATGAGCAGGTGAACGAATTCCTCGGCCATCTCCAGCATCTGGAGCTCGTCGCGATCGGGTTTGATCGTCCCGAAATTCCCCATGGCCCAGTCACGAAGGTCGAATCGATCGACCATGGTCGCGAGGAACATCTGCGGATCGCAGACGACGAGCGCGAGCTGTAATAAGAAGATATCTCGGAGATACGCCAAGTCTCGCTGCGTGTGGCCTCGGTAGGTCTGCATTTGATGGCGGAGCGTCACGCCGTTGCGCACCCACATGTTGGCTTTCATTTGCGCCAACCATGCGCAGACGCGCAGTGGGAAGTCGAACATGGCCAGGAGATAGTCATGCGGGACAAAATCCGGGATATTCGCGTTCGGAGGTGAGGGCGCCGCGCGGAGGTCTTGCGCGGTGAAATCGATCCACGCACGGAATTCCTCGTTGTCCATGCATTTGGCGCGGTCGACGAGCCAGGAGAACGTGTAGTGTAGAGCATGATGGAAACTCATCGGCTCTTTACCGACATCGTACTGTACGACTCGAAAGCCGACGGGGTTGTCGGAGTCGTATTGGAGATGGAACTCGGAGAGAGGGAAGACGTCAAAGCGCACGGGACTGGTGATCTCGGACTGGACGAACCGCGCTCGCTCCGCTCCTATCGAATTGATGATCACAACCTTGGCCGTCTCTCGGATCGCGCGGCGGATCGGTCCCTTGTCACCGCCCGGTCTCCAGCAGAAGGATTCAGCGAATTGACGGCACAGCCGGTTCATCTCTCTCGTGATGATGGACGCGCTGATCCACGTCTCCGGTTCGAATTCGACATGCTCTCCCAGCGCTCGGACATTGGGGACGATTCCCTGATGGAGTTTGACGAGATCCAAAAATTGCAGTAAATACTGCGGATTGTCTCGGATGAGGCTCTGAACCAGGCTAGAGTTCATCATGTACTTCATGTCCATGAAGAAGTGGTAGATCCGGCGATTCGTGACGGTGCCTTGCTCCAGCGAAAGAATAGCGTTGGGGTCCACATCGGATGGATATCCAACTTGTCGGGTAGTGATGAACGTGTAGAGGATTGCCATCAGGTTCGATAAGAAATTGCCTCGGTCGACAATTTCCGCGGTGATGGACGGGGTGGTGAGCATCTGCAGTGATAAATTGATGATCGAATGATCGGGTTCGCGATCCGCAATCAGGTAGAGCTGCGCAAGGAGGGTGTAGAGTCCGGCAAATCGAAGACCCATCAACCGCTTGAAATAAGGAAGGGTGACCACGGTGCTAATGAAGACATCTCGCACGTCGATCCGGCAGTTCTTCCACATCCGCAAATCGTAGAGGATCAAGTAATCCAACCGAACTCTCTGCCAGAGGTCTTCCTCAATAGGGACTTCGGGTTGCCGCCCGTAGCCAGCTGGTTTCTCCAGCCAGTATGAAGGAGGCATTGGCTTCCCACCGCTGGCATGTACCGGCCTGGGCGTCTTTGGGACATCAAGTGGCATCGGAACACTGGATGTTCTCCCTCTTCGGGGATTCGGCGTCATCGAAGGGAGTGCAGAGCCCCGTCTGGCTGGATGCACGACTGAATCGACCGGTCCAACTGTCCTCGACGGGTCTTCGAGTCCATCCGATGTATCGACATCGATATCGCTTTCTCGTTCTCCGGTATCGGCTTGGTCCACGTCCATTCGGTCTTCGTTCTCGGCCTCCAACTCTTCGAGCAGGCCATGCGCTTCTCCGAGGATGATTTGTGCGCCGCCCGCGATTTGGATGACGTGGCCCTGCCCTGTTCTAGTTAACTGCTGTGCCATCCTAACAATGCGTGCTCGAGATGCATAGCCACCTCGAAGCTCTTCTTCTAGGTTGTCTTCGCTTGCGTGATCATCGATCCCATCTTTTCCAATATATGCGTGATGTGCCTTACTTCCTGTTCTCCATGGCTTTAATAGCTCTTCACATATGGTATTCCGGAGGATATGAGCGTCATTCCCAGCGCTGCAGCCCGCGATATCGCAAATCCACTTGATGATGAACTCGCACATCTGCTCGCGAAACGTGTCTCTCGCCGATCGTACGGTGACGGTGAGTTTGATCTCCTCGATAATCGACGCCATCCGGAGAAGGTCCTTGAGTTCGTAGGAATGTATGATCACGCTTCGGCCGACGTCATCGATTTCCAGCGCCTTCTCGTAACTGATTTTTTTGGAAACCTTGCAAGCTCGCGCCACCTGCTCTTTGACGTCTTCCACTGTGTGTTTCTCGTCATTCCACAAGACCAGCGCGAACTCGTTGCATGCCTCGTAGCTCGGGCTCCATCCAGGAACGTCGGGGAACCATCGGGAGGAAAGTCGTGACTGGACCTCGTCGGTCTGAACGGTCTCAAGCGTCTTAGGTAGCCGTAGTTGTTCCGGGGAGCATGAAAATACATCGCAAAGGTAGTCGAAGGCGATCGCAATGGTCCTGCGTATCCCCTCTACCACGGACGGCGGTAAATCCGACGACTCCTTGGCCTTACCTGCCGCCTTCGCACCGGGAGCGCTGTTTGGGAGCGGGGAGTGTATGTTGCAGAGCGGTGCGTGAATCCAGGCTTCGTCGTCTCCGCAGTCGCAGCAGCCAGAGTTGCCTGGTGAGATAGAGACATACACGATATGTCCTTCGTGATCGGAAGCTTCAAAGCATTTGGCGCATAGCACGCAAGTGTCGTCATTCGTGCACGTCTTGCACCGATATGACGCTTCTCCGGCCTTGAAGATGTGTCCGCAGGCGGTTCCGCGCGCGGCCTCCGTGTATTCCGCGCCTTCCACGGCGCCCTGTGCTGCTCTTAAACTCCATTTGAGGGCGGCGGGATTGGATGTCGGAGGGAAGAAGTAGCCAAGATAGTTTGGATCGTCGCCGGCTAAGGATCTGAATAGTATCTCCAAGAGTTGCTGCGTTGCAGATTCGCAGTATCGGTTGTCGTGGGCCGCGGGAAGTTGCCCCAGGCTGCGGTAGAGCCGATTCTCAGCGTCCGAGGACGACATATCGACCACCTGTAAAGTTCAACCGTGTGTGACGGGCTCCATGGGAATATGGGAGATTTCAAGGACAATCTTTGAATCGGTTGAAAGGCGGAGTAGTTGTCCAATATTACAATGTTTTTATGAGTGGTTATGTCAGGGTGATGGATGATGTCGAAGAAAGTGGCGTTCGGCGTCTCAGGCGTCAGGCGTGGGGCTGGGCTTGTCAGGTTGCGCTGTACGGTACAGTAGATGTTTCAGGCAGTCGGGCTTCGATTCGATTTGATTTATACGGTGGTGAGGAGGTAATTAGTTCTGTCCAAGTCAAGCCATATTCACCCTGATTTCGGACCAGATAATCTATTGTCCGAAGAATTTTAGATTCCTGAACATTACATGCCTTGGTGTTACTGGGCTAACTATGGAGTCCTCGGCGAATTTACATGTACTCTTGTGTCCATCTTCACATTGATGTTAGCCACTCAATCACTTGCGACATCCCTCACTATTTGATATCTGATATTCATCTCCTACCTAGTACGCAAGGCATGTGAACATGGAGCAATGATTGCCCATTTCTTATCCGAAGCGACTTGGAGAGCCTAGTGTGGCGTTCACCATCTCCGTTATCGTGGTTCTCAGCTTCCTTGCTGAGAATCCCGTCGGCAGCGGAGGATGTCACCTAGCGACAGAATCCAGGTCACATATTCGATCGAGGTGGCATTGAAAGACACCAAATGGAGATGGAACCACGCCCAAGAACGTGGGCAAGGCCCTATGTTGCACAATATGGGTCCGTCGAGCGAAATGTGGTTGAACTTCGAGTTCGTCTATAGAGTACACAGATATACACAATCTATAGCTCTTGCCACCCCTCCTCCGCTCCAATTTCGTCGCTGATCATGGTCGAGTATGTCGCTACTCCTCCGCCGCATCCACATACTTGTGCTTGATGTCTTTCCATTGCCGCTGGGATGGAGTCAGTCGTCCGCACGATCAAGTCGCATTCAAGTCAAAGGGAGAGTACATACGCCCTGGTTTATGCTGTCCCAGATACGGTCTGATGTGCCGTTGAAAAGTCTGATGGATGATGTTAGATAGGTTCGCCTATGGGGAGTTGCAAGCCTTACAGCGAGCCACCGAAGGCGGTGCCGAAAACAAGGCCCAGCATCGTTGCGTTGCTTCGGAAGAAGGTGCTGTACCGTCGGTTAGATACTCGGCCATTGCGGATTCGGTAAGCCCATACTTATAAAGGGTTTGGGAGAGCTGGGAAAGGACAATTAGTTCGTGGAACCACTTCAATGGGTTATACCGGAACAACTCACTGCCATTGTGATGGATTGACTGCGCCTGGATTCCGACAACGGAGGTTATCTCGAGGAACTCCCTCAATTCAATGGCAACGGACCGATGGGTTAAGGAGATGTCGATTCTGCTGGTTCACGTGGAGGAGAGAAAGATCCAACTTCAGACTTCAAGAAGCGAGGTTCATCGGGTTCGAGGATCCATCATCGAAGGTTTGAAGATGGTCTGAGCGTGAAGGATTGTTTTTGCCTCAGGCATTAAATATTGATCATCAGGCATAAACTTTTCTCCCTTCACCAATCTTCCGCTGGCGACAAACCGGAAACATTCGTCCAACACATGATTATCGATAGATAACCCGATAGCCCGCACAGGAATGAGGAATGTCTCCATGGAACGTTCAAATGTCCTGAGACGATGATGATCTTCTTCCTATGAGCTGATTGCCATAAATCTACCATTTCTTTCCAATCCTTCATCAACCGTAGACCTCTATCATCCATATATCCCGCACCAACCATCATTGATATCCCACACCGCGCCCTCAACCCTTCAAGCGCATCTCACCTCCACCCATCCTCTCTAAACACCCTCTACAATCCGCATTGCCATCCCTCCGACCACCAAATCCAAAATGCCACCTCCCACGAACCCCTCCAAATCCGGCATCACCACCGACCGCGCCGGTACCAGCGTCATCCCCTCCTCCGTCCGCCCGGACGGCACCGTCCGCAAAGAAATCAAAGTCCGCCCCGGCTACCGCCCCCCGGAGGACGTCGAAGTGTACAAGAACCGCACCGCTGAGGCCTGGAAGAATCGCTACGCCGGAGGCGTCCCCGGCGCCGAGGCGGTGGGCGCGGAGCGGGAGGGGAAGGCCGGAAAGAATGCGAAAAGGAGGGAGAGAAGGAAGGCAGCTGCTGCGGCGGGGGGGAGTGATGCGGGCGGCGAGGACACGGCGACGGCGACGGCGACGACCGAGCCGGTTGTGGTAGCGGGGAGCGGGGAGACGGCGACGGCGCCGGAACCGAGTGCGGCGGACGCGAAGGAGAAAGAGGCGCGGAAGATCGCGAAGAAGCTGCGACAGGCGCGGGAGCTGCGCGCGAAGAAAGACCAGGGGGATTCGCTGCTGCCGGAGCAGGTGGCGAAGGTGATCAAGATCCAGGAGCTGGTGCGGCAGTTGGACGCGCTGGGATTCGATGCGAATGCGGAGCGGAAGGGAGAGTCGGCCGGGTGAACGAACGGACGGTGGGACGACGAGACGATATCACGTTTGGGCTGGGGATCTGAATTCGGGGGGATGAAGATCATGAGTTATCAAGAGGACATTTCCTGCTCCATCGATTGAGAGTGAGATCAGCTTGGATCGGGTGTGGAATGAAGGGCGCCATGGCGGAACATGTACGTGGAATCCCGCGAGCTGGAATACAATCGACACCAATCCCCGAGCCATCACGATGTAGAAGAGCCAAAAATGCAAAAAAGAGGAGCAATAAAGGTATCATTCTGGAATCGCAAGAAACAAGAAACAAGAAACAAAAACGCCATTAATCAATAACCCCAAACCGAGCGCTCCAACCAGTCCATCCTCCCTCAGTCCGTCACCGGCAACACCGTCCCGCTCGGAACCAAACTCTTCCCATTCCTCCACCTCCTCACCCCCCTCGTCTTCCTCCTTGCACTCCCCTCTCCCCCCCTCTCCTCCTCCCCGCCCTCCTTCTCCACCTCCCCCGCCCCATCCACACAAACGCTCCAATCCGCCCTCATCTCCCTCCATCCCTCCTCATCCAACCCCGCGAACCGCGGTCGCCGATACGTGTACCCCAAGAACGCCGCCTTCTTCCGCAGCTCGAGCACGCGCTTGCCCACCGTCGGATCACGGATCAACTTGTCGCGCGCGCGCTTCTGATCCCGCTTCCGCTTCCCTTTCTTCGCGATCCGCGGCCCGCCGACTATCCCCCCCCCAATCAACCGTCCGGCCAGATGCTCGCCCGCGCCGTCGCCGACGACGGTCCCATCGTTGCGATCCGCGGCGCCAGGCTCGAGGTCATCGAACCCCTTCACCGACTCCTCGCTCGATGAATCGTCCGTGGACGAGGTGGAGTTCAGAATCTCCTCTTCCTTATCGAAGTACTTATCGACGCCCTGCCCCGCGCGTACGACCGGTACGAACGGCGGCCGCGACGTCGGTATGCGGTGCCAGTCGATGCCGCGGAAGAACGGGTGGCGCTTGATGTCCTCGGCGTCGTTGTCGAAGGCAAAATCGCGGGGGAGGAGCGGCTCGGTAACACTGTTGGGGGACGGGAGGCCCGGGGGAGGGAAGCGGAGGTGGGCGGGTGGGGGCGCAGAGGGCCAGTGGTGCGGGGAGTGGCCGTGGGTGTGGGAGTGGAGTTGGTGGCGGAAGGAGGCGAGGTTGTCGCGGAAGGAGCCGCGGATGGAGGAGCCGAGGTGGGAGGAAGCACGGTAGCTGGCTGGTTGGGGGACGACGTCGTTGGCGCGGTAGCGGCGGCTGGAGAGGCGGATTTGGCGTTCTTGAAGGAGTTGGTAGATGAGGTCGATGGCGGAGGGGGAAACGTCGCGGAGCTGCACGGGGCGGAGGGATTGCGGTCGAGCGAGGCGTGGACGCGTGGGGAAATGCAACTCCACTTCGTGGCGTAGGATGCGCGCTTTGGTCTTGTCGCGGTCTTCGGCGAAGAATGGGGTGCAGCCGTACAGGCATTCGTACAGGATCACGCCGACGCTCCACCAGTCGCAGCGCCCGTCGTAGTCTTCGCCACGGATGACTTCGGGCGCCATGTACTGGCTGGTGCCCACAACGCTCTTGGCCAGGCGACGTTTCGCGGTCCGGTTGAGGTAGTCCAGCACTCCTTCATTCTGGCGACGATGGCTGCACGAACGAGTACTCACCGAGCGATGAAGGGCGCGATGATACTTCTTTGCACTCCCGCCATCCCCTTCGTCCACCTCGTCCTTAGAGTCGCCGCGAACATGGATGCCCAGACGCTCTAGTAGGGTATACCGCCTCTCGTTGAAATACTGCTGGTTATGACTCCAATGGCCATCGAAAGCGAGCCCGAAATCTGAGATCTTCATGTGACCCTTTGCGTCGATGAGGAAATTATCCGGCTTCACATCGCGGTGGATCCATTTCATCTTATGCGCCTCTTCGATGCATAGGATCATCTCCGCGATGTACCACCGTGCCACTGGCTCGTCGAGCACGTCTTCGCGGAGGAGTAGCCCCAGGAAGTCGCCGCCGACCATGTATTCCATGACAAGATACAGATGCGAATCGTCTTGGAACGCGGCAACAAGCGGGACAACCCAGTTGGAATCCTCGGAGCCCACGAGGAAGTCTCGCTCGGCGCGCAGATGTCCTTCTTGACAGTTGCGGAGCATGTCGGATTTGCGGATGACTTTCATCGCGTAGAGCTGCGATTTCGGGCTGGGACCGCCGGCGAGTTTGGGAGTTGATCCGGTAGTACTAGTCGATTGCGCTCGTTGCGACGAGGTGCTTTGGTAGTGACTGGATGACTTCCCCTTGGCGGATGGCACCGATGTTGAAGAATCCGAGGACTCTCGCACTAGACGAACGACACCGAAGCTGCCTTTCCCAAGGACACGGATGATATCGTATCCCGCAATGCTCACCACACCTGCATTCCTCGTCTTCGTCCGGAGTGCCGACTTGGTCTTGACGGCCCGAACATGCCGTAGATGGTTCGACTCCGCTCTCGCAAGGTGGTGTAGAGCCCTCTCTCTTTGTCCGTCGTTCACCCCGTATGCCTGCAATTTCTGTTCGAGTTCCTGTCGACGCCGCGTCCGAGGGGCAGTCGGTGCGGACAGGATGGAATCGAAGTGCGTCTCGAGGTAGATCTTCGCCGCGGAGGTCGTCTCGACCGTGTATATCGACGGTTGCTGCAGGATCGGACTCTCCTGCGTGGGGAAGTAGATGAACCCCGTCCCAGTCTCTTTCAACGGTGGCACGGATTTGAGACTTGTCTTCCTGGTCACCGTGTCAGAGATCCCTTTCTTTTCCGACGACGATGGGGGAGATGCCGTCGTCGGGGCAGTGGACTGCGCTGAGACGAGGGTTGCGCTAGTCTGCGCGCTCGCACTGGGCTGGTCGTCTGTATCGTCATTCTGAGTGTCTGGGAAACCGAACGGAGCTGTTGGGACGTAGGAATCCAGAGAGTTGTCCTCCGGAATGACCAGCTGGGGGCGAGCGTTCAGGCCCGGCCGTCGGACCACCGTATTCGCCGCCTCGCCTTTGAATGCGATATGCGGCGAGGACTTGCTAAGTCGTGGGCCTTTTTTGGTTTCTTGGTTTTTGGAAGAGCTGGATGGAACAATGGGAGGTGTTGGCTCCGCATGACCATCAATCGATGAGACTTCTTGCACTGGTGAGAGAGGTGGTTTGATGGCGCCTTCCCGTGTTGACAAGGAGCGTCGAAGATCATCTGCATTTTGGTCCGTGGGCTTAGAGTTCGACTCAGGGGGCTCCTGAGGAGGTGGTCCTTTACGATGAGGGTCGGGGTCGGCTGTTGCGTCCCCTTGTGCTGAGAGGCATGGCGGCGATACAGGAGGAGTGTTCTGCCCCAAAGTCGGTCCGACTTCAAGCTGCTTATCTGAGATATCCTTCGTTAGTCATCCGCAACGGATACGTCGTGGATCGAACTCACCTTTCCTCGAGCGGGTGCGCGAAAGCAATCTGCTGCCGATTCTCTTCAGTCGATTTCCCTCTGCTGGTTCCGGCGTCGGTGAGTGGGCGTCAACGGTGTGGTGGCGAGTAATGATACGGATCTTCTCCCGGATGCGGATGCTTGACAAGGAGCTGAGACTCCCACCTAGCCGTCTCTTTCGAGGGGTGCTGCTGAGGAACATTGGAAGAATGTTTGGTTAGAGCATGTTGTAGATTTGAAGGGGATGATTGCGCTCTCGACGAACTGAATAAACATCGAAACATATTCATTACAAGGAAGCGATTGCCTGTATGCTGGGATGAAGCTGCGATTGTATTGCCCAGTCAGTGATTGCAAGCCGTCCATCGTAATTGCCTCTCGAGGTCACCCTCACTGATCACGACTGGTGTGGATTAAATAAAATGCCATTATTCGATGCTACATTACTATGAGTAGTCTTGGTTATTAATATATTATTAGGTGCCAGTAGTCCTAACCATCATTGCTCCTCAGAAGTAGGGTATCTCATGCCTTCGTTCCCCCTGGGTATACCCCGAATAAAGCCAGGTCCCATTCGCCGTGTGTGACCAAAGAAAAAGGAAAGAGAAAATCCGTCCAACGCCAATTCCTGATAAGCAGCTGTCTAGGGTGATGGTAGCCCTCCCATGAAAGAATCTGCGTAGCCTTCAAACTCGATCGATCGCAATTTCATTCATTCCGTCATTCTTTCACCCTCCCCAACCTCGCCCTCCTCCGCCTCTTCGCCAACGCCGGACTCCACACCCCCGAAAACAAATCCTCACACTCATCCTCATCCTGACTGTCGAACTCGAACTCCTCCTCACTCTTCCGGTACCCCTCCTCCACCACCATCCCCTCCCCTTCCCCCTCCCAACACACCGACTTACACACCCTGCTTGTCTCCAAAATGAACTTCCCCACTTTATACCTCTGCGCCTCGTCCTCCGCCGCAATATACTTCCACCCCAACACCGCACCGCACAGTGTGCACGAGATGTCGCAGACAGTGTGAGCGCCGGTGACCAGCTGCCGGGGCATCGCCTTGTGCGCGAAGGTGTTCAGCAAATTCCCCGAGTTCTTGACCTGGTTCGGCGACGCGGAGGGGTCGATGGCTTGGAGGCTGGAGGCCGGGGGCGCGACGAGGTAGGCGCGGCCGTGACGGCCGGTGAAACCTTTGCTGATGATCTGGGAAGTGCTGCAGAGATCGGTGAGGCAGCGGGAGCAGCGGAGGTAGGAGGCGTGGCCGGAGAGGTAGGATGGGGTGGGGTTGGAGGAGGAGGGGGAGGTGCTGAGAGAGGGAGTAGAGGGGGTAGAGGAGCGGCGGCGGAAGGGGAGGGAGAGGAGGTAGGTGGGGAAGATGTTGGGGGGAGATGTGGAGGGCATGCCGGATGTGGCCCACGGGTTGATTCCCTGGATTATTGAGGATGAAGAATGTTTGGAGATATAGATAGGGCGAGAATATCACGATAGGTGGCGGTTATCGGCGAGGGATTGATAACGGGACAACGACGTTGGTGGGGCTGAATGGTTGAAGCTGATGAGGTCACCGTGCTGCTGGCGCGGGGCACTGGATTGGCAGGGGAGGATGATTTATTATTGCGTCCTGAAAGGATAGGACTGGTAATAGGGATCTATGAATGGAGAGTTAAAAGGGGACATCTTGGAATACAGTAGGAATAAATCGAATACCGGACTCCTACGGATGGGCGGCAATTAATAGAATTTATTGGGAACATTTCCGACGTCGATTCTAGTCTCTCTATGCCCCCGCAATTGGAAAGCGCCCCCGTGACAGTTTCCATGTGAAGGAATCCCTGGCAACTCTGGCCAATGGAGCGGTTTGGATTGAGCGCTAGCCTTCACCGACTAATTTCGCTGCATTACCATTGGCTGCATTAAATCCCTCGGTGAGAATGCTCGATATGATGATATGACGATTCCGGCGAGTCTCCTCTGGTGTAACTTGAAGAATGATATCAGTTTGTCACAATTGATGGAATGAATAATACCATCCGTTCTTTTCTACTCAAACGAGCATTTCTAGAACTGGGAATATACACTGTATCAAGAAAAGTTGACCATCCGTCCATCCATCAACCGCTATCTCATCTGCCAATACTCGATCCTGCCCTGCAATCCGGATCTGACGCCCACCACCCCGACGGGACCCGACACCTCTCGAATACATCCCTCCAGAGATGATCCCCATGTAGAGTCACCCACCCCTCAATAACCTACGCTCATGCTAACAAGTCCGTCCGCTCCTACGCCACGAACGGCCGAGCACCAAAGCGGCTCGGGACCCCGAACTTTGTCCCCTTTCGCTGAAACCTGCCCGCACCTCCCGCACCTCCTGCGCCTCCGGCAGCGGTCGCTGTGCCGCTGGTTGCAGCACCGGCACCGGTCGCTGTGCCGCTGGTTGCAGCACCGGCACCGGCCGCTGTGTCGCTGGTTGCAGCACCGGCACCGGCACCGCCGGCGGCACCTCCATTTCGTCTGCCACCGCCAGCCCCTCCGCCCTTTCCACCTTGACCAGCCTGGTTTCCGGCCTGATTCCCACCTTGATTCCCACCTTGATTCCCGCCTTGATTCCCACCTTGGTTTCCACCGCCTTGATTGGCGTTTCCGCCGCCTTGATTGGCGTTTCCGCCGCCTTGATTGGCGTTCCCACCGCCTTGATTGGCGTTCCCACCGCCTTGATTGCCGTTCCCACCGCCTTGATTGCCGTTCCCACCGCCTTGATTGCCGTTTCCACCGCCTTGATTGCCGTTTCCACCGCCTTGATTGCCGTTTCCACCGCCAGCCGCGACCCTAGATGTCAATTAGCAAACGAAGCAGCATGCAACAAAGAGAGCCACCTACTCAAAGCGCTGACAATCCTCCTGAGCTCCTCGCTGCGCCACCGGCATCTGGGCCACTTGATGCGTGCCCGCGCCAGTGAGGGTGCAAACCCGGTAGTTTCCCGCCGGAAGCCCACCAGCGACATCCGCCGACAGGAGCCCGTTCCCGTTGCCCTCGTCGTTAATGCCTTTGAAAAACACGAACTGGGTGGGGTCCAGTGGCTCGGTGGGGTTGAAGTTGTTGCCCATGTCTTGGACGGTGACGTGGACGTGGCCGATGATCTCCCCGTTGTTGTTGAGGGTTTGCGGGTTGCTGTAGTAGGTGACGTCCGGGTTGGTGAAGGTGCCGGCTTGGAGGTTGATCATTTGGACTTGGATTTGGAAGTCGGTTTCGGGCTCAATGGTTTCGCCGAAGGCGGGGGCGATGAACATGGCGGAGGTCATCTTGTTCTGGGCGGGGATGTCGCCCATCACTGTAGGATTGCATTAGCGGATTCGATGGAGGCGGATTGCGGAAGGGAGCGTACCAATGCCGTTACATGACCCCTGTCGGTTCTGTAGTCCATTCGTCGTCGTCTTGCCGGTACAGAAGTTGATGAAATTGGAGTCATCCCTGGAGAAAGTCAGAAACAGAACAGCAACATTGGGTAGGAGACAGATCGTACGTCAAAGCAGCAGCTTGACCATCTTCGGCCCCGGCCTCAAGGCCAGTTTTGGTGCTAGCATCTTGAACGTTCGCCGCAGCAAGACAGAGGTTGTTCTGTCCACCACCACCTTGGTTGCCTCCCTGATTCCCACCTTGATTGCCTCCTTGATTTCCACCTTGGTTCCCACCCTGATTGCCACCCTGATTCCCGCCTTGATTCCCTCCGTTCTGGCCTTTACCGCGGCCGCCCCCAAATGCCCGTTGGCCAAAAGCAACGTCGGCCACACCACTAACAACAGCAATGGTAGTCACCACGGTGCTGAAACGCATCTTGCTGAATCGTAGGGCGGGGATAAGACAATAGTTCAATCGACGGATCGATAGCTATGCAGTGAGTATAGGAGAACGAATGAATACCGAGCCAGGCGGTGATGGTATTGTATAAAGTGGTTAGATCGTAATAACGACAACAGACACGGTCAACGTCGTCTGAGCGGAATGCAAGTGACTTGAATTCAATGCGAGAGGAAACCAAAGAAAGGAACGTAACTCTCAACGACAACTAAAGACGTGGCGTGGCCCAAGAATACAGCACGACGTCCAAGCGACAGAAGAGAAAAAGCTGCATCAGAGAAAAGTCTCGAGCATCGTCCCGGAGCGCATACAGCCCTTTAAGAGACCTACCTTGGCGACTCCCTCTGCGCATCAAATTCATTTTACAAAACGGCGTCTTGGCGACGTGAAACCCACGATGAAGCTGCTCCTGTATCAGCGAACAGCCGCGTCTCCGGATCGTCCGCATGCTGCGGAGCGACTTCTCGCGATAATATTAGCAAGGGGAGCCGCGGGGTTTCTGGCGCTGAAGGTGGATGATGCGGCTCAAGAGTCAAAAGCGGTGGCGATAGCGCAGGCATGGTGGTGTTTGAGGTCGAGGAGGTTGATACGGTTGGTGTTTGGAGGCGACCGCGGAGGTCCCAGGCGGCCAGCGGAAGCGTAATGGATCGAGGGATTTGAAAGATGTCTGATCTACTTGTCATTTGTCTCAAGGGTTATGGAGAGGGGCATTTGCGTTTATCGAGATGATGATTGTTGAATGCTATGGGAGAAATGGATTGTTACGGATTCGGCTTTGAAGGTCCGCAAGTGGGTCGCTGGACACGCACGCCCCTGAACCGCCCAATCGCTCGCGTCATCATTATTGGCCAGGCCCGGGAGGGGGTTGGACGTCGTCTGCGTTTCTTTGAATACCCACAGACTTCTCATTCTCATGGCTACAGGATTGTGCAAATGTTTCCGTATTGGCGTATTGTGAGGCAGGTAAATGTCTCTTCACAGAGACAAAGGCATGAATGTAAAAGTTTCGCATGGCTGGCGATGTCCGTGTATATCCGAGGAGACATCTTACGAACGCTCCGAGTCGTGAAGATGGAAAGCAAGTCCCTCAACAGATTGAATTTACTATTATTCACGTTCGGAGGTGTCGAGCATAATTCCCTACCACTATCCATTTCTCTCCTACCCATACTACCCATTATCCACATCGCATGTCCCAAGTCCGAGTCCCAAACATCAACGACATCCCGAAGCGCGCCTCCCAACCCCTCCTTCTTCCAATCCGGTAATCCCCAGCACTCGAGACATGCAACGCCACACCATCGGTCCTGTCTCAGATCCCTTTTTTGCAGCATCTCCCTTCATTTCCATCCTTTGCATCCACTGGGTAGGAGAAAGTTAGAACGGCACAAAAATATCTCATATTCCATGCCAACGCTGGTTCAGCATGAGTCGTTCCCGACCATGCACTCGACACCTGCGCGGAGGCAGCGGATGGGCTTACCCTTCTTCAAGCGATGGCTAAGAATATAGCGGAGAAGCGATCCGCGGACGCACCGTGGTAAATTGCTTGATCGATCAACTGCATGAAGTGAGGTAATTGTTTACACCTTTCGCATACCGCAAGGTCGTATTGACAAGGAGCTTGCAAATATGCGACCCGCCCGCCTCTCCTTCAACCGGAACAGTTTCAGGACTTGGCTTTGACATTGTTGGAGCCGTTATTGCGGTAAATGAGTGAAGCCCTGGCGTCTTCGGAAAAGCAATACTGTCGGCTCGTGGACTTGAGAGAGGCAAGTCCGCGGAGTGGTTTCGAATTCGGAGCAGTACATGTGTACTTGCAGATAGGTAGGTATTGTTATGGTCCCAGGCCTGCGGCCTGTTCCCTTGGTTGTGGCTGAATACGTGGCTGGTGGATTATATCAGAGAAGCAAACAAACATGGTAACACAGCATTAGGGCATTGGAGAGGAGAGTCGCTATCTCGCGCACAAAGGTGCCGGGAGATTTCTTCTCTCTCTCTCTCTCTCTTCAGTTTAGATTAATGAACTTGGTAATCGCAGACCTTGCGCATCCAGACCGTGTCAGGTATCTTAGACCAAGCAGTCTGTGACTACGACCACTATCTCCTCTTCTCCCTATTCGTAACTCCAGACCAAATGTCATCCGTCTCAGGTCATACTTCAAGCTTCCCTTTCATCACCTGTACTGCCGTCCCTTCCAACACCACCTTGTCCACTTTCCCTTCCTCAATCACCGTGACCGTCACCACGATCTCACTCTTTTGCCCCCTCTCGATTCCCTGCGTAATTTCGAATCGAAACTCCCCAGCCTCTTTCCGCTGCAGCGCAAGGTACGAGCCCAGTGCGGCCGACCCGCTCCCCGTGGCTGGATCCTCGATATTTTCTTGGAGCATTCGCACCCGAAGTTTCTCGGTGTGGCGCGGTGCGCTGGCATTGCGTATCCGACAGAAGTAAAAGGTCCCGACGAACGAGGGCATCCAGCCTTCGTCAAGGGCGACGTCAGGGTGAGCCTGAGGCAAGTGAACTGACCCCAGGGTTTCGACGGATGGAAGCTCAATAAGTGCGAAGGTCATGCCTTTGACGATCGAAACTAAGGGCAGCCTCTCCTGAATCTGGCCGGCGAACTGCCGAAGCGCCGGTTGCGAGCTTAGGAGACTCGTCTGCGTGAGCGTCTCCGTGTGGATATGGACATCTTGTGGAATAGACGCCTTCGCGAAGCCGGTACGGGGGTTATACCCAGCTTCGATCTTTCCGGCCTTTGCATTCAAAGTGATCGGAATCCATCTATCTCCCGTCTCTTGTCGAAGCACCTCTTTTGGTAAATAATGATTGGCGCAATACCAAAGCGTCCCGATGGTCGGATGTCCCGCAAAAGGAAGCTCCGCGCCGACCATGAAGATGTCGAAATTCCATTCGGCAGCGGTCCCGCCCGCATTAAGGTGCAGAAAGACGGTTTCCGAGAAGTTGAACTCCCGAGCAATTAGCAGCTTCTCGGCTTGTGAAATGGCTGCGTCCGGGGGCAATTCGATAATAGCCAGTGGATTTCCTACATATTTCTCTTTCGTGAAGACGTCCACTGTGACATATTCGAATTGGCGAGACAGGTTTGATATATCGTAAAGCTCGATAAATATACTAATAGACGGGAGGGGAGTAGTGAGAATTTAGGACTGTGCCTTTCGCCTAAGATATAGGAATCGCTGCTGTCTCTATTTCCCCATCATGGGAGCAGATACGGCTGTACACCTTGAGCTGACACAAGATATTAGTTATCACTTGAACCCCACTCTAAGGGCGTGACAGGGACCTATAAGTCTGATCAAGTAGTTAATGTTTCTAGACACTGACACAAAGTATTCTAGGAAATCATGTGGATACGAGTTAAAAGTCTGTCCTTAGGAGGAAAAAGGTAGAAGAATGCGAACGGCACTGGATTATATTTCGCTGCGGGCTTACTCCCAATCTGACTCACAATACTAACCGCGTGACTAGGATGGTTGTAGATTTGGACTTGGAGAATTGTCGCTTCAACTTAGACCATGAGAGCAGTGTCGCCTATCCGTCCTAGCATAGGCCTTTGGCAGTGTAATGTCCTATTCTAGCCTAGCAAGACTTCGGAAGGATATTCATATGCGAACTCCTAGGGTATCATAAAAACATGGCATCTAATCATCGACCTCCATTTCTTCATCCTCCTCCACGGCCTCTTCCTCATCTTCTAATATAAACGCCCCCGGGTCGATAGGAGGCACCATCGAGACCCTCATCTTCTCTGCCCAAACTCTTAATTCCGCCTTATTGATGGCTAGACTGGCCTGTCCCTTCTTTCTCCGATCTAGCACCTTCATCTCTTTCAACGTCGTCATGATATCCTCGGGGAGGATATACGTCTCGTCGCGGATCTCGCGAACCGTCAGAGTCTTCTTCACCGGCTGTGAGAGGAGGAGCCGTGCAATTGTGGCCGACCAAAAGGAAATGTAGCCTTTACGACCGAGTTCGGAAAGCGCTGAGGTCTGGTTAGTCCATGGACCGAGGATGGGGAACGATACTCGTACGCTTCTCGGGCCCTCCGAGTCGCCCTTCCCGCTTACTGAGCTCATAGCTCGCGCCCATCAAGATCTGTCCAAACCCCTTCTTCTGCCACGGAGGGAAGACCAGAATACACGCCAGATTATTGTTATCCCAGCTCATTTTCTCCTTGCTGAAGAATCCGACCACTTGCGGCGTCGCTTGCTTCTGGGTCGGATCGGCGTAGACGAGAACGTAGTAAAGGAAGGTTGTGACGTCGTAGAATACCGATTTGGTCTCCAGGAACAGCTTCGCAAACAACGAAAGGTTCTGCGTATATAGCTTGTGTTCTTCGCCGTCAACTTCGTAGATTGTGAACGGGGCTTTCTCGTAGATAAGTCTGCCTGGTGGATTCGAAGGATCATTCGCGCAAATTGCCTACGCCAGGTATTAGCTTCTCTTCTTCGACATGGTTTCGGAAGAATCTCACCGTATGCCCTAAGAAAGGCATCACCTCCCGCACATATTTGAAGCAATGTGGACACACGAACAGCTTCTCTGTCCTAGGGCCGACAAGTTCTTCGGGATAAAAGGACGCAAACCATGGTTTAATGTGTAGATTCCCAAGGAACACATCGAGGACATTGGGGTCAAGACGTGGTGATTTGAGCTCCGAGTCGTTGCCGCCGTTCTGGAGTCGAGTGGTTTGAATGGGCGATACGGGTGCCATAATTGAGGCCCCAATAGAGCCTTATCAAGTCATCGTGGATGATGGAGATTGGGGAATGATTGAATGAAGATGGACATGTTTGCCGGCTCTTCAAGTCGACTGATGGAAGACGACGAGCTATGCGTCTGATTGGCTAATAATGCATTCACCACCACACTTTGCAATCCATAATGACCATCGCATCCTGCGTGGAACTTAACACTGACAAAATAGAAGGCGGGTTGTCTAATGTCGTCACTAAGGCAGGAGGTTTCCGAATTGATAGGGAATGTATAGATTGTGCCTGAAACACGTGCATACTAGAAATACGGTCATCACATTCCGTTGGCGAGCAGAAGATCGCGAACCGTATGCGATGTTCCAGATACAATCAAATGCAAGCAGTTATATACGAATATTTTCCATTCTTTGTCTGCGTCGCGTTGCGTTACAATCTCGCTTGCCCACTGAAAAGCCATAACACCGTCAGATTTGTTTTCAAGGTGGAAAACCTCCACGCAAAGAGACCTACCTACTTAGCACCCAGAGCGATGCACTCGATCTCGACCTGAACACCCTTTGGCAATTGCTTCACGGCGACGCAGCTCCTCGCTGGTGCATGCGGGAAGTACTTCGCATACGTCTCGTTCATTTCGGCGAAGGAAGACATATCAGCCAGGAAGACGTTGGTCTGTTGGATCATAGTTGATATCGATCGTCAGCCTCCATAGCTTCTCAGGAAGGATCGGTAGATAGGATAGATAGATAGGAATGATACTGTACGCACCTTAACCACCTTATCGAGTGCGCTTCCAGCTTCCTTGAGAATTGCCTCAATGTTCTTGCAGCATGCCGCTGTCAATTCGCCAATGGAGCCAGTCACCAGGGTGCCGGAGGCATCAGCTGGGATTTGGCCAGAGACGAACAGGAGAGGCCCAGACGGGATGGAGATGGCTTGGCTCTAAACCGAGAAGAATCTATGTTTAGCTGCTGTATGTACTTGTAGTTGAAATATGTAGAGCTTACATAGGGACCCGCCACTGCACAAGTCGGCGTTAGCGAATATGTGCTGAATAGACCCGATACCAATGGTCTATGATCAAGGCCGTTTAGACCATGGTACCGTCGGAAAGGGCTTTACTTACCTGGGCAAGCCTCTTTGGTGAAGTGTTTCTGCATTGTGATGGATTTCGTCCTCAAATTATTACTTCCAGCTATATCACTCTTGAAAGCTATCAAGCCCCTTTGAACTCGGAAGAGTGGTGGATGGTAGGACGATGACGAGCGGAGTAACCTGGTTGGCACAATTGATGAGCGACTAGAGTTTCCTGCTATATTACAATAAGACAATCTTTTGAGTATCCGCATCGAACTGCAAAGATGAATATGCTGATATTATGTCGTGTCAAAGGGCGGGCTCATTGTGGGGGTTGTTGCGGTGTCGGAGGTGGCCAGGTAGAATTTTGGTGGAACACATTAATTTAGTATATGTACTATACACCTCAAATTTTGCTATATCAATCACCTGCTTCCCTGGTGTAGTTGGTTATCACGTGGGTCTCATAGAATTCATGTCTATGACCAGGCGAAAATCCTGGAGAGATCCCAAGGTCACCAGTTCGATCCTGGTGGGGAGCAGTTTCTTTTTGATTTATTTTTGATTTTTTTTCTAATCTACGATTTCTATCGTTATTTTTTAACTCATAACTTATAGTTATAACTATCTTCCTAGTACGGATAACGAGGGAAGGTTTTTTAATTTACATGGATTCTGCGAGTTCTTTTCCTCCGACCACCTATCGCCAGCTTACTAGTATCACCTTTCCAACCTTTAACTAGGTCTGTATGGTAACTAAGTTAGTTATCAATGATCTAAGTTAACTTAGTTAAGTTAACTTAAGTTAGTTAAGTTAACTAGTTAGCTGTTTTCAAACCACCATAACTAGTGTTTCCGGGCAGTACAGTCAATGCTTTATGTTTTTCCTAGCATGAGGTTATACGGAATATACTTTGTATGCTTCTTCTTTACCTATATTTGTCCTCCCCTAGATTCCTGTTGATTCAATTAGGCATCAAAGGAAGGGTGGTGATGGTAACCACCTAAAACCAGCCAATCGATTTTGAACGCTTACGACGACTCTTGTTAAAATAAGATCCAACAAAGGAGTACTATGTGCAGCGAACTAGGTTGGAAACAAGACAAGCAACCCATGGAAATAAATCTCTGAAGGCCTGATAGCTAATGCCATGCATACTAGGCTTGCGACGCAGGAATACTTCGCAAGGCGGTTAGATCGCCGTTCACCAGCATGGCCGTCAAAGCAGACCTACTAGGAACGAACGAAAACAGACTTCTTGCTCCGATCAGTTAAGCGGTTGTGACGACACACAAGCCGCGTGAGCACTCTATCCTGTGTAGCTCGAATCTAGTGATCCTGCAACAAAGCAAGGAACGCAATGCCTCACCCACTGACTCCGCTTCGGTCGCGCTCCTCCTACTCATGATGAAAGACCACCACCATATCCTGCCTTGTGCTGGGCATTGCGTATGCTCAGATCGTGGTACGTAGAAGTGGTCGGCCGTTTGATACCTTAAGCAGAGCATTCTTCGGTTACACAGGGGAAATTCAGGACTGGGGGAGGAGAACTGCAGGACGAAATCGGGCGTTGGAGACGTCGAAGATGATATGTATCTGTCCTGCCGGTCGGGGCTGTTTTGGTGGTGGAAAGGGGCTTTTTTTTGCGCAGCCTATCCCATCTTCCTACAGGTATGACAGGTTGGCCGTTCTTGCAGTTTAACGTCACTTTCTGCGTGGCCCAACCCCGCGCCACCACCAGTTGGTCGACTGACATATCGCATATGCCCCCTCCTGCAATTTAGTCGGAATATGGCACGGCATATCTTCGATTTCATTCGTGAATCTTGTTAACGTCTGGGCATAGTCCCTCTGCGGGACGTATAAGCCACCATCCGTCTAATGTCTCAGTTTAATTCGTCTCCAGCCTTGCTCGAGGGTGATCACTACATAAGACCATGGCATCCCGCTGAAGAGGAGCCCATCTGGTACCTCTCTGCGAGATACTACAATCTCTCACCTAATTTCAAGGTGCTACGGGTGTGGACGATCCAAAGATTTTGGGGAGCCTTAAGAAGCCTAGATCCTCCTATTTCTGGGCTTTGTCTATAAATATCATTTTCAAGTCTCTCGAACACAGCGCATTGTCCTTCTTTGTCGTGATTTGAAAGCATTGGAATTCTCTACCCATATCCGTCATTGAACTTGCACTTTTAATCATGTCCGCTGCACCCATATCGACTCCTACTGAGGCACCCCGACAGGAGTTGATGTCAGCCTTGTCAACGTACGTCTAGCGAACATGTTTTTCAGTGAATTTTTTCTCATGGAACTTTTCAGACTGCTTGAAGCTGGCAAATATTCGGACCTTACCATTGTTTCCGGTTCGAAGACATATGCTGTGCATAGAGCTATTATCTGCTCGAGAAGCGGTTTCTTTGACGGCGCAGTCAGCTCTCCGTTTAGAGAGTCGCAATCGAGTATCATCGATCTAAGCGAAGATGACCCAACTGCCGTTGAACATATGGTGCACTGTGAGTTGCCGATTTAGTCAGAATGAGATTTGGAACACAAGACCCCTTCTCCATGTTATGGATATTGTGGTGTGCAACTGCTGTCGTCGCGTTAGGCGCGCCGTCTACTTCACAATTCCGACCAAACCCGATGCTCAAACAAATCGTCGTACTGATTCCGTAACCAATAGACTTTTACCATCTTGATTACCTTCTACCGCCCCAGCCACGCCTCCATACTCCCCAGTCCTCCCCCGCACAGTCCCTTCCAACGTCCCCAATGTCCCCACCTGGCTCCGCTTTCTCCCCCCTTTCCCCATGCTCTGCAACCGCACAGCAATCTTTCCGCCGACCCCGCAAACTCAATCTTGCCATGGTTGAGGATCCCCTCATAGCTACCGCGGCGGCCAACGCTCACAACGTTGATTCCTGCCTCCCCCTCTCCCCTGAAATGCCAGCTTCCCCTTCTGTGGGGACCAAATCCAACCCCTTTACGCTCGACTCCGCTCTTGATGATACTGGGAGCGATACAAACCCCTTCGAACTCCTCTCCGACCTGGAAGTCTCTCCAACCCCTGAGCCCCACCTGATGGCCCACGCGCGTGTCTATGCGTTGGCGGATAAGTACCACATTGCCGGACTGAAGACCCTGGCCGGCGCCAAGTTCGCATGCCAGGTCCAAACGCATTGGGCGGGCGAAGAGTTTGCGGATTCACTCGTGGAGGTCTATGAGAATAGCTTGGAGACTGATAGGGGCCTGCGGGATGTTTGCTTGCAGGTGTTCAGGGAGCACAGAGAAATTGCGGAGCGGAGAGAGATCCAGGAGGCGGTCAAAGGGACCCCGGAGCTGGCCTGGGAGTTGTTGAGGACGACATTGGGGCTGCCTATATGCTGATCCACGGCTCAATGTCCATAGCAACGAATTGGCATTAAGCAGACTGAGTCCGGTTGCTTGGGGATTGCCCTTTGATTGAGCGATTATAAAAGTTTTAGGCGACAAGATCGCAGGCATTCCAAGTGCTGGAGCCATGACCGCAATTGTCGTATATTGGATTTATTACTTTGGATACCTACCGATTGATGAAACACCAGCGGCTTTCAAATCTTCTGTACGACCACCTCTTCAACCCTTTCGACCATACCCTGAACGCAAAGTTCCACATCTAGTATCACATCACTCTTCAGAGGTTCAAACATGGTACATATGGCCTATCCGTAATTCACCATCCCTACTTCCAATGTCTTCCCCTTAGGTTAATGTGCGCGGAATGCTCAAACGTCCAAGGCTTGAGATGAGATGTAGTATATTTTGAACGCCCTACAAGGAAGTCGACCGACTAATTTTAGAGATCATAAGTACACAGCCAGATTCAGCACTGCGCGGCAGCAATCATTGCAGACATGGACAATTCCACTGTTCATGTCCATTTCAAGAAGAGAAGTATACATCCGCCCAAAGTTAGGCTATTTGAATGTAGGCTAGCATCCGGACCAACCGACGATCACATTGTAGTTGTCTGATATTGTCAGCTCGTTCCACATGAAGGAATAATAATACTAACCAGTATCAAATCGCTGCCCATTAACAAATTCGTTGCAAAAAGCAGCAGCACCGGGCTGACATTCATCGGAATAAGGACAACTGAGTACGATGTCCTCCGCGTAGGTTGCGAGGTAAGCGCAGTTCGGTGCGATCGGCCACGGGTTCTGTGCCGTCATATCAGCCCAAATTGTATAATACTTGAGGGGTTTGGATCCGATGACATACATCGTTGCAGAGGAAGATCCCCGAGTCCCAGGAGCAGCTAATACGGACGCAATGGGCCGGGCCAGCGTCAATTCCACACGTACCTCCACCGGGAAGAGACTTGAGGTATGAGATCCCTTGCCAGATACGGCCGACCTGAGCGTGGCGGCCAATGTTGCAAATCAGGCCGGACTTATCCCGCTTGCTCAAAGGGGGGGCGATGTCGGTTGCATTGTTGCCGAACGCTGCAGGGTCGTAGCTAGGGTTGAGGTGCACAATCTGGTTGTAGACATCTTCCGCAGTACCACTCAGCTCCACATCCTCGCCTCCAGGAGTGATCGGGCCGGTGTACTTCATCTTCGTAGTGACGAGGGTATCAAGCTGTCCGGCCGCATTTCTGGCTCCGAGACGCACGCTTCCGAGAGGGGCGGGATTGGCTAGCGCGCTGGAGACGAGAAAAGAAACCAAAAGGAGTGTCTTCAGCATGGTTAAAGTAAGGTGACAACGAGAGATCTGGACTGGACTTAATGAACAATATTGAAGATGAGGGAGCGTTTTGACAAAAAGGAAAGCCATTTGAACGAGTCGAGACGGGGTTTTTATATCTCGCCCTTAACCGCTGTCCGAGATAAGAGTTCACATGTTGACATCTCGTGCACTCATCCTGCGTGTTACCCCCTAAGGGCTTTGAATTGTCACGCCATGGTTAATATCAGAGGTCCAGGAGAAACTCGCATTTTTATGACCGCCAAGGTCAAAGGACAACGCGAACCCCATCGTGAAGCGAATCCGAATCCTTCAGGATTTCCATGGCTAACCTGAAATTTCTCAGCGTACTATTTACTGAAGCGACATCCAGGAACAGTCTTCCATTTGACCCAAGTTGTCGTCCTATATAGAGGGCATGTAGGGAGTCCCACGACCTCCTGTGCATCAGTCGAGGCTCAGCGTACCAGCTTCAACCGACCTAAGCGACCAAATCTGCATTGGCAAAATTGAAAGGATGCTCCCCTAGGCAGTCAGATATTGCGCCTAGCCCTTCTGGGCATACTGCAAAGTAGGATGGAAATTCGAATGGGGGCTAGAATTTTGCCATATGTCAATCGGCGTTTTCAGCTTTGCCATGGAAGCGGATTGATATTTATCCATAGTGCGAGGCGGAGCCCTCGACGGGGGTGGAAATGGATATTTTGCTGGTGTTTCAGGTTCTCGTTCTAGAATATCGCTGATCGCTGATCGACCATTCGACTCTATCTGAACTGCAGATGGTCAAGAACAAGGTCATAACAAGAGAAACCTGAAACAGATATGAGATAACTGCAGTGCAGGAATTCAAGACACTCGAACCAAACTCATATTTCGTATGGTTCGTAGCACCAAGACATCATCAATGCCGTCGCGATTATGGACAGCTCGAAGCAACATAGAGGCATAGAGGTATAGTAATTGGTAACTTAGGAGCATTGACAGGAACCGAGCACCAACGATGAAATGTAATCGGGAATTAGGTCCAAAATTAGCCATGATCGCATAGATTCGTACCAATCCTTCCGCCGCCCTGCCGGGACAGGATGATGAAAAATTTGAAACCCTTTTGCATCGTACCGGAAACTTAATGCCAATTTCCAACACTGTAAATTGCTTGGCTCAAAGGAATGCGAGATAGGGAACCAGCAGATTGATAGAGGCTCAGCTCAACTCTACATATAAATTGAATGGCGCCTATTGTCGTGGATGTTGGAACGGAGTAGAGTCGCCTAGCACACTTAGTTATACCAGCACAGGATTGTCCGTTGACGGCCACCGAGTTTATGTACTAAGTATGTTGATCGGCAGGTAAAAGGTGATACTCTCCCACCGTCGTCGACGTCGTCAGCCTTGTTCCGGTACCAGCCGAATATGGTGTCCTCACGAGAACACTCTAATTTTGCCTCTCATGTCTGGATTCAGTCAAATGCTCAGACATCATATAGGTTACCCTGAGGTATCGCTTCCTTCCAGTATCTATGGCAGGCGACCGTGCTTGGACGCGACGGGGCAGCTCTAACACCTCCTGATGCCCTACCGGAGTTCTCGGCCCCCAACGTTCACATAGGAGCTGAAGAATTGTAAAGTAGACGGCTTCAATCGAGGCGGAAGCAGACTTTGGTAGCTTACGTACAATAATGGCCCAGTTGACTTCACCATTGCTCTCTTGGTGCTTTCGAAACCTGATCTGAGCCACGACAATCTGGGCACCGGTTACTATCTTGTCGGCAAAAGCTCCCAGTCCCCAATGGCCAGTCAAACCTGAAATGACGGTATAGTTCCATCGGAATCGAGCTTGTTAGCTAGATAACCATCGGTGGTACACGCTCGATAAATAATCGGATGCGTTAATGGTTATAATCCCTCTTCCAGATCGACTCGAATGACGCCACGTCGATTGCGAATGGTTTCAAGAACTCTCTTTCCAAGTCATGTACCCGTTTTCCTAGCAGGATCAGACTATGCAGAGGCTTCCCCAGGTCCGCGCTCTTCAACTGCTCCAGAGTACCCACCGCAATGCTCTGATCACTCGAGCCAACCCTGGCGACACCGACGGCCAATGACTCCTTCCCATACACACCCTCAGCCTTCTCTTCTTCCACTTCCAACATCTGATCCGCGCATTGTGCCACGGTCATGAAGCGCGGAGGCTCGTAGATCTTTCTTCCCCTCGCTAGGTTCTCGAGCGACTGCTCTTTGACCTTGATGTCCAGAAGGACCAAGGTATGCAAGCCGATCGACACATTCTCCTTGATGCGGTCGTAGAAGCTTGCTGGTCGCCACGAGGGCAGGAAAAACACCATGGAGACTGTTTGGCCGAAGTTGTAGAGTTGAAGGCCCGTGGTTCCTATGGAGGTGAGGATGGAGGCATTCGGGATGGATTGGGTTGGGATGGAGAGTTCCCGGGCCCGGATGACGAGGTCAGCGTGCGTAGTTGCGCTTCGAGATGGTTAGATTTGGGGGGAACATGAACTATTATACAACACGGTACCTGAAAGGATCTCCCACTACTAAGAAGGCGACATCGACCTTGTCAGCGTCCGCGAGGATGTCATCGCTGCCGGTCTCGACCAACTCGCGGTCCGCGATGATTACTGGACGGCCATAGAAAGCTTCCTACTAATCATTCCCCCACATCAGTACAGTGATCCTTCTATTGAAGGATTGGTAGACCATACTAATTGATTTTTTTCAATGAGGAGAATGGCTGTGTATGCCTCCAAGTAGACTCGCTCAGCTCTTTTGACAATTTCCAGGCCTTTCACCGTGATATCTTTCTCATCGGCAAGGCCGAGGCCTATGAGGTACAACATCCCGCCTCGACTATTTAGTTAACAGGGCCGTGTCACTTCCGAAAACATCAAATTTTTGAGTGAAGAAGCGCGCTCAAAAATTCGCATCCTACCGTAATTCAGGTGGTGACGATGTATAGAATACGCTAAACAGTTAGCTGTAATATACTTCAGCCACACTCTATATGACGGCAGATGCATGTCTGTGTCTCCCTCCCGCATTGATCACAGCATTCTCCAAGACAAATAAGGTACACCCTCGCATTGTGTTTTCAGCAACCCTTTCAGCAACTCCTTCATCACCTGTTCCACAACTTCTTGGTGACACACAAGATTCCACTCCTGATCGTTAGCCTCGAGAGAGTCTGGCGGGCACCGAATTTGACTCACATCTGCACCATCCCGTAATTGCGACCCCGCGATCAGCCAGCATCAAGTCAAAGGGATTTACTCCATCATCATGGCGGACAAGAACCCGAAGTATAAGTCGGAGATCCAGCAGGTATGTTCATTATCTCCCCGTCATCGTTCCTTGGCTGACAGCTTCGCAGATGATGTTCGTCTCTGGTGAAACCGGCGAGGCCTCGGTGGAGACGACATCGTTGATTGAGCTGATCGTCCAGCAACAAGTTATGGAAATTGTAAGGCTTATAGTGCTCTCGATATAAGATGGACCATGTACTGACTAGCTGCGAAGTTGAAAGAGTGCACCGCCCTGGCAACCCGTCGCGGAAGCCGATCCATATCAACCGACGACCTCATGATGCTCATCCGCCACGACCGAGCGAAACTCTCCCGCTTACGACATTTCCTCCAATGGAAAGACGTCCGCAAAAACGTTAAAGAATCCTCGGATGACAAGGGACCGGATGCGGAGATCGCCGCCGCCGAAGAAGGGCCAGCGCCCGGCATGAACGGGCCTCCGGACCTGAAGAAAACGAACAAGAAGGCGCGCGTGGATCTGGCTTGGGATGTCCCCAGCTACTTCAGCGAGTTTGTGCCGGCTCGAGATGATGAGGACGATGAGGAGGAGGAAGAGCAGAACTCGGCGACGTTGCAGCGGCTGAAGAACGCCGACGAGCGGACGAAGCATATGTCGCGAGAGGACTACATGCATTGGTCGGAATGTCGACAAGCGTCGTTTACGTGGCGGAAGGGCAAGCGGTTTCGAGAATGGGCTGGGTTCGGCGGTATTACGGACACCAAGCCGAACGACGACATCATCGACATCCTTGGGTTCCTGACCTTCGAGATCGTGCAGACGCTTACAGAAGAGGCGCTGGTGGTCAAGAAAATCGAGGACGCATACAAAAAGAAGACGGGGAGCGAGACGCAGGGCCAGAAGCGGAAGCGAGAGCCGGGATTGTTCGATCTCGCGGAGGAAGAGAAGGAGCCGGTACAACCGAGCCATATTCGGGAGGCGTTCCGGAGGTTGCAGAAGTCGAACAACAAGTCGAAGGCCATGCTGAACTTCACAAATCATGTCCACCGCGCGGCATTGCGGCTGATCTGAAGTGCATTTGTCTACGATGATCCTCTACTCAGCGTCCCGTGGGATTGTTTGCATCTGGTTCCGGTTTGGATATGGCGTTACGGCATGATACCCCAGGTTTACGGTCAATGATTTGTTGTTGACATCCTTGTAAATTTCACTATTAGTTTCGTAGCTATAGAAAGTTACCGTATCAGCAGCCCACCGAATTTCTCGCAGCCAAAAATATCCCAAGCGCCATGGTCCCGATTTGCTGCCTTGCCCCCGCCGAGATCAGCCTCACAGATGCAGCGTGCAGTATCCATGAAAGTCCCACGTATATCCCTTTGAACGCCGTTAACCGCCGACAAACCGAGCACCGGCTCGAAATCCGATTTGAAACCCAACGCAGTAATGCAACTCTCTTGAACGTCCAGTCTCAGCGACGGACTCCGCCCAACCCTCCTTAGAAGATGCAATCCAAACAGCACAGCGCCGCGCAAAGACCCGCGCAAATTCCCATCGCTGCAGTCGTTCCGCCACCCCCTCGTCCCCTTCCGTTGTCTTGATATCCTTGCGGTGGGATATATCCTTGCTGTCCTTGCGGTGGGTATCCTTGTTGAGGATAGGCCATCTGCGGTTGCTGTTGATAGTTGTTGTAGTCGGGTTGTTGTTGATAGTATTGCTGCGCTTGGCCTCCGTAGGGTTGTTGCGGCGGGGGTGATTGTTGGTATCCGCCGCCCGGAGCGTAGGAGGGAGGAGGGCTCATGGGTTGATCGTATTTCGACATGTTGATGATTGTTGGGGAGGACTGTGGAGATGGAGATGGAGAGGATGCCCTGAGTGCGAAATGGGAAGTTTTAAGGAATCTCAAATCGGATTCCGATGCGTTTGAAGATTGATGTTGCAGGTGGGGCGTAGTCGCTGGGTGTCGTCGGAGTCGTCGTCACCTGCGGCGAACCGACCGGATGCGGAATGGAATGGCTGTGCCGAGTCTTTACTGGGAAATGTGCTTGGCTTGCTCGGCTTAGTCGATTTTGATCACCTAGCACGTTGACAGAGCCTTCGAAGTGCTGATTTAAGAATTTCAAAAGATGAACCATTAGGATTCATCTAAGGCCATCACTTACAAATAATGCGAAGCATGAAATCAACATGAACACGGCTTGATGTTGGACCTGACGCTCATGTGACTCTTAGACTCGATGGGGCAACAGCACAGCCACAATCCTTGTTTTATAATTTATTCACACCCGACTGCAGCTCACTGTGCAAAGTTGTGTGCCACGTGTGCATACTGGTACTACCAATTAATTATGCAGTGGGAAAGGGGAAAGTAGAGGAGTGACAGACGTACTGCCCGACAGTGCCGTAGCAGCAAGAGAACAGAGCGACCGTAAACCCAAAATAGACACACCCGCACGCCGCCACAACCTAGTTTGGCTCTTCGACTCCTCCCTTCTTACTCCTCCCACCAGCTCAACCTCTCTCGTCCGTCCGCGAGGATGGTCGGGATTTCCTCTCGAACAGAGCCTCCATCCACTCGTCACTCAACGACTTCCCGCCGTTCACCGTCATATCCCCCAGCCCAAGACTTTTGAGGTCCAGTGTTCCCAGCTCTTGGATCACCCCCATCATCAACTTCAGCTCTTTCTTTTCCGTGCCCGCAGAACTAGATTCAATGTCGACCACCTGTAGGCACAGATGGTGGACTGCGTTCCCATGCTTTGCCAAGAATTTCTTCAAGTCTCCATCGGCCATCGTCCAGTTTTTCAATATAATCGTTCTCAAATGCGGAAGGTGTAACTCTTCCGCAACGGCTTCAAATATGATACCGTCCACTGTTTGCTCCTCAAACTCTAGGAATAGAGATTCGACAGCTTGCACCATGGAGATGAACTTTCCCATCTGTCTTCCATCTAGCTCGTCGAACTCCGGATCCCCAATGCTGCTTATGTTCAGGTCGAGTTTCCGGAGCCCTGAAAATCCCTAAGTTCTCAAGCCCGTCTCTACCGGCCCTAAGATTCGAAGGTGCTCGCACGGTAGGCCAGTGTGGAACCCGTCGCCATCCATCCGGACCACCAACTCGGTAATGCTCCGACTAATCGCCGCGAGAATTGCGATGAACGTGCTCAACGGCACTATTGGGTTCATCAAGGCCATTGTCGTCAATTCGTGTGATGCGACCTCCGTCCGCAGGCATGCTGGGGCCGAAGATGCGGTATGCGTTAGGCCTAGAGTTGAGAACTCGAATTAAGGTGCTGTTTGGGAGGAGGTTCCCCAGTGCTTGCGTAAGGAGCAGCGCATCATCGCTATAAAGCTTTCTGATGTGTTGCGCTCGGCGATCGTTCTCGTGGTCCTCTAGGTATTGTGATTCCTGAACCTCAGGATCGAGATCGAAAGGTGCTTGACGGCCGGTCCCAGCTTAGGATGGCAGGAAATGCCGGCGAGGGCGTGAAGTCCACGCTCGTTGAACGCATGGTATCGGTATCGGAAATTATCGGTTGCTGAATGCTTTCCAGATTATATTGCACATCATCCGGCATGTTTGGCGATATGATGATATCCCATTGCTATCTCCTTCCGCGAGATGTCTTGCTACTTCTTCCAACATCCCGACTGGCAGAGAGGTGAGTGTAGGCAGCGTTGGAGATTCAATATTGGACTTGGTTTGACTTTGAAGTGCGAAATTAGAAGCAAGGTATATTGAAGGGGCATCCAAAGTAGATGCAATTCTGCTCTAATTTATCTTCTAATAGATGTGTGTGACGTGTCAAAATGTTATCAGAGATTGATAAAGGTCGATGTGTTTATGATAAGGTTTATACCAGGAGTTGAAGCATGTGAAAATCAGGAGCGTGAATTCTTACACCAAAGTACCAGCGGCTATGTGAATTCATTGTTGCTGTATTGGGAAAATATTGATAATGGTAATCCGTGAACGCGAAGGGTTCTGAGGGCAACGTGATGACAATAGGGGGATCACTTGAAGATGTTCCATTGAACTGATCGTGGTCCTGACCCTCACTATGTTTTCTAGAACTATAAAGCATAGCCAAGGTGATAATAAATGATATACAAAATATAATACTTCATAGAATGCAGCCTCTTAATAATTACTTGAAACCTATGTTTCCTCTGGGGAACGGGGACTCATTTTCAGGGGCTAATCGTAGTGATGGACTTGTCGTGGGAAGACTTGAGTACCACAGCACCAACCTTCAAATCGGCAAAACGACCGCCCTCTAAGGGTTTAAGCTTGTTTTTAAATATTCTATAATGCAGTTGGTCCAAAAATAGGTTATTGTGATATGTTGGTCAGCTCTTGATCCACTGGATGAACTGATTGTTTGCTAGGGAACGGAATGAAAGGGTTGATGGGTTGCGGTGTATAGAATTGTGGCTGAAAATGGAAAAAGTGCAAATCTTTAATATCAATTGGTTTCGTGGTGTAGTTGGTTATCACGTGAGTCTAACATCCTGTTAGTACACTCAAGGTCGCCGGATCGAGCCCGGCCGAAATCATTTCTTTTTGTATATTTTCAGTCCGCAAATTTTTTTGGGGTTTTTATCAGTATCTACTAAGTCACGAAATGGCCAAGCTAGCGAGGTATTCATCACCTACGACGTTCAAATTCTGTGCGGCTTTGATTGCATAGAGCCGGGGTTTGTTACGGTGAGTATCATCCGTCCAATGTTTTTAGATTTCCAACTTTTGGTTCTCTGTCGTCGAATGCCAGAACTTCTTACCAAAGCTCCAGGCTATTTTCAGATTTACCATGGCTGTCAAAGGCTATGCATGGCTCCGTAGCTGGTTCGTTCTCTGTTTTTTTAGATGTTACCCAACGTCCAGTCCAGTCCCTTAACGGATCGCTCTCCCACTCCGCGCTCTCTGTGCTCTGTTCTTAAGGTTTGTCGATATTTATACAACTGCTGAAGGTTAATTGGATTGGGGGAAAGTCTAAGGGGTGAGGTCATGTTGGCAAGGCAGGGCTATGCTTTCTTTCCCTTCCATTTCCTACCCAGCCTTGTGCTAATTATGTGACGTCTATTTGCGTTGTGATTCGACGCCACTTCGTAGCCTTGGTATGAGCAGATTGTTTACTTCAGTTCTGGCCTTCACAGTGAGGGTCTCCTCCATATGCACTCCTGATATGCGACGAGATTCATCGACTTTCGGTCTCTAGTATCCACTCTTTGGCAGCCTTCCTCGTTTCATTTTGCCAGTCCAGAGCGCTTTTCGATCGAGGCTCATTTCTCTCTATTGGGAGAAGTCGACATGTCAATCCCAGGCGCCATCTTTAGCAGTGTCAACTTCACCTTCAAGTTTGTCGAATTCATCATTCAGCTAAACGAGGTCGCCTCCGAAAACCTAGTTTTTGTCAAATTAGTATCAGGCGTTCGACGTGACTACGAAGAAGCCAGAAGATTGCGCGCCTTACCCGTCGTTAAATCCCATCTCGACATCCTCCCAAATCGACGAGATTGGATCGATGCGACAATCAGCGATGTCGAGAATGCAATCGCCGACATCGGCCGGTATACCGAGAATGCTCGTGCGGATCGAGAGCGCGATGGGGCGGTAGACTTCAAATATCGACTGCAGTGGGTGCTGAGCCATCGCGAAAAGTTTGTGACGAGGGAAACTCGACTGAGTACGTGTCACCAATCTATGCTGTCTGCTCTAGAGACGATGGTGCAGGTTGAGTCAAGAGAAATGCTCGGCGGTGCTGGAGCTTTCGACGCGACACCTCCACCATACGAGGTAGTGTTTCAAGGCGATTTGAATCCCCGAGGCCATTTCGCGCGGAGGAAGATCATGAGAAAAGGGGAATCTCAGAATCTGATTGATCTCTCCGATGAAAAAGAGGACCAGGCTTCAGGGGACTATACGAGAGTCTCGCAAGCAGTTCAAACAACTGAAAGAATGTTCCATCAGTACTCAGGTCCACATCCCGAAGTTTCCAGCTCAGCATCAGTAGTACCATCCCCACTTGGAGGGTACCTTTCACCGGAGTATCGTGCCTCCGTTTCATCCAGACACTCGGAAGCGATTTCAGATCACCCTGCGCTTTCGCCATGCACCTCTGACCTACGGCCCACAAGCCCGCCGTCGACATGTTCTTCCTCTACCTTTTCACCTAACCACACGAACTTCTCCGCCCCAGGCTCCATTCCTTCCCAGTTTAGTGTGGTGGATAGTGAGGGACCTCAAAGTTACATCGGAGATAAGTCGGTGGATTCAAGGAGGAGCCATCCTCATCTCTCGTTCTCTCAGGAATGGGATGCATTGTATGGAGCAGGAGACATATTTGCCACAAATAACAGTTTCAAAGAAGTCCTCCAACCAACTACTCCTTCGGGCTCATTTCCAGAACACCGAAGTCAGCAATCTTTGGAACAAAATGTCTCGACAAGTCCAGCTATGCTTTATCCGTTCGCGGGAACCACATCTGGTCGAGCAGACACCATAAACCCCCAGATACCTGAAGGAACCGCGCCTATGGCTCCTCTATCAGCGGGCTTAGAACGTCGCCGGAGGAAGAAAGCCATGTTCGATGCCGCTGTAGCAGACCAGGAAATGTTCTGAGCCGATATTCCTTGAAAAGGTTGAGCGCTGCCGTAGATCCATATTGCACGAGAATGGATGGATTGGATCGAATATTGGAGGAAGGTTGGATTAGATCAGAGTTGAATATATATATTGACTATTTCATAGGTCCTTCTGTTAAGCATGCAGTTGCACCAGTCCCTTACGATAGCCATCAATGCTGTATAGAAGATTTGCGCCCAAGGAGCTTCAGTCTACAATGACAATGTCAACACCATTGTATGCATTAACGTATCTCGGGATGCACTTTCTACTTACTTGCCTTTCAGTAGAAGCCTGGCATCTTTGACCGCTTTGGCTCTTGGTGGGAACATATTGATCTGAGTAACGTAACATCTCCGAAAAATGATGGAATCAGACTGCAGGAGAGACGCGCAGTTGTCCACTGTTAGGCCGGCTGCAGATCCCTTGCTTCACTTACTTTTAGACCTAACCGTGCACACAGCCTCGTCGAGTTGTGTCCACTTCAGATCTCAAATCTCACGAAGCGAGCATGGCTAGCTAGTCATGCGGGAAATGAGAGGCTTCACTTAGGTAGATAATTCGAAGACCTAATCCTGAGTTGATAGATTCCAAAATTAGTCAAGATAAAAGATATGAAAGAGATCATGGTGTCCAAGGCTGGGTACGAGAGCCTTGCTGCAAGCCATGGAGCAGGGGTGCCACACACAGACACTGACTTCTGCATATTTCTTTTGAATACGGAACGTTGAACCAATATGCATAGAGCCTCAGCAAATCAGCCGTCAATATGAAGACCTCGAACCACTTCACTTTTGCAGAAAACTCTTGGTGGCAACATCAACTCTGCCTCATCGTTTGTCAACTGCAGGAGGTCTGGAAACACGACCAGCCCATCCGGAACAACTCTATCCCATTGGAACTTCCAGGTGCTAGGTTGGCAGAAAAGAAGAAATGCGAAGCGAGTGGCGCGACGCATGATCTCCTCCAAGTTTCGTACCCGTTTCTCCTCCGCTGGATTCGCTGCAAACAGTTGTAGGATTAGATCGGCCTCGTCCATAGCCTTGCGAATGCTAGCGTTTCGGGGATCATTCTCAATGTTTTGGCCGTATTGAGGCTGCAGCAAGACACCAGAAATGGCCTTCCATTTGCTGAACAAGGCTGTTTGAGCTAAAGTTAGGTCAGAAGTTAGAGATCTGATATGTGGGGGCAATTCTGACTGACCTGAACCAGGGAAAGACGCCATTGAAGATATGCAGGTAGCAACTTCTTGCGGCAGAAACGACCCCTTCGGGTCCGAATCTAATGCTGCTCTGGAAAGACACAGGCAACCTATGTAGAGCCGTAAGACATGGTGTCGCGTGGTAGGATTCAGAAGAAGTTCTCTAAGCTTGATGACATGAATCTTGGTGGCCGCTGCGATAGGATGGAGAGCAGCGGTTCCAATCATGTCTCTATCGACCTCGGCAGTGTGATAATAACTCTGGACATGGTTCTTGATTCGGTCTCGAAGTTTAGAGAATTCTCCAGTGACTGCATCATCTTCAGCCGGTTGAGGGAGATAATTCTCCACGACAGCAACCGCAGGAGCCTTATATGAGCTTCCCATGAGCTTCCCGTTCTTTATATATGCTTCTCCGGGATCATACTGCCCGGTATTTCCATCTCCAGCTCTTTTCTTCGATCGATCTTGAGTGCGGAACCATACAAATGCTAATAGGCACGTAATGACTGCTCCAGCGAGCAAACATGCGACAGCAATACCAGCAATTGCTCCGTTGCTACGCCCTTTCGGAATTGGTAGGTTATCGGATGTGGGTGAAGAGCTGGTGGAGCTTGTTGGTAGAGTATTCACATTAGATGCCTCGTGTGAGGTCGAGTTGGATGGTTGCGGTGAAGAACTGATTGTGTGTGTCGGTAGGGTATTCGAGCTAAATGTTTGGAATGAGGTCGTGATTGCTGGTTGCGGTGAAGAACTGATTGTGCTTGTCGGTAGAGTATTCGTAGTAGATATCTGGAGTGAGGTCGAGATGGCTGCTGGCGAAACGCAGCTGCTTTTGTCCCAGATTAAGGCTTTATCAAGACACACACAACCCGTTGAATCCTCCTGGATGCCGCCACCGCAACTGCAGAGGAGTGTACTATTCCTTTGCTTCGCATCAATGTCGCTGCAGTCAGAAGGCATAGGAAAAGCTGAAGCGAGAGACATGTTTGTTTCTAGCAAACCACCAGGCTCCGGGTTGACTTTGACTTTGGTATATGGAGTTGTTATAAAAAATACCTCAGTCTGGACTGTTCTGTATATTTAAACGGCTCTGCAACCGAATTCATAGGGGAGCTGATCTAGCTTCTAGGATTCGATGCGGTATCCCCCAGTCCCCCTTTCCAGAGAGTCCTGCAATGTGATGCATTGGGCTCCAGGCGATCGGCCTCATGCACCAGATGTTGGGTGGCACGCTTGGCATACCCTTGGGCACAAGGCTCTTAAGCGGTGTGGATCCAATTCCGGTTGAACGGCAAAAAGGAATGTAGGCAGACTGGTCGAGAGGACTTGCGGCTGCAGAAAAAATGAACGCAACGCAAGGCTAGATTTAGAGTTCGGAGCCCGGTAACGAGAGCCACACTTCTTGATGTGGTGCAGCGCATATGGGAGTTGACTTGTTCGAAAAACCACAACAAGGCTAACAAGAGACACGATCGTGTTTTGTTTTGATTTCTGATCTTTGAGATAATCCCGAGCAGGTAACTCCGGAGGGATTTGACCTCTAGATTTCATTTCCGCAGGATGAATTCAAACACCCCGAGGCCTGATGTTGTGGTGGCAGTGGACTTTGGCATGACGGTATTAAGTTTTCTCGTCATAATTTGGAAGAGGTTTCGCATCGCTGACACAATGGAATACTCAGTGCACTGGTGTAGCTTACGCCAACTTGTCCATTGGCTCCAAAACGGTGAGATGGATCCAGCGTTGGCCAGGACGATCGCAAGCAAACGAGAACAAAGTTCCAACGCTTCTGGTGTATCCTCGCGACAGGCCTCAGCCTTCAAGTTGGGGATTTCTGTCAGAGAATATCTCTGAAATGACTGCGCAAGATAAGGACTATAAGGAATGGTTCAAAGTCTGGCTTGACGAGGAGAAACTCTGGAAAGCACAAGCAAAGGCACCTGAATTCGCAGCAAAGTCAATCGAAGAAGTGGAAAAATGGTAAAGCAAAGATACAGAGCAAGGATAGTCACCAATAACCTGATATGTAGGTATACCGATTATTTGCGCTGTCTCAACCAACACATTGAGGCAAAACTCTCATCGGAAGTTGCTCGCAAACGATGGGAAGATGCAATCGTAGAATTCCATTTTAGCGTTCCAACGACATGGCAACCAGCAACCGTCGAGAGATTTCGCTCGATTACTAGTCTCGCAGGCTTTGGAAAATACCCTTCTCACACCACAACCATCGGGTTGACTGAAGCTGAAGCGGCCGCTGTCCACACGTCTCAGGAGGCGTCGGGAATCTTTTCCGAGGGAGATGTTGTCCTCGTCTGCGATGTTGGCGGTGGAACAACCGATCTCTCAGTTCTGCGTGTGACGGACGTTACCAGCGGCTGCTTATCCCTTCGACAACTTGATGTCGTCTTCGGTTCAACGGTAGGCTCGACCTTCATCGATGCCCAGTTTGAGAAGGAAGCCGAGGCAAGACTCAAGATGGCGAACCAAACTGGTCCACTAAACATTGACATAGAAGAAACGGCGTGGGAGATGATGAAATCCAAGGAGTTCCAAAACGCGAAATGCGACTATGGCTCAGCAGACGATGCAGAAGTCTTCTCCATCCCCATTCCCAAACTTAGCTATGCATACAGCAATGGACTAGTTGGTATCTTCAATGGAGAGATGCAGTTCAAGATGTAGGTATAGACTTGAGTGTTCGAAACAAGACCGTAGACTAAAAGACGGCAGAGTGGAGCTTCAAGCACTATTTGATCCACAGGTAGGTGGACGAGTAGACTGTATACAATGAAAGTCTGACACCAGAGCAGATTAAAAAATTGTTCCAACTCATCGACACGCAGATTCAGCGGATGCAGCAAAAAGATCCAAGCGAGCGAATAGTGAGTTAAAGCCCTTGAAAACAAAGGGAAATTTTCTAACCGCCTAGGCTCATATGGTCCTCTCTGGGGGGTTGGGCAACTCTCTATACGTCCAAAGGAAGCTGAGAGAGCGATATGCCGCTGGCGATGGCTCTCCACATCTGAATACTGCCCGGCAAATGCAAGTGAGGGTAGCACCTGATCCTCAGCTGGCCGTGTGCAAGGGCCTCGTGGCAGATCGCATTGCGAAACTCAGTTCCGGAAAGTCCATTCTCGGTTGGAGATGCTGTAGGGCGTCCTACGGAACCGTAAGCTGTGTGCCGTCTTCCCCATGATGAATGTTGATAAGTCGAACAGAAATGCAAGGTCTTGTACAATCCCGAAAATCCACAGCATCATAATAGGCAGACAGTGCGTGATGCGCTTGACGACAAGCTATACTTACATGATACAGTAGAGTGGTTTATCAAAAAGGTAAGTGGAAAAAACTCAAGACCATGTGCATGGCCACTCACCATGTGGGAAAACAGGGCGATCCGGTGTCCATAGATAGGCCCATCATTCACAACTTTCGGCGAAAAGTCCCACCAGGGGATCCCACTCGAATATTTCCCACAGACGTGATCGCATCAAACGTAGCGAAAGAAATACTCCCTTTTCAAATCGACCCTAGTATGTATGCTCCTCACCTATACGAGCGCCGAAGTTAAATCCAATAGATTGCACGACACTTTGTAAGGTGCAGTCGGACTTGTCCTCACTCGACTTGACCAGTTTCAAGCTCAAGAACAGGCACTTCTGGAACAATGGACCCAAATATTATCGAGTTGAATTCTCCATTCGAGTCGTTCTTGGTCCTGGTACGAAGACCCTAGCGATATTGACGGGCAACACTGACAAAGTCTTCTACAGCGGACATTCGGTTTGAGCTATGGTTCCAAGGGAAGATGCATTCGACCGGAGACCCCATCAAAGTGGAATGGCAAGCAACAAATCCGCCAGAAACAATTCCTCCGGCCCAGCAATTCGATGACGGCTGGGGGATGGGCAACACGCCACAGAAATTCCAACTGGAGAATACCCTGGTGGCAGAACTACCGGAAATGGAAACCGGTCATGCACCAAACATGGTGAATTCAGTACACGAGTTGAATGGACAGCAGGGATGGAACCAAATTCATTGAAGACAGAACGAAGAGGTGTCTCCTACTGTAGTCTTCTATGCTTCAATTAGTAATTTGTCCATGGTCAAAGACTGCTGGAGTTGCAACCATCACATGATATCCTAAACGGGCATGTTAAATATAAATAGTCTTACCAGAAGATATTCTGTAGATCTCCCAATGCAACTGATAGGTCGCGAACGGGAATCAGGACCGCCTGTGCTCATTCTTGTATGCGTAAAGTTTGATTGAAGTTGAGAGCCTTGGGATGTGTATAAATGTGGGTATCATGTCGGGGACACGTGCCCAAATGGCCACCCAACGTCCCAACCTGCCAGCTACACACGCCACACTACCCCCCCCATATTCCTATCAAACTTCCTTTTGCCTTGGTCCACCACTCCACCTCTGGAGTCTGGACTACTCAACAAAAGGTTGCCTTAGTACCTCTGGTGGGTGGGAAGTGGGACAACACTCACTGGGACTGTTCCTGGTATTAGTAAGTATCACTGAGAACTTAACAATGACGCATTGCTAATAGAATATAGATGACATCGGAAAGACTGAACGAGAAAGCAACAGTTTATCCCTTCGAACGCAGCTATCTGCCACCATGGCCCGCATCGTATCTCTCCCTGTGGAGATCCTTGAAGAAATCGGAGAAGTCATCGGAAATAGTTACTATCCCGAGAATCTCTTCGATTATCGATTAACATGCTCTCTCTTACGAGACACAAGCCTTCGGGCGTTCAAAGATAAATATTTTTCTCGACGAAATCATCTCCTTACGGAAGAAAGCCTACTATGTCTTTTAGACATCGCTCGAGATCCCGCACTTGGCCCTGCTATCAAAAGCGTTACGTTCGCTACTGATGGCGTTTGTTGTGGCGTCCATACTAAGCATACTGATCTGTATGACTCCGATGACTCCGATGTAAAAGGACCCACAGAGTTTATCAATGAACAGAAGTGTCGGAGAGACAATGACGAGGATAAGATGTTACTGAGGGAGATATTTGCTCGGCTCAAACGGTGCACTGAGATCGCAATCGTTGGACCTCACTACGAACGGATATTTGATCATCTCCCTGAAATGGACCCAACCCCATGGGGCTTAAAACGCCTTCGTAAAAATGTTATTTATGGGTATCTCGATGACTCAAGCGCCTCCTCATATGTGTACCGGATAGTAATATCTGCCATTTTGTGGAGCGAAATACCCGTCAAGAGGCTACATATTGGTCCGCGCAACAACATCGGCGGGATTCTTCTTACTGAACTAGCTCTGCCAAACTTCTATTACGACATTCTCCGAGAGGTATCCTTCAAACAGTTGGAGACTCTTGAGTTGGGTGTCGATACCTCGTCGGGACCTAGTCTGTTTGTTTGGCATTTTGTGTCTGGGTTCTTAAACACGGCGCCTGGTATATCGAGATTGATACTGTCTGACTCGACGCACTTGAGAAAACAGGTCGGGAAACGGTTATTTCAATTCCTTGCGAAGGAAGTCAACTTCAACCATTTGAAAGAGCTAGAATTGAACTCGTGGACACTAAACGTGGATGATCTGCTGATTTTCCTGCGAAAGCATGTCAACAGTATCCGATCCGTTTCCTTGGTGGGCATACAACTTGTAGATCCTTTGGATCGAAGTATTCGTGGCAAGAATTGGAGTCGACTGGCTACTGCGCTGTTGGAACACTTCAAAATTGATCGGCTACTCATTGCAGAGTGCATGGTTCACGGAGATTTCGCACTGGCTCATGGCGACGATGGCAAAGGGCCTCTGGATATAGATGCATCTGGGGAGACGGAGATTGAGGAGGCATTGAATCAGCTTCTCCGTGCCAGAGGTGCTGTTAGCAGCTAATTCAATTGCGAAGGACGGAGGGAGTCAATAAATGGGTATTAACATTTTCAAAGTCCATGGTATGAAAAAGTCATCCATCCGAAAAGCTAGAGCCGCGCGATGAACAATTCCTCTAATTCTAGGTCATTTCTCTTGTGACATCTGACATCACTTGTGTCAATACGGGACACCCAAACCATTCGTTTGAGGGCCCAAGGGCCGAAAATCTTACAACAGTCATCAAGAGTGCGGCCGATGCCACCCCAAACGATTCAAATATTGAATTATATTATCCACCATCGGCTTTTGATGCCATTGCTGCTTTACCCCTGAGTCTCAATATCCATGGCGATGTGAAAATGGTTTCTGCACCCTATGGGAATATGCTAGCCGAAATCCATATGCTGGCAGGATCCTGGAAATAGTGATGAAGGAGCCATTAATGCACTTATCCTTGCAGTAGGTATATTAAGACATTCTTTTTCTTGTTCAGTATGATGCTAGCCACGTAAAATATACTATGACCATAGAGATCTCCAGGATCAGCACTATGGCAGTGACTATTATTCTAATGAATTACAAGAGGCTCAAGGAGTTCCGGCTTATGACCTTAGATATAATGCGATCACTGCAAGGCGAATTGATGATTTACTTATAAGCTAGCTTCGATGAAAAGACAATCTTTGCAATTCTATACACCCTTATCCTAATCCTTGTACTGGGCTCAACCGATCTGGCCACTTACTGTAACTGGTTCTCAGACTTTCAAAGGCATGGCGAGAACGCTTGTTCTCCAGTCCCTAGCTCGTTCAACTGTAGGAATAAGAATCTAGAAAATCAAGCAAACCCCTGAAATGGCAAACATAACACAGCTCCTACATATTGGGCTGATTAGTCTTGATAGGCTTCCATCAGTGCTTGTCATTGAAATCAGTGACTGATTTCCCGGTATTTCTAAAATGCACCGTTCTAAAAAAGGATCTCGATCAAACGCACAAGGGAATTCAAGTTTCAAACATTTAAGGAAAGCATTTCTCCTGAGGCTTATCTGAAAAACTCGTGTCATCGGATAGTTGTAGTAATAAACGTTGAACTCCGTCTTAGTTAATTATGAATCTGTGGATTTACTGATTTCCAAGACTTCGCCTCACCTACCACACGTTTACAAACATCTCTCTTTGAATTGAAACTTAATATATTCCTATGATCAATTCGGAGGACCATGGGACCTTTCTCGGGAAGCATAGGCAGTCTGCGGTCAATTTCTCTTGTGAACATCACCCTTGTGGGGCCACCATCGTACGCTTCTCGGCCGTGGACCCACTTGGGGATCAAGTTGTTGGAAGACTGCAATATAGACCATCTGTTATTGGGGGACTGCAAGAGTGGCGTCCACCCGCTGCCGCGCATTCTTGCTGATATATGCAGAGACGATGGTGGAGGAGGCCCAGTAGCGGCTTATTCGGGTAAATTGAGCCGATAACTGTCGGAAAGGAAGAAATTAGATGTCCACGGATTGGTGAGCGCGCCCAAAGTCATCGAAAGGGGAGGACGGCAGGTGCGTGAGGACCGAGTATGGAATGTAACTGCTTTGCAGGAAATAAGGATCGAAGTCTTGACAGACAGTATGAAAAGTCATTGTTTCCCGAGGATAGTGTGTGAAGAAATGCTCCAAGTACACTTGAGATTTAAATGGAATGTAGAACCTGCTTTCAATTTATTGAAGCAGCACAGCATTACCAGCCGGATCCCAAGCACACCACTCTTCGCCCACCATACTGACACCTGGGAAAATGAGGTGAGGTACTTCCATTATTTCGCGGTGGTATATGGAGAGCCTGATAGATTGCCGAATTCTGCTAGTGAGTCTTGGGTCGGTGGCTAGCTTTGCTTGATGAAACAGCCAATCGGTCGAGGTGAACTTAGCTCCGTTTGAGAGAGTGCACCAGCAGATTGTGGCCCATGTAGGGCATGTCTTGCTGCGTATAACGTCCAAAATCTTGGTACTGTCCGGATGAATATTCCTGATGGAGGGCGACAGCACATTTGAGGCGTTTCGGCAAATCTGGGGACCTGACTTTGTAGGTGGCGACGGGCCAGTACTCAGTACCATCGTGGGGTTTAGGCATATAAATGTCTGTGATGAACGAGTTTGACAACCAGGCAGCCTTAACTGCGAGTCTTATCTCGTGCTCGATGACTCTCGCCATCCTCTTCATGCCTCGGCCGTCTTGCACGTTCCTCTGACCGTAACCTCTCCCTCTCTCGTCGATCCCTTCTCGAATCTCGGTCCTCGCTGTCATCCCTCCGGTGTCGGCGATGGGACCTGCGAGGCGCTTCTTCACCGGACCCGTCCCTCATACGTCTGCTTTTATGTCTTCTCTCTTCGCGATCCGAGTCCCGGTGATCTTTATCCCTCCATCTATCCCTCCCTCTATCCCTCGATCTCCGACCTTCTTTCGATCCGTGCCTGTCTTTGATTCTCCGACGGTCTGGCGAACGTGAACGCTCCTCAGAGTAATCCCGACGACCGTGCTTATGCCGTGATTTCCTGTCATCGTCCACATCCATGGCATCTTCGTCCACGGGCTGGGTGGCAGCCATAGTATTATCTGCCAACTCCTCATCATCCTTCTTCTTATACCTCGTATGATCGACTCTCAGCGTTCGGCCGAGAACCACAGCACCTCCCATATTATCCACCGCCAAATCGGTACTTCTCTGATCTTCATACTTCAGAAACGCAAAACCCTTGCTCTTGCCAGTTTCCTTGTCACGAACCAAGTTGATGAAGACGGGTTCGCCATATTGTGAGAAGATGGTGATGATGTCACCTTCGGAGACCTCGAAAGGGAGTCCACCGATGAAGATGTAGGCAGTGTCGCGGTAGTCGGCGTGCCAGGAGCCTTCGGGGGTGATTCCGGCTTCGAGCTCGCGCTTGTTGAGTTCTTTGATTTGGCGGATGGTGTTCATGTTGACTGGTGGTTCGCTTTGTTTTATCAGATATGGAATTCGATCCTCATGTTATCTCTGGCTGAATTTTTGTACGGATTGTTTGGTGGGAATATAATATCAAAGTTGAAGAAACAGTCGTCACCTCGTCATATCAAAAAGTCCGATTGATTGGTCCGAGCTTCGACGCGGAATCTGGGGAAATTCGCGTCTCCCAAATTTCAACGTCGTTCCATATCATCAACATAACCAACATAACCAAACACATTCCAGCGTTCACAAAAATGAGAATATAATCCAGCTATTCTCCCACAAACACCCATACCCTCTCACTGCGCAAACAATGGCCTCCCGTCCACCCCGCTCCTCCACCGGTGCATCCACCACCACCACCGCCCAACCCCCCTCCATCTGGTCCTCCCTCCTCGACGCCGCCAGCACCAGCAAACGCCTCCCCAACAAAACCCTCCTTATCCTCGGCGGCACTCCGAATTCCCAACGCGATTTCCTCACCTCCCTAACACATGACCCTGCGTCCTCGCGTAACCGACCCCTGAACAATCTGCGGAACACTACGAACCCTAGTAACCCGCTCGCAAACGACCTAGCGCTGGGGTACACGTACCATGATGTGCTGGACGCTGACCAGGAAGATGTTCTGGCAAGGGTAGGGTGCTATATGGTCTCCGACCCCGCAGACGAGGCGCTAGTGCCGTTGGCTAGGAAAGTGGTGTTGTCGAAAGACGCGGTCGACGGGGGGATGTGCGTTGTCCTGCTACTCGACTGGGCACGGCCATGGGAATGGTTGCGGAAGTTACGCGGGTGGATACGCTGGGTGAGAATCCTAGTGGACGGAGCGGACGATGAGGTCAAGGAGGTGATGGAGGCGGAGGTAAGGGCGTGGAGGGAGCGGAAGCGAGGCCCCGGCGCGGAGGCGAGTGCGGGTGAAAGACCTGGAACGGCGGGCTCTGATGTGGTGGTGCCGTTAGGGCCGGGGGAATGGGATTCGCCGCTCGGGCTGCCGCTGTGCGTGGTTGCGCAGAACGCCGAGGCGATAGAAGGGCTCGAGCGGGAACGGGGGTGGAGGGAAGAGGAGTTCGATTTCGTTCTGCAGGTTCTACGGACGGTCTTGCTGAAGCATGGTGCGGGGCTGGTATACACGATGTCGTCTCCACAGGCATCGGCGCCCATGCGGGATCTGGTGCACGCGATGTTGGGAATTCAATCGATGTTGAAACGGAGTCAGTTGAAGCATAACGTAATCGATCGCGATCAGGTCCTGGTGCCGCCGAACTGGGACTCCTGGGGCAAGATCCGCGTGTTAAGAGAAGGATTGGACGTCGAAGAAGTCAGCAAGATCTGGGACCTCGACATCGACGCGTCTTCTCCCTCCAACTCTCTCCAACCATCCGACCAATCGCCTTCAGACTCCCCCGATCATTCCGAAACGTCCTCCGTCCTCGCCCTCTATAAATCCCACATCCCCTCTCCGCGCGGCACCCTCGGCACTGACCTCATCCGCTCGCACGCTACTAGCATCTCTGTGTCCGCGCCCGACAACCAAGTGTTCCTCGAGCAGCAGCGGTCGATCCTCGACAAGTTGCAGGGTGAGGACGAGAAGGAGAAGGCGAACAAGCCGAAGGCGAGCAACGCGGGGGTGCTGAGCTCGATTGTGGCGGCGACGACGGAGAGTGCGGGAGGGAGGGTGGTGGAGGATCATATTGGGCCGGTGCAGTTTAATTTCGGGGGGGTGAATGTGGATGCTGAGGAGGAGATCAGGAGGATTGAGGTATGATTCTCTACGTCATTTTCATTCCTCGACTACAATCCGGACGATGCCTTTCCCTCATTTCGTCGATTGTATGGTCGCGGCATGGCCATAGCTTTGCAAGGAGAATATTGGCTAAGGGAGAACAATCAACAGGAACGCGAAGCAAGCCGAGCCGCACCAAAGCCGGACGCCCCAGCTACCCCCATAACCCCAACGACAGCAAAATCGGAGGCGAAGTCCGACATGGACAACAAGGAGCTATCGAAGTTCTTCTCCGCGCTGAAGGCGAAGACGGGAGGGTCGCCCGCGAGCAGCCCCAAGGCGTAGGGCTCTAGCATGCACGCATCGTCGTCCACTTTGGAGAAATGAGAAGCATTGCTTCGTCTATGGATTCAGAGGGAAGCGATGAGGAGGAACGGATACGCGGAGTTCGGGTGTGGTCACTTGACGGAGCGAATCGGTGCGTGGTTTTGATATACCCAAGTATTGGATTACCGTATGGTATTATACAAGCAAAGTTCGCAGATCTATTCTACACCCAACCCCGCTGATCATAAGCTCTCCAATACTGCCGGTCAGGCGAAAGGAAGCGAGTCGTGATAAAACATCAGTGATTGATCGACCATGTGACGGCGTCGTCATGGATGATTTGATAATCAGTAAAGAGCAATTTCGGAAACTCGTGTTAATGCAGTTGAGGCATGTCAAGAATCCGCCAAATGTGCGAAGGAAGAAGTAGAGCGGAAGAAGACAACAACTATCCACCGCAGGCGCAATGCAAGAAATGCTCAGAAGGTAAAAGTCGCTTCCCATCAAGGCATGCAGGCAAAGCAGCAGGAATAAAACGCCATCGCTAGTTAGGCAGAACGCAAAGAACTGAACAAAGGCACGAACGCTAGAGGGTGGCATGAAAACAGGCAGGAATCCCCAAATCGACATGGAAGGGTTCAAAAGAGAACGCCTTCGGATCCGACAATGTTGACTGGAGATGGCAGAACAACATCTCAACTCATTCACATCAACCAACTACCCCTCAAAACACAAACCCCCCAACAGCTCCCCTCTCCACCTCCGATCTCCACGCCAACCCTCAAACGCCCTCCCCTCTCAACATCTCCACCCCCTCCACCGCCCAACCATAATCCATTAACACCGCTCTCCCATCCTGACTCGTCGCCACGATCCGCCGATAATCCCCCTTCGCTGCAAGGATCCAACTCGTCGTCCAATCCATATAGCTCCCAATCTCCCGCTCCCCATCATTCCGCTCCTCCGCCCCCACATCCACCGCCTCATCCACGTCCATCGCGTCGTTATCGGCGTTGAACGATGCGAAGTGATGTGCGGTGCTCGTCCCGCTGGCGCTGGTGGCCTGCGACGCGGTCGAGGGCAGCCGGCTGTGGATGACGGAGCCCTGCAGTTCGGGATTCTGCAGCAGCTCCCGCGCGGATGGCGCGGACGGCTGGAACCGCTTCGACCGCGCCGCCCCGTCGAACGAATAAACCCGCATGCTCTGGTCGTAGCTCCCGGAAATCACTCGCCCGTTCACCGAGTCGAGGAACAGGCTGCGCACGAGGCCTGTGTGCCCGCGATACGTGTGTAGTAGCTCCCCGGTAGCGGAGTCGAACTTGTAGATAACCTGGTCGTTTCCGCCCGCGAGAACGAAGCGCGTGTCGGCGCTGAACTCGACGGCGGCTAACCCGCGGTCTTTGCTGGGGAAGTCGCGGATGCATTTCTGGGTTTGGAGGTTCCAGAGCTTGGCGACGCCGTCACCGGAGGCGCTGACGAGGAGGTTGCCGCGCAGCTGGACGGCGTTGACGGGGCCGTTGTGGCCGGTGAGAACGCCGAGGAGGTCGCCGGTGGCGCGGTCCCAGAGGCAGATGGTGGCGTCTTTGCTACAGGAGATGATGCGGGTGCTGTCCATGCAGACATCGAGGACGCCGGCGGAGTGTTTGCGGAGGCGGCGCACGGGCTCGAAGGTCGCGAGGTCCCAGACGAGGCAAGTGGTGTCGCTGGAGCCGGTCACCATATGGGTGTCGTCGTAGTGGAGGCACAGGATGGAGGCCTGGTGGTATTGTTCAGGGATGTGGTAGATTTCGTTGCCTTCGGAGGTGCCGTTGAGGCTGGGGCGGTCCATCACCGTTGCGTGCGGATGGGTAGGCAGACGGGTCTCCGGGTCGTCGCGAACCGGGCGGGATGCCGGGCCTCCGATGACTTTGAGACAGCGGAAATCGCGCATCGACCACACCCGGATGGTGCGGTCACGCGATCCCGTGATGAGCTTGTCCTCATCGAATTGGCAGCAGTACACACTGTCGGTATGACCGGTGAAGTAGATCGCTCGGGGGCTGCAGTGGAGCCAGTTACCTTCAATCAAGTGCCGGGCTTTGTACATTTGCTTATAGTCCTGGGTGCCGTTGGGTTTGGTGCCGATTCCCAGGCCGCCCATCATGCGCGGTTGAGGGGTAACGTTGATCGTGGGTTTGTACGCGGAGAGGAAGGAGGCGCGCCAGCAATGCTGGGAGCGAGAGAGGGCGGCCCAGCGACCAGAGACGAGTTCGCTGCGACTGAGAGAGCGGGCGTCGAGGTAGCCGAGAATTTCGATCATGAGTTCAGGGGGCAAGCGCATCGCCGGGTCTGCGTAAATGGTACTGTTAATATCAAGCTCCAACATGACTGTAGACAGATTATCCATCTTGATGATGCGTTGGACAGATATGGAAACGAGTGACAGGAAATGGAAATAGGAGTCCAGAAAGGAGAGGAGATGTCTGATGGTGGGGAGAACGGGATGTTGGGATGAGTGTACCACAGTCCACAGGTTGGAAAGTGCAATGCCGTAAACACCAACCATCTCCATGGTGATGATCCGCAGGTGAAACCATGGTACTTCATGGTAATCACCACCAAACTCCCATCACCCCCCTCGACATAGAAATTAGAAAACAAACAAACGGGACATATAAACTTACCAACTCCCTTAGCCCGCAACATCGGCGAAAGCGAATCCGCCCTCGCCAAAGCCTTCGCCCCTTCCACCTGCGAATGTTTCAACACCGCCGCTTTCCCTGCCAACTCCGATCCGAAAGCATGGTATCCATATCCCGCTGCCACCGGCGGACCCAAGCCCGCCGCTCCATCCGCTCCATTCCCTTCTCCCCATCGGACGAACTTCCAAGGCCGTTCGCGCAGCTCGGACAGGTGGCTCGCCATCCGGCCGGACATCTGCGGCTCTCGCTCAATGAAGCTCGGCATGGTGGAGGAGATGGGAATCGGTGAGCTGATGGGCAGGGCGGGCGCTCGATGTTCGGAGGGTGGTTGGAGCGGAGGTTGGACTTGATTGGACTCCTTCGTACTCATCGTGCCGTTCTGCGCGGCGGCGGCGGCTCGAGCGGCGGACCCGGCGCGGTTCGGAATGACGGCGCCGTCGACCATGAATGCGCCGTTCTGGCTATACACGGGATATCCCGCCTGCGCGGCGGTGGTTCCTGCGGCGGTGGACACGGCCTGTCGTCGGCCGCGGAAGATGCTCGGACGGCGGCTAGGACAACCGGACGGTCTGCTCTGACTACTCCCCATTTCCGCCGGTGTGTCGCGGGCACTGTCAGTTGCCGGTTCGGTGTCTATTTCTTCACCGGCGTCGGCCTCCTCCACGGTGTCTTGTGAAAGCGAGCTCGGGACTTCGACGACTGCTTGTAATTGTGCGTGGATCGATGAGGGCGCATCAAGTTGGTCGATGGAGCCTTTTCTTGACTTCAATGGTCGAGGATGTAGACGGACAGAGTTGGAGGCGCGGCGAGCGATCGAGCGGACGTTGTTGGAAATTTCGTGGATGGAGCGCTTGAAGCGATCGGGTTTCGAGTGATCTCCAGTTGCAGTTGACGATGCGTCTGAAAAGCCGGCACTCCAGGAGGTTAAATCCCCGGTTGAGTTTCCGGATAAGCTGGCGATGTGGGATGGTCTTGAGCCGAAATCATTGGTCATGCGGCGGTTGGCGACCCAGGTTGATGCGCGGACTGAGCGGGTGGTCTCATCTGCGAGTGATGGGAGTGGTGAAGTGGTAGGCCGGTAGGAGAGGGATTGTGAGGAACGGTGATGTGAAAACATCCTCACAATTCTTTTCGGTGATGTGTGATTGTGAGGACGCTTAGTCGTCGCTAAGACGATCGTTTGTAGCTCTAAACGCTTCCGCAGTTTTCTCGTCGTCTACGTCCTCGCTCGTGAATGGGCTCCGCCACTCCACCTCAGACAATCCTATCCTCTATTATACTCTTCAATGTTGTGAAACACAAAGATCCTCTTATTGAGATACTAGATCCGATAGTCCAAGGCAACCTGCAGGAGGTATATCGCATCCACGACTCCCTTGGATGGGGAATGCAATGTCTCGGTGGGATCTTGACGGTCTTGGAATTAATGACGCTGGAATTAATGACGCTGGAACTGTAGCTGACCCAAACGAGCGACTGCGGAGGTTCAGCAATGATCGATGGTTCGTGATACAATGCAGCGGTAGGAATAGAACTCCCTGTGGCGGACTAGCGATGTTGTGTACGGGTCGAGGTGCATCTATTGCAAACGAGGGCGTTTCGGGGTTCCCGATGGCGTCCGAAAATGTCCAACGGAACACTTTGGTACCAAAACAGCACAAGATATCGTGGGGAGCGAGGTAGAGGAGGATTGAATGCCCGAGAAGGGATGTTGATGTGAAGGGATCGAAAGGGACGGACAGCGGCAAGGGGGTGCACAGGAGAGTGACTGATAGAGGGACCCTTTAAGCGAAGGAGGATTGAAAGGAAGAGGTATCCAAGTCAGGAATAGGGTTCAAAGGCGGATAGATAAAGAGGTGTTATTATTGCAGACGAAGGAGAGGATACACCCAACGATGTTTTGAATGTTGTTGCGATAAGATGAAGGACTGGTGTTAGCGGCTCTCATGGATTTGCTGTGGCGACAGGGAACCACCGCCTTTTTTACCAGGGGCCTTTTTACTAGGCCTTTTCTACCAGGGGATGCCGTCTAATCCGTTGTCATTTGTCAACATCAATTTCAAGTTTTCAACTGGAAGATCCGCCGCCGACAGTTGTGACTTATGTCTTAACTAGACTATGACTTATGACTTATGTTGACTTGTTGGGCTGGAAGGTTTTCCTTCCCCCCCTGTTGCATCGTCTCCCCGAATCAGTGCCATCCTACGGAGCCGATCCGCGACGCCATCTGCCGTTCTGAGCCGACGAGTCTTCTGGCCACCGGGCAACGGACAGGTGAAGGCGTGAAGTGGCGCTCCACCAAAACATCACGGACGAGAATGAATATCCAACGAACTATCCGTATTTTTCATAGTGATGACCTGTGGCAGTCCATTCACCATTGGATATTTGGACTGCTGTGGACTGCTGTGGACAGCCGAGGATTCCAGAGGTGTCACTACCAGGACTCCGTACTCATGCTGACACAGGATTCGACAAATGTGGTGATGCCATTTTTATCTCCATCAGCCCGCCAACGAATCCGAAAAATCTCACCAGTGTCCGCCCTCTGCACATCATCCTATCTGCGTTCTGAGGCACCAGTTGGCGTTGGCCGCCGCAGATGTGTAATGTGTAGGGGGTTCCACACCCAACAGCTCGGGCACTGCCGATTGGGATGGAGTTTGGACCCGGTTGTCGAAACTTGAAACCGATGTAGACACGGCATTCGTTGTAGTCGGCTCTCAGGAGTGTATGGTGGAGCAGTCATTGGTTGGAGTAACTGGCTCTGTTTGGCCGTAGGCATTGTCATCAGTATGAATGCTCAGAGTTGGTTGGCGCGTCTGAGAAGAGTACCATAACGCTGTGTCGGTTGTGAATTCAGATATTCATAGACCACTGAGCTGGCTTTTCAGCGCCCAACTGAACTCTGCACACTGGAATGTCGGTCAAGCTGGAGAGCCGATACTAATCAAGATCCGGCAGTCCACAACATTTATGGTGGAAGAGTACTTAATAAATACCATACTAGCAGTATGCATAGAAATATGGACTACAGCCCCCTCGGCCGCAATGATTATATTCCGCACCCTAGTTCGAAATGCTCCCCCTGCAAACCTTTTTCTAAGTCAACATCATCCACCGTCCGAACCCGCCTCTGTTTTACATAGCAAGTCAACCCGACTTTCCGGACATGCGTCTATTCCTCCGGTTTCGAATAACAATACCCGTTGGCCGAGACTCCGAGTATCCGAACCTTGGTCCAATACCTAGCCGTCGCCTCCCCCCTAACAGCCATATATTGAATCCCTTGCATCTCCTCCAATGCCTACCATCTAACAACCGGTAAGGGGACACTGTTGTCCCACACTCCGGGAATCGGGAATCGAGCCACGAGGAGGGTATATGCAGGCTTGTTTGGTTCAGCATTGTCGGAATGTTTCTCATGGCATTGGCTCGAGCGGCAAGGGGCCTCAAGAACGGGCGCTTACGACGGTGGGAAACATCACGCTTCCCAAGATCCGGATGGAAACACCGAGGGCAATAACCCCATTCTCATGGACGTCTGTCTGGTTCTCGAATGACAGGCACGTTGATACTTGAACATGCCATTGCTTCATTGAAGTTATGCTTTTGACACCCTAAAAATTTACTCCATGAGCCATCGTAGTCCGACGGCATCACCTGCCCGTGCCATAAAGCAATCCACTTCCCCCCTCTTTTCCTCTACTGCTCAAAAGCCGGCTGCGGCTGCTCCTCCCCTTGCTCCTCCGCGGCCTGCTCCTCCAGCCTCTGCTGCTCCGCGGCCTGCTGTGCCTGGATGGCCTTGGCGCCGTAGTCCTGGCTCATGGGCTGTACGACCGGCTGCTCCTCCTTGGGCTCGATGACGGTGACGGAGTCGGGAAGGGCCTTCTGCGGGCCAGCCTTGCCGTCGGGGTCGGCGCCACGCATGATCTTTACCTTGATCCCGAGGACACCTTGGCGGAGGAGGACGTGGCGGGTAGCGAAGTCGATGAAGTCTTTGGCGGGTTGACCGGAGTGGATCATGAAGCCGTCCTCGGAGGAGGTTAGCGAACGTTCCATAACGCTCGGAACATCGAGAAAATTTGAGAGGACGGGGAGAGGAGACTCACGGTGAACTTCATGCTCTTGGCACGCGCAGCCCTCAGCTTTCCAGAAACCACCACCTCACACCCCTTCGCGCCACTCTCCATGATGAACCGCAGCACACCATAGCACGCTCTCCGGACAGCCAGACCGTTCAACAGCTTGTATCGGAGCGACTCGCATTGCGCAACGGCCGACAGCCCGCGGTTCTGCACCTTGGCGGCGTAGAGGGAGACGGAGTTCTCGGGGAACTTGAAGCGCTTCTGGATGAGGGAGGTGAGTTCGCGGATGCGGCGGCCTTGCTCGCCGAGGACCTCTTGCGTGTGGGTCGCGCGGACGATGATGTCGGTGACGGTCGGGGTCACGCGCACTTCGACGCCGGAGTAGCCTTCTTCGGCGAGTTCGCGCTGGAAGAATTCGTTGAGTTCGGCGTAGAAAACACCGTCTGGGAGGTGGAGGTTAGTTTTGGTTTCTCTTCAATTGATCGCGTCTCTCAAATCGAGGTTCATTTTGGCATGTGTCGTAATATCGTCGCTTATGGACGGAATGCAGAGCATCTTGATTTCTAGAGTGGAAATTGTGTATATCGTACCTGCAACGAACTTCCTCCGCTTGGACCTGGGTACACATTAGCTTCAATTCGATTCCCATTCGCTAATTGGAAAACATACATGGTAGTCTGTGCTGCTGACATCTTGACCGAGTGTTGCTTCAAGAGATGTCTGGGTGTGTTGGGTGGTGGTGTCGAGAGAGATAATCACGATGCAGCGTCGATGTCGATGTGGTGGTTGAATTTTGGAGAGAGAGCAAGCGACATGTGCGCCAAGACTGGTGTTGGATACAAATAGGGTGCCTTATTGCCTGGCCTTCAAACTTGTAGCCTTGCAGCCTTGCAGCCTCACCCCTGTCACAGTCATACAGAAGGAACGATGCATGGGATCGCCCCGCGCCTGCCCGCGGCGCCGCTAGTTATTGACTACATCAGATCCAGTCTGTCACTGCCCAGTTCTGCCACTCCGCCTGTCTAGGACTCCGATGTCTTAAGCTGTCAGCTCTCAACCCTGGTGATGATATTCATGGCTGTGCAGCAAACTAGCAAACCACCTACTTTCGCTCTTCATAAGCCTGAGGAATACCGTACATGCTCTCTGAATTATTTTACTGAATATCACAATACTGCTACGTTCGTTCAAGGGGAGGAGGAGTTGATTGCACATCCACTGATTCCTTGCTGCTCCGTACTCGAGCGTCGAGTACAGATGCATGGTAAATGGACAAGATCCGGATATCGAAGGTAGGTGGTCATGGCGTTGTCGTGTATAATACTATAATACTAACCGCGAGATAGGTGGAAGATGTGACATTATGGCGACAAGGACAAAAGGCCATAGGGATCCTCCATCTGACTCCCCACCACCTCATCTTCACATACATCCCTCCACCATCGAAGCTCCCCAGCGACCAGCAACCACCACCCGACAAGCCTCCCAGGCAACGAGAAATATGGATCACCTATCCTATGATTTCATTCTGCACATACCGACCTGCCTACGTCGCCACCCTCTCGCGACAACATTCGTCCATCCGTCTGCGATGTCGAGACTTCATGTTCGTGGCTTTCCAGTTTGTGGTGGAAGAGCAGGCAAGACAGGTCTACGACACCATCCGCTCCCTGACCTGCAAACTGGGACGGATCGACAAGCTCTATGCTTTCAGCTATGAGCCCCAGAGTCCGGAGAAAGAGCTCAACGGCTGGGATCTGTACGACGCTGCGAAAGAGTGGCGGAGGTTAGGGGTCGGGGAGAAAGACTCGGACAAGGGATGGAGGATATCTACCATCAATCAGGACTATAAGGTGTGCAACAAATCCCCCACCGAGGCGAAAGCGCTAACTTGTTGTCCAGTACTCTCCAACATACCCCGCGCTTCTTCCTGTCCCATCCTGCATATCCGACAATACGCTGAATTACGCTGGCCGCTACCGCTCCAAGGTCCGAATCCCGGTCCTATCCTACCTTCACCCCATCAACCACTGCACCATCACACGAAGCTCGCAGCCTCTCGTGGGCGTGCGGAACCACCGTAGCGTACAAGATGAGCGGCTGTTAGCTGCCATCTTCGCAACCTCGGAAAGGGGAGGGGAGTCCATGGAGTCCTCGGCCTCATCCGCGTCTAATGTGACCGTTGAAGGAGCATCAGGACCGAGTCAGGGTGGATCGAGTCAGGGAGAACCGCCACTCCCGGCGACGGAAGATGGTTCATATGCGGACGCTGAAGCAATCGAAAACCAAGTACTTGCTCGCATGAATGGTCAAAGAGAAGAAGGAATGGTCAAGGTATACGGTGCGCAACAAAGTAACCTCATCGTAGATGCCAGACCGGGCATCAATGCTTTGGTCAACCATGCTCAAGGGATGGGTTCCGAAAACATGGATAACTACAAGTTCGCAACCAAGGCCTATCTGGGGATTGGTAATATTCATGTTATGAGAGAGAGTCTCCAGACCGTGATCGAGGCCCTGAAAGATGCGGACTATACGACGTTACCACCGAACCGAGAACAACTCACAAAGAGTGGATGGATCAAGCATATCACCAGCATCCTCGATGGTGCGGCGCTGGTCGCACGTCAAGTTGGGATCCATCATTCGCACGTCCTCATACATTGCTCGGATGGCTGGGATCGCACCAGTCAATTGAGCTGCCTCGCCCAGATGTGCCTCGATCCCTACTACAGGACGCTGGAGGGGTTCATGGTCCTCGTTGAGAAAGACTTCCTCTCATTCGGACACATGTTCCGCCATCGATCCGGCTTCCTCAGCAGTGAGAAATGGTTCGATATTGAAAACGAGCGTATTGGTGGTAACAGGGTGACATCAGGTCTCGCCGATCCTACAGCTAACATTGGTCCCGGCAAAGCTCTCGAGAATGCTCTCCGCAGCGCGAAAGGATTTTTCAACCGAAGCAACGAAAGCCGCGAAAGCCTGCCGGGCTCCGATTCCGACATGCAAGGACGCGACTCCCCATCCGCACCCCTCGTGGACCCGCATCCGCCGAATGAGAGGCACGCCACGAAAGTCAAAGAAACCTCCCCCGTCTTTCATCAATTCCTCGACGCCACCTACCAACTCCTCCACCATCACCCCACCCGCTTCGAGTTCAACGAACGCTTCCTCCGCCGTCTCCTGTACCACCTCTACTCCTGCCAATACGGCACATTCCTCTTCGACTCCGAGAAAGAGCGCGTCGACGCCAACATCCGCCACCGCTCCCGCTCCGTCTGGGACTACTTCCTCTCCCGCCGCCCCCAGTTCATCAACGACAAATACGACCCCGTCGTCGACGACAACGCTAAGGGCAAGGAACGCATGCTCTTCCCTGAACTCGACAACACCCGCTGGTGGTTCGAGCTCTTCGGCCGCACCAACGAGGAGATGAACGGCCCGCCCGTCACCGCGCAAGCTTCGTCGTCCTTCGCCCCGAGCGAGACGCAAGTGCATTCGGATGGTCCCCAGACCGTGCTTAGTGCCGTCGAGCGCTCGGAGCGGAATACTACGATGACCACGCTCGTCGACCCTGGCTCGCGACCCGCCTCACGACCGCGGACGCCCATACCGAAAGGCGACCGCGCGCCACCACCCCAACCCACTACCCACCTCGAATCAGAGAAGCCAGTCAGTCAGCGCAAAGAGACAACCCCCGTGCCGACCATCGACCCTGTCATCTCCGAGAAAGACCCCGAGCCTTTCACGGAAATCGACAGCAGCGGCGACAGCGACGAAGATCCGCTCGGGGGGTTGCCCGTGCAGAAAAACGAGGGGTCTGGGTCGTTGACGGCGGGGTTCGCGAAGCGGGGACGGTCGAAGAGTCCGCATGCGATTGAAGAGATGACGGTTATGGGGACGGAGGTGACGCGGTGAGGCGGGATGAGGTGGGAGGGCGCTTGCTTTATGGATACTACCAGGTGCATTGTGGGAGTGTGGCGTTTTGGTGGGGTATGGGATGGGGTGCTGGGTGGTGCATATCATTGCGAGACGAAATATGATTTCATTCTTTGATGCTCGATGGTGGTGTACTAAACAATGATCTAACGTGCATGGGGTAGGCAATACACGAGACGGCTTGCGGAGTATCCGTTTAATAGTCAAATTGTCGCCGTGGTCATTGATCATTTGTTCTCCACCGTTGACCTATTCCTTCAGTTCACAATCTCCCCACAAGAGCCATTTAATCATATCTCCCGTAGAAACTTCCAGAACTTCGGCGAGGCTATTCGTCAGACAGAGGACTGGCACAACACGCACATGTATCCCCATCGCCCGTCACCCCCTTAACCGCGACCTTCGAACTCGGAATCCGCAGCCTCGGACCAGCAGACTCCTCTAGCGTAAGTTCCTCCTGTCGCACAGATCTCAACCTCGTAACCGTCACCTCACCCATTACCTCCAAATCCGCGTCCGGCACATTTCCCCGGCCTTCCGGGGCGTCATAACATGACTCCCGTTTCTCCTCGGCGAGCTGGAACGCCGTCCGGTGTTTCCGCTCGGATGCGCGTTGGCGGCGCGAGACGACCAGCCAGGTTACCATTACGAAGATGGTGAGCATGATGGTGATGACACAGTAGAGCCAGAGCCATCGAGAAACGGTCGCGCCGCCACCGCCTACGCTTGACCCCTGGAAATTAAAGAATCCCGTGCTGAAGAACGTCTATTCATCGTGAGCTAGCCGGTATGCTTTAGTGGTCGGTCGGACGCTACTCACGGCGGTAAAAGTCGCGGGTAAGAACAATAAGGTTACGCCAGCGATGACCCGCATATCAGCACTATCGCGTCGCGTCAACGCGGCTACTTGGTTGGAGTCCTCGGCGATGGCCCGCATGGCGGCACTGTCGCGCTGCTGGGCGCAGACGACTTGTCGGGTCGCTTCGGCGGTTTGGGCGGCGATGCGGCTGTCGCGTTGGCTGATGAGGTTGTGAACCTGGGAGAGTGAGCGGTGGAGGGGAGATGAGGGAAGAGGTGTTGCACACCGTGGTAAGGAGGACTTTGACTTGTTGGATGGAGTAGCTACCTCGGCGGTGGAGTCCTTGTATCATGTCGAGGGCGGTTACGATTCGTTTTTGAAGGTCCTCGTTGTCCTGTATCGCCCTCGCCGTATGTAATTCCCTTGGAGCGAAGGAATGTTCTCGCTGCCCGATGGCCAATTTCTCCCCGAGCCCTTTCAAAAAGTCCAACGCATGTTCATCCCACGCCAACTCACCCCTTAACACCGTCAACCCATGCGTCAGCGGGTGCAAGTCCAGTTTGTCAAACTGCGCTTCGGTCGCCGGGATGCTCCAATGCAGCCCTGTGTCTTTTTGGATGGCGAGGATATCTAACGAACGGCCATGACATCGCCGAACTCGGGTCGCCAAAAAGGTTTCTAGCCATAGGATGGGGAGAAGCTCGGGGCATCCGGCGAGGTGCTTGGATTTTTCGAGCTCCTGCAATATGCTGCTTATTTGGTGCTGGCACATACCGACAGTGAAGCAAAAGGTTGTGAGGGTGGATGGATCATGGGTGATGACTATCGCGTGGGATGAGATGTTAGTTAGATAGCCTGAAGACATTAGTATGTGCTGTAGAAATTCAATGAGAAGTGCCAGTCCCCAATTACAAGGCCTGCATTCATGTCGTACCATGTCCTCCGCTTGGAGTGGTGAATGTCGTGGTGATCATAGTATTCGACCAGACGAAGGATAGAAAGGGGTCTGGGATCTGGAACTTTTTGGCAATGGCCATATAGGTTTCCCCTGAGAAGGGGAACGTCCCATCGAAAGAGCTGGCATTAAGACGATGCCCAGTGAGTCTTTCACAGAGGTCAGAGATCCGCAGCTCGCCTTGAGTAAGCAGTAATTACATGGCTTTGAGATTCCACTTGGTGCGGCCATTTTCTTCCTGAGGATTTCCCTCGACATTTATCTAGAGAAAGGCGTCAATGCTTGCTGGGTTTGAAATATGGGAGATGAGAGCACATCACACCTCGTGAAGCCACGGGATAAGTTCCTTTTCGCCTATATTTCGTTTCTCATATGTTACTCCAGAATCCTCCGTTGACCTTTGTCCCCGCTCCTTGAAAGCTGTCTGGCCTTGTATCGACACCACCCAGTGGCCATCTCTAGGGCTGAACATGTGCGGTTTGATAGACTCAGGGAGCGGATGATACATCATGTACAAACCAAGTCTCCAACACCAAACGAAACGATAAAAAAAACGAAGGAAGACGAATTAAGATCTGAACTTTTGACACTCGCTTTAGATTTGAATATAGATAGGCAACAAAGATATCTCGGCTGGATCGTGGAGGCTTGGAGCTGAGCCTCGTGGTGGCGCTTGCATGAAACAATATGCACCTCTTGCGCCGCTCAGGTTGTACAAAGTAAAAGGTACCCCAAGTAAATAGTTCTGGCGATACCGGTGTCACCCTGTTCGATACCTGTATGTATACCGGTAGGAGGTGTATGTTTCTTGATAGTGATAGACACTATTATGATCAGACTTTGGCATCCCATTGATCACGAGTCTTGCTTCAACAAGAGTTCCTAAACCATTATACGTTGGCGATAATCCGGAATACCTTCGATCAGTTTAAGAACGTGGAAGTACTTCGTATACCTACGTTTCGAATGTACGGTAGGTTTCAACGAGAGTCCCACGGTTACGATAGGGGTAATTATTAGATGTTGCAAAGTGAAATGGCTGGGAATTCCACCCTCTTCCCTTTCATCTTCCGCTATCTCCGGCCAGAAAAAGGATGACGTACATCACAAACAAGATCAACTTAATTTCCCACAGGCCCAATAACTAATGTTTCGACTTTCGATATCGAATCCTTCATGATTTTCGATAGTAGTGACAGTTCATACCTTAAAGAGGAATAAATGGTCAGCAGGTTCAACTCAACTGGTGCTTGTCGCTGGTGACCTTGGATCGTCCGTGACGCTATCCCAAAGCATCAAATCTCCGTGAACCTCATTTCCACAAGAGTTGTTTTGTATTGACTATTGCCTACGGAATACAGTATACATATCTTTGTAACTGTGCTGTCATCCATTTATTAGTCGATTCGTCTCATGTCCTCCTGCTCTAGAACTCGCTCTTGTCGCATATCTTGAATCATGGATAAGTTCCTGAACAAGGCTCGAGGGAAGATCACCGAACAGTTAAATAAACATATACCAGGGGACGGGCAACCCTTCTTTCGGCCAGATCAGGAGGGTTCAGCTGCTGGTCAGACAGCCATATCCACTTCCTGCAACCCTCTCCAACCTCCGACCGCTGAAGATTGCTTTCGTTATCGATATCAATATGGAACCAATCTCGGCTCCATCTTCGTCCTTGAGAAATGGCTTTCCGGCTCCATGTTTCCCGAAGGCGCCGAAGGGACTGCAGAGCTAGCCGCCGCAACAGCTCAATTGAAGCAAAAAGGGTTGTCCGGTGCTGTTCAGGCGTTTGAAAATCACTGGAGGACTGCACTGATAGACGAGGATCTGGACTGGTTGGCCAACGTGGCACATTGTACTCATGATAAGCCGTTACTATTTACGGACCGTATGCTAATCAATATTAGGCGCAACGATCCGTCTACCGATCGGATTCTGGGATCTAGGACCCGAGTTTTGCAAAGGCACACCCTTTGCAAACGTTGCGCAGGTCTACACCAGCGCTTGGGCATTTATCAAGAATACTGTTGCTCGCTGCCATGAGAGCGGCATCGGTGTGTTGATCGACGTCCATGGACTTCCAGGCGGAGCCAACGAGAATGAGCACTCGGGAACGAATAGCGGGAAAGCGGAGCTCTGGGGAAATCGGGCGTACCTAGAATTGTCAATCCGCTGCTTTGAGTTCATTGCCACGGAGGTTCGAAACGGTATGCGAGGCGTCATTGGTCTCCAGCTGTGTAACGAAGCGGAGCGAAACATCCCGGGGATGTACAAGTGGTATGACCGCTGCCTCCAAGCAGTCCAAAGGATTGATGCGACGATGCCGATCTACATCTCTGATGCATGGGATTTACCTCCTTGTATCGAATACTGCAAGAGGAAAAACGTTGCTGCGGCCCTAAACTCGAATCCCGTGTTCATCGATACGCATCTCTACTGGGCTTTTCATGATCCTGGAAGTCCTCAGCACGCTATACAAGACGTGTCGAACAAGCTCAGGGCGCTAGACGGTAAAGATGGGAATGTTATCGATGGTGGGGCTGTTCAAGCATTTGTGGGCGAGTACAGCTGTGTCCTCAATGAAGATACATGGAGTAAGTCTGGGGGTGAGACTAGGGAACATCTTGAGACCGGATTCGGTCGAGCACAGGTGCATCGATACGTGGAGCGGTCAGGTGGATGCACATTTTGGACCTATAAAATGGTATATCCTCCCCTTCAGCCTGCACCTGACTACGGGACGGGGCGTTTAACACAACCCAAACCAGACTGGAGTGCTATGCTGACTGGTAACAGGACTGGATGCAATGGGCCGGAGGCTGGGGATTCCGCTCACAAACTGACGCCGGGAACATCTCGTGTCCAGCGAATCTTAAACTATCCCATGATGACGTTCATTCTCGCCTATCCCGCGCTTTAGTAGACCGCAACGGAAAGCTTGAATCCGCCTTCAATTCCCACGTCACCTACTGGAGCCAGACATCGCCCGGCCAAGCCTTTGAACACTGGCGCTATCGCATTGGCTACGAGCATGGGTTTGATGACCTCACAGTGTTCTTTGGTATGCGCGCCAATGGACAGATCCCGTCGAGGGGTCCTCCGACTGGTGGAGATTTAATCGGGTGTCTGGACATGTGGGTGTTGAAGCGGATCAGAGATACAGGAACCGCAGGGCCATTTGCTTGGTTATATGAGCAAGGGTTTCGAAAGGGATATGAGGATTGTCGCCAGTCGCTAGGAGTGTAATAGATTTCACTGTGGGGCGGTATCTGATTTTTGAAACGAGAACCTGTATGGTTGGAAAGCATCTCCATGCTCTCCCTGTAGGATATGGAGATGCTAGTATGATGCTACCTTTCGTGTCCCATACGATCACTCTGTTTGCGAGCTCAGATGCCCTAGGAATTCACCTCCAGAGCTACATGATCCGTGATAATACATCACACGGATAGATCTTTAGATGATCAGTCAGTTCACTTGTCAGACCGCCTCACTGAACATTCACCAGGACCACGTTTCAACTCATAGTTCACCTCATCCCACTCTCCACCGCACATTATCATCACTTCCCATTCATAATCGCCTGTCACTCGCCCGCTTCACCAAACCACCCACAGGCCTTTAAGCACACAAACTTGGCCATGGCGGCGTCCTACTCCCTCTCAGAAAACGAGTCCAGAATCTGGTCCGCAACTGGGGACCTGAAGATAATCCTTTCACCTGGTGTTTCCGCCGTGCTGGATGAGTCCGTGGTGTATGCATACTCACCCGAGTTCCGCCGCCTGCTCGATGCCCCAGCCATGGAATCTACGCGGCCACCGAAGAAGAAGAGGAAGCATGGCATTCGTCATGTGTTTGAACTCCATGAAAGAGGTCGGGCTGGATGGCTGCAGCTGCGAGTATGTTCACTTAACTTTTAGTCAGTGCGGTACTGATGAGTGGGAACTGATACGCCATTAGGATCGTGAGAAGCGCAGAAAGATAGTGAGCGCGGCCATGGCGAAGGAAACGTCCGATGGCAATAAAACCGAGAGCTACTTGCAAAACTCATATCGCGCCGTGTTCAGGGCGATGTACGACCAGACAGACAGCAATATATTCGAGTACTCCTGTTTCGATTATCTCAAATTCCACCTCTTCGGTGACCAAGGCATCTTCGCAGTGGCGCTCCAGCTCGGCTGCCCGCGCATCTTGAAATACGCTGTCGAAGAAGCGTTGAAAGGCGAGAACGAACAGAAGTGGGCACGCGAAGCCGCCAAGGACCCCGTGAACTGGCTTCGCCTCGGCCTCCAACTCTACAGCATCTCCATCACGAAAGAAGCCATCCTCCACCTGGCCGGCCGAATCGCGCAACTTCACGCCCTACCTCCGAACGCCTTTCCCGAACCCGTCCTGCGGACTGTCTTTTCCATCTGCGATTATCTCCAGTCCTACCGGGCGGAGGTCGAAGCCGACGTGCAGAACTACGTCCGCAAGACGCTGCTGCCGCCACGCGTGAACAGCGGGTTCGTAGTGAAGTACAACAAGAACGATCTGGCGGATATTGGATTCGACTTGATTGCGTTCAGCGTGTTCGAGGAGTGGTGGCGGCTGACGAAGGTCAGAATGGCCCGCTTGGCTCGCGTAGCATGGCATGCGGCGATCGGGGACGAGAAGGTTGTCGTCGACGGCGCAATCCTCCGCATGATGATGAACGACGAGCCGGACGGGGGGTTTCAGTTTTACCACAGGCTGAAGAGCAATCCGGAGGAGAATCTCCTGCCGCGAGACCAGGTCGAGAGGCTCACCCGCAGATACCATGTAACTCCTAAAGCCGTCGGGATCATCTATCACAAGCTGGAGAACCTCAAGGCCGGGGTCCTCGATCTTTTCGGCGCGATTCTGAAGAATAGTAGCATCCTGAACAAGGTCGAGGCAGCCATGGATAAGAGTGATCCGCTAGAAGGCAAGGACTCTGTGGTCTCGCCGTACCTTCACTTTACCTGCATAGACCTCGCCGATGAGAGGGTTCGTGTCATCCTGGAGCAGTGTGAGGGATTTTCTTGGGACGAATCAATTCTAGAGAATGAGGAGGGGGTTCACTCCTGAGTGCTCATTGCTGGGAGGGAGGGTGAAAGCACAGTTGAACTTGAGCCGGGCATACTTAAATTTCCATACGGATGGTTCAAGCATCGCAACCTGCTGGATTCCGAGATTCGAGTTTTGCCGCCTTGGAGGATGGCGAGAACAGACCTTGGGAAGGGGCCGGACGCATAGTCAATATATCAACACAAAACATGATTTGGACCCAGACGGCTTCAGGATTGGATATTTTAATGAAACCTCGAATCAATTTCACTTGATTGATGGCTAATGCCAGATGTAATGACATAAAGCCCCTTGGTGCCGGCAGGTCCTTTCGATATCGACCCAGCCTTCGTACACTAAGTTAAGGTGGTGTTATATACATCGGTAGGTGTCGCGCGCGCGAAAAGGGAGGTCGCCGTAAACGCCATTATTCGGTTCATTGCATCGGTCGAATCACGGGTCGTCGTAGCCTTTCGGTATCCTCCTTGGCCCTGTTGGCACTGTATGATAGTCAGCATCGAGAAGAATCAACCTTTTGCCGAGCATAATGCAAGGCATTCTGATTCCGTACCTGGGTATGAATGTGGTATTTGCTCGATCTCAACATCTCCCATCCTAGCTCGAATTGGAGGCACGACGACCATCAGGGCCGGACCGACGGAGCCGATTGCAATGGCCCAGAAGTAGGCGGGCTTCTCGCGTGATGCCCATCGCATCAGCTTAAGCGGATTGTGCCAGAAGAATGGTCGAGACATCCTGTCGATATCAGGTGCTGCGCTGGTATGATAGCGACAATTGGACGTACCTGAGAGATATACCAGATGGCTCCTCGCACTCCCAGCACAGAGACACAATTGATTCACAATCAGCAATGGATGGAGTCGCAATTGGAAAGCGGAGGAAGGTGCAGTGGGATGAGGTGAAGTTGAAGCTCTGGGTGTGCCTGCCTGTGAGAGAATATAGCCGAAGAATCCCCGAAGTCCCCCTGTCTAGTCCGAGCTTCACATATTACACGTTGCCTCAAGCTTCCAGTTGGAAGCACAATTGATATAAACCACATCCATTCAGAAGCCGTGGTTTACGGGATTCGGTCAATCCATATGTCATGAAGTCCATATATACTTGGGCACTACTGGCCCTTTCGACCGCAGTAAATGCTCTCAGTTCAAGTGGCCAGCGACTGTTGGTGGTCCTGGAGGACGCGGAGTTGAAAGGGAAATACTCACAGTTCCTGGGTGACCTCGAATGTAACACCCCCAACACCTTCTGATGCACTGGTAACTTACTTGGAATGCAGCGAGAGGATACCAAATCAGTGTCGAATCACCAAAGAACGATGCTGTCACCCTATTCAAACACGGCGAGCTCGCCTACGACCACCTCATCCTCCTCCCCCCGAAATCAAAGGCCTACGGCCCAAACCTGACGCCCACCATCCTTCTGGAGTACCTCAAGAACGAAGGAAACATCCTCCTCCCCCTTTCCGCCAACACGGCCACCCCCACCGGCATCGTGTCCCTGCTCCTCGAACTCGACATCCACCTCCCGCCCGACCGCAACGCCCTCGTCGTCGACCACTTCAACTACGACACGCGCTCCGCCTCTGACAAGCACGATGTGCTCACCCTCCCCCGACCCGGCCCTCTCCGCCCTGATGCGAAGAACTACTTCGGTGGCGACGGACTCCTCGCCGTCCCCCGCGCCGTAGGCCAGACGCTCGGCAACGCCAGTCCTTTACTGGCGCCGATTCTGACGGCTCCAGCCACGTCGTACAGCTACAACCCCAAGGAGGACGGCGAGGCGGTCGAGGAGCTGTTCGCGACCGGGTCGCAGATGGCGCTGGCGACGGGGCTGCAGGCGCGCAACTCGGCGCGGTTGACGGTGCTCGGGTCGGCGGAGATGTTAGAGGATGGGTGGTTCGAGGCGCAGGTGCAGGCGCCGGGTGGGAAGAAGAGCAAGGCGGTCAACCGGGATTTCGCGAGGCAGATCACGGAGTGGACGTTTAAGGAGGTGGGCGTGCTGAAAGTTGGGAAACTGCAGCACTACTTGAACGAGGGGGCGAACAAGGGAGTGGATCCGGCGTCCATTGCGGAGTCGGAGCTGAATCCGAAGATTTATCGGATCAAGAACGATGTGGTAAGTTGCCCGTAGCATATTTCAGAAGGAGACCCTAACATCCACCAGACCTACACCATCGAGCTCTCCGAATACTCCCACGACCACTGGACCCCCTTCATCCCCCCCTCCAACGACGCCCTCCAACTCGAATTCACCATGCTCTCCCCCTTCCACCGTCTCCCCCTTACCCCCCTCGACACCACCGCAAACAGCACCCTCTTCGGCGCCGCCTTCACAACCCCCGACCAGCACGGCATCTTCAGCTTCCGCGTCAACTACAAGCGCCCCTTCCTGACCGCCGTCGACGAGAAGGACCAGGTCACGCTGCGCCACATGGCGCACGACGAGTGGCCGCGCAGCTGGCAGATTAGCGGCGCGTGGACGTGGATCGCGGGCGTATGGGTGACGGTGGGGGGTTGGTTGGCGTTCTTGGCGCTGTGGTTGTATAGTGCGCCGACGGATAAGAAGGGGGGCGTGAAGAAGAGGCAGTGATAGATGGGCGATGGGCGATGTGACGGGGTTTGATGCGTGCGATACAATAGCGCTGCGTGGATAAAAACTTATGAACCAGTAAGCGGGTTCCGGGATGTTTCGGGCGTGGATTTGTATATTACAATGAATTGGACTTTTGCTTTACGAGGATCCGTAGATTCGGATGGTCTGCATCGTCATTGGGACGATGAGAACCTGCTTCTGCGGTATACCGACCCTTTGTCCTCTTGCCTTGCTTTCCGAGCGCTTTATCCAGCATCTCCTCGTCCTAGTCATCACGGCCTTTGGCACGATACTCCTACCACCCGCATCGTCCCTGTCAACGTTTTGGTCTTCCTTCAAACAGCATTGCATGATCCACCCTTCCCACCTCGTCTCAGCGTTCTTCTCGCCACCCGCTTCTTTATAATCCTTAATTGAGCGTTATATCACGTAGAGTGCTTGGATTGGCAACGATGATACCAGCCCTCAGCCTGTTTATATAAATGTTTTACATCAGCATCGGTTCGAAACATCCATAAGGCCCGTCCAACAACCGATCACTGTACCACTCGACGTCAGATTGCAGAGAACGCTAGGTAGAAATTAAAGTTGTTCTGTTTACCTTCACAAGCACAGCCAAGCTTTCTCTTGGCGACACCCGTTCCAATGCTTGGCGCTCGTTCCTGTCCATCGGATCCGCTTTCGGAGCTGTGTGGGTTATGACTGCACAGTTTGAAGACAGGATTACCAATCAACCCAGGCTGTATATTGGTTTGGATGGTGTGACGGGGCTCGTATGCGTCATTGGATCTCTGGACGCTGCAACCCGATTTCGGGCACTGGAGTCTTGAGAGGCCCCGATGAGATACTTCGGTCACCATTGGACATGATGAGGCAAGGAGCTCCTCATGTGAACAGCAAATGCCATCCTTCGAGCGTTCGCGGTGGAAACAGGAAACTCCATCCAAACCTCAACGTTGAATCGCAAACTAGCAGTAGTATAGGGTCTTGCACGTCATCGAAATCTAACCAAATGAGGATCCAGCCGGAATTGTGCCATGTCCATCAGCCAATCGCTTGAATAAGACGATCCTGAGGGATTTAATATTGATATGGAGGGGAAAAGGAAAGGGGACAGTCTTGGGGAAAATCCCTGCAAATCAGAACTCCGTCGACGGCGCTTAGTCATCTAATATGGCTAATGTCGTCATTAGATCGAAATATATTGAATGGAGAGGGAATAGGCTACTTAGAAGATATATACACTAGGCAGTCTTGGGCGTTGATACACTCTCGAAGCAATCTAAGTACCTTCCTCTCGCAGTCTGGCTGTCCCAGTCCTTAGTCCTCCCATACAAGTGCCCATCGCCCCGTTCCGCATCGCCAGTCGCCAAGTGGTAATCCGTAGAGCCCGTTCGAGTGCGAATGGATCGGTTGGCTTGATGTCCTCTTGAAGTTGACTACGTTCTTTGTCAATGTTAAGACTTAAGGTGCACGAATTGATGTAAAAGGTTAAAGGACCAACCAGATCAGGCGATGATTAATTACCTGGTTAAGTTAAGGATTATTCCAACAAGAAGCGAACCCCCTAAGTTAACTTGGAAAGTTTTACACTCCTCGGGCGGGCCCTCCTCCCGGCCTCAGAGCTCACCATCAGTCATCATCTCATCATTCGTCCAATCCTTTTCCAGATCACTTTTGCCTCTGCCCCACACCCAAACACAGTCACCTATCTCAACGACGATGATGATTATGATCTTCTTCCTTTTCTATTTGAGTTCATAATGCACGAAGAGTCATATTGTTCAACCTCTCATCCATCCCGCCTGTCAGTTGCTAAATGCCCCCAATTCCACCCTGCATCCCACCGCCGCGCTCCCCCGCTTCGCCTATTCGGATTTAAATCTATCGCCGTTCACCCTGGTCCCGGCCCTCGACCAATTAACTTCCTCAGTTCCTCAAGTCGTATCGTCGAGCCCCGAACTCCCAGCGTCCTCGACACGAAACCTGGACGGGCTACTGTACACGTCCCCTCCGCCTCTGCCGTATCGGTCGTTCTAACGGGCGCTACGCAAGTACTTAGCCAACGGCAACTTGCTCTCGCTTCCCTCATCCCTCGTTCTTAGAGTTTAGACATCTTCTCCTCAGGTACCCGTACCTCCCATACCGGATTCGTGCCTCGAATTGGACGATTCCTGACCGCCCATACCCCGCCCATTGCGCTTGGCCGATATCACCTAAGAACCGCTCGTGTGACTGCTGCATGACTTCACTATGGACGGCACTACCCCTCCACCGGCCTCCAACGACGATAGAAACCTTAAAGTAGAGGTCGAGGCCGATGATGCGCTGGAATCCCACCCCTACCATGTAGATGGCGATGGAGCGGACACTCCGACCCAGGCGCAAACGCCGACTCAGGGATCGCCGACAGTAGACCATGTCGACGGCGCAAAGCCTGCGATTCCGCTGCAGAAGAGACGGAGAGTCACAAGAGCATGCGACGAATGTCGCCGAAAGAAAATTAAATGCGATGGGAAGCAGCCATGCACGCATTGCCAGGTGTATTCATACGGTAATCCTCCGTTCCGCATCGAGCTGCACGCCAATTGCTAATATATCATAGAATGTACGTACGACCAGCCGTCGAATCGCAGAAGAAATGCCGCGCCGCAATACATCGAGGCCCTGGAATCCAAGCTGAAGCGCGCGGAGGCGCTTCTCCGCGTCGTTCTTCCCAACGTTGACCTGAACGACCCGAATCTGGACAACGTCTTGCTACAAGGCCAGCCCAGCGCCATGGTCCACGGCCACGCCCGGCAATTCTCCCCGGCCGACTCCTCCGACGCGCCGCCCCCTTCCGTACCCACGGAACCTGAGCTCGACTCGATGCTGAAAGCCGCGGCGCGACTAGACCTGGATGAGCAGGGCCACTGGGACTACCACGGCGACTCGTCCGGTATCTCGTTCATGGCGAAGATGCGGGAACACCTGAAAGGGTGGCTGGGTACCGAAGCGATCCCGCCAAACATCCGGCGACCGCGGCCGATGAGCCAGGTGTTTGAGTCGCCGAAGTCGACCCACGATTCGCCGCTCGAGAGCCCGATGCCGCTGTCGGATCTCCCGCCGAGGGAGGTGGCGCTGTCGTTGTGCGACTTGGCAGTCAATGATGCGACGTCGTTGCTGCGGTTTGTGCATTGGCCGAGTTTCGTGAAGTCGCTGGATAAGATTTATGATCCGCAGCCGGCGGGTTATGGAAATGAGGAGAATACGTTCCTGCCGTTGCTGTATGCGGTGATGGCGTTCGCGTCACTATATTCCAGAGATGAGGACTCGGAACTGGTCTCGAAGGGCTATGACTTTGCAATAGACAATGGGTACGAAGTTTCGTCCACAGTTGAAAGATTTTACTAACGAGAACAGTTTCAAATACTATCGAGCGTCTCGCCAACTTTTGGACATCGCGGACTGCCGAGACCTACAGTCCTTGCAAGCCATCCTATTCATGATTCTTTTCCTCCAATCCTCCGCTAAATTGTCGACTTGCTATTCCTTCATCGGCGTTGCGCTCCGCTCCGCCTTACGAATGGGCCTTCACCGATCCTTCCAAGCGAACTTCAACCCCATCGAAGCCGAAGTGAGGAAACGCGTCTTTTCGGTGATCCAGCGTATGGATATGTATGTCGGCGCATTGTTGGGGCTCCCTCACCTGCTCAACGACGAAGATGTCGATCAAGATCTCCCGGTGGAAGTCGACGATGAATATATTACCGAGAATGGCATCATGCCGATGCCGGAGGGCACGGTATCCGTTATCGCCGCGGGAAATCAACATACCAAACTCTGCACGCTATTAGGAAAGGTAGTCAGATATATCTACCCGTTAAAGGGTGAGCAGAGTACTCAAGGTGGGGCACCCGTCAAGTCATACCGAGTACCATTTGCCCGCATACGGGAGATCGAAGCGGATCTGCAGGACTGGATGGAACAGCTGCCTATGGGATTAAGACCGGGCGGAGAGGCCCCGGAACGTATCCTCCGGTATGCTATCTTTCCATCAATTCCCACTCTTCAATGCTGACCCAAAACAGCCTCCAACAAGCGCTTCGACTTTCCTATGCCCATACGCAGATGATGTTATACCGACCGTTCTTACACTATGTCTCCCACACCTGCAAGTCCGGCGTAGTCGACAAACGATCCTTCGCCTGTGCCGCCGCATGCGTCAGCGTGTCCCGCAACATCATCCACATCACCATCGAAATGAAACGTCGCCACCTTCTGATCGGCGCGTACTGGTTCCAGATGTACACGACATTCTTTGCGATCCTCTCGCTCATTTTCTATGCGCTGGAGAATCCCGATGGCGGGAACAGCCGGGAGTTGCTGAAGGATGCGCGGCAGGGGAAGGATACGCTGGAATCGTTGGCGAAGAGGTCGATGGCGGCGGATCGGTGCTCACAGGGGCTCAAGGTTCGTAGCGGGTTGATTCGGTTGGCCATGTTCGTCGCTAATGTTCGTCAGGGACTCTTTGAAAATCTGCCGGAAAATCTCAAACGCGGTCGCCGCCAAGCGAGTGCGATGCGCAAGCGCCGTCACGACATATCGCCCAAGACTGCTGCGGAGTCGCAGCGCCCTGTCAGCTCATCGGCTCTCGGGGAAGCGGACGCGCTGAATCATACCGGGACACCGCACTTCAACCACACGCAACCCATTCGCGCGAGCACGTTCCCCCACTTTTCGGACCTCCAAGATTCCACCGTCGACAAACCGCACGCGCCCAACCCAAACATGTACAACAGCCCCGCCGCAACCCCCTTCCTCGACACCTCCTCATCCAACTTCAACGTCCCCTCCCAACCCACCAACACCACCGCCAGCACGCCCCTCAACACCCCCGGCGTCGCCTACACCCCCCAAGAGGGCACCAACTCCTACCCAATCAGCCCCATGACCAGCACCTTCCCCGACACCGGCACCCCCTTCTCCCCCGACGCCTCGCAGGCCCCCAACCCCGCCCTCCCCGACTTCTCCTCCATGATGTTCCCCACCAGCGACCCCTTCGCCTACCCCAGCCAGAACCTCAGCGTTCTGCCCCCGAGCCAGTTCGGCGACTTCATGGGCGACAACTTCAACTCGCCGAACACGAACTATATGAACTTCACCGGGCAGCCTACAGCGAATGGAAATCCAGGCGGCGCGGAGAATCCGCAACAACCGTCGCAGCAACAACAGTACCCGGATCGAAATCAAACGATGCAGCAATCCGACGACCCCGACCAAAAACCTGACCCCGCCAACCTCGATGTCCAGCTCTTCGGCCCCATGCCCATGTACCTCATGCAAGGCACCTCCAACTCCGCCGCTGGGCCCAATCATCCGCGCTTACACACCCAACAAACCTCACAAGGACAGAAAACGGGGATGTCGACACCGATGCTCGAGCCCGGGTTCGGGGAGCGGGGCGCACAGAGCGGCGGGGTGCTGGACGGGGGTTTTGGGGCGGGGTTTAAGATTGATGATATTTTTGGAGGGGAGGAGTGGGCAGGGTTGAATATGTTTGATTCGGGGGCTGGGGGAGGTGGGGGGGGGAATGGGAATGGGGGTGCGAATGCGAATGCGAATGCGATGAGGAGTGGGAATGGGGGGGAGTGGATGACTATGTGAGAGGAGGAAGGGGCGTGGGAAATATGACGGGATGATATGGGAGAGATGGATGATGTGTGACGTATATAGATGGAGTCAGATCGCTTTGCGGGTGGCATTTTTCAAAAGGGGTCAACTGGATAGGGATCGGGATGATACCCTCTATGACGGAGTACTGGATTAGCGGAGCTAGAAAAATATCAGTGCTGCTATCTCGTCTGGCTGTTTGGTTGGCATCGTGGTTCGTCTGGCACTTGTAGGCTTGGAAGTACCCTTTGCGATATGGTGAAAAACGTGACATGTCACAATATCTGGGGTCGAAGGGATGGATGGTCTTTCACCGAAGGCATCCTCCAGCATACGTAACTGGGGTCGGGACTATATCTGTCGACTTATCTACCATTCAAAAGGGGTGTAGAACGGGAATGTCATATTGTCTGGCGAGGCGGAACGAACGCCACGATCAAACGCTTCCGACGCCCTGTGGGTATGCTCCCCTGAGGCTCGAAATTAAAGCTGAAAAAGCCGGAGAGGTTCCTCTTTTGGTGGAGCGGATTCTGTGATATTTGAATACCTAGGTAGGTTCCTAATTCGCCTTGCCACACCAGCCAGTGGAACGGTGTTCAGTCCGCCTCCCGCCCTGGCCTTCCTTCCTCCGGTTGGACCGCCACTTTAATCCCATGGGATGAGGCAAGGCTCAGAGCCAGTGAGCAGTACCATCCCATAGGTGCCAGGGGAGGATGATATTGTGAATCAGTACCCCTGTTGGGGAATAGAATGATTGAATATAAGACTGTAGAATGCTCTTGTTCTTCCACACTGATGATTTCCCCGCCAAGCGCCTTCGGGCGTTAAACTACAGTAATCTCCTCGAGGATTCGCTTCCCTTCTTTGAGCTCCTCCATCGCCTCCCCAAGCATGATCCCATGCACGTAACAATCTCCCACCATATTATACGTCCCCTCCGTTCGCGGTCGAAATGTGAGGGGTGCTCCCATTCCGGGAACGACGGCGCACACATCGCCTGGCTGAGAAAACAAAGGGACAAGGGCGAGATAGCCGGAACTGGTGATGGCCACTCGTCGGTTGTAGTTACGCCCTAGTATTGTGGTTCCAAGATAGGCCAGAGATGTGTCTATTGGGGGATCGGCCATAATATCGCCAGAGTTGGCTTTTCTTCGCGCGTATTGTAGATATGCTCTGAGGATTTGGTCGTTGGTTGCACCAACTCGGTCAGAGTTGCACCAGTTATACTGGTGCATCATTGTGATACCGAAGATTTCGGGCAAGTTGGAGGAAGAGAACTCGTGAGAGGAACAAGCTTCCACGACCTGGTCGCAGAGTTGATCATAGGGCGGTCTAGCGCGGCCCGATGCACCTATTTCCTCATCCCACTCGTTTGGATCGAGGCTCATATGGTGGCGTTCAATAACTTCAGAAGTCCACACGAGGTGATCAACGAGGATACAGGGAAGCCGGAGTGACCTATCGCTCTGCGTCCATGCGTGAAACTCAGACTCATCGGCTATCCCTGCACAGTACCCGCTATCACAGCCTCCGACGGGACAATGCCCAGTCCCTAGATCCCAACGAGGCACCCAGGATGGGAAGGTATAGTGATTCTCGTAGGGCCAGGTTCGGTGGTGGTCGACAAAAACTAGAACAAACCGAGCTTCTCTGGGATGAGCAAGCAATGCGCATGCGATTTCAAAGTAGACGTCTTCCATCGATTTTCTGTAATCTGGCTTGATAAGCAGCCGGTTCCCTGTGCTGTCCAACGCCAGGGGACTACCGAGAAATCCATATACTCGGTCTACATCTTTCGATGTGTATAAATCTCTTCCGGCATCCAACATGGTCAGGAATAGGTCATTTTCCCTCTGTTCTTGATGTGTGAATACTCTTATGAGCGGCAGAGAGACCTTCCAACCTTGCCTGTTCCTGTACGAACAGCATATATGAAAGGAATTAGCCACAAATCCCATGCGGAAACCAACCAATTCTCTTAAATCAGCCACAATCACTATCCAAAGAGCAAGTTCGCATATCTCAGCTAAATTGATAGAATTTCTGCCCCAAAAGAGTCGGCATTTCGACCCAAGCGCCACCTCTTGTATAACCCAGAGTCTTGTAAACCAAGGTGAGAGTCTCAACACTTTGACTGACTCCCAGCGTTTACGGTCTTTACAGACCGTAAACGCCGGATCATCGGGGCTCGGAATATTGGGTAGTATACCAGTTTCGCCACACCAACGGCCATAAAACCTGTTCGTCTCCTGTACGAGAGAGAAGCAATCTTCGGCCATGCAATCCTCGTCCTTGCCGATAAAGACCAGAACGCATTTGGCATTGGAATATACGCTCCCCATTCTCTTCACCTGGTCGCCTTTTTCCAGATCATTGTTTTGATCAATGCAGAGAGCATCTACCCACAACAGCTTCTTGTTCCCGGGGTCTCGGAAGACCCGTAGAGCATCGGCGAGGTTGTTCGTGATCTGCACGGGTTTCGAATCGCAAATGATTTCGACGGTGTCATTAGGGTCTCCCCAGGCATATGATATTGCGTCGTAGCTGGGAGTTTCGTGATCCTCTTCTCTGCGCACTAGGAGAAGCTGCCCACATAATGGTTCGGTCTCGCTCCCTGGGAAGAGCTCGAGGATTCGGATATAGTCTGAGCTCGGAAGGGGTTCATAAGACATAGGCGTATAACGACACGACGTAAAGCGATCGAAATGGAGACAGCGACAAAAATTCAAAACTCAGATGATTAAAGAAATCGACTTAGATAGACTTCATGACAGAACAAAGCGGGGCGCGGAACAAAAGACGGCAGACACCGGCGAGGCGGAGTTGATGTATTCGTGGCTTTGCATATTAGCGCAACATCGTGATCCACAGGGAATGCGACTACCCCAAAAGGGGTATGTAAATGGGAAGATCTTACAATCATCATTCATCAGTCAATTCATTCAATTAGAGAGTGAAGATGCATGAGATGTTGACAGATAATTCGGCCTGATGCCACGATATCGTCGGCAACGGTGTCAAGAAGAGATATTGGTGCCTAATTCGATTCGATTGATTCTCTAAGGCGACGAGGCGCAAATCCCCCCCCCAAATGACGTAATGTCTCTCTCGCAGACCGTTCGCATATTGTCGGGTGCCATACACATTCTGCAACATTTCCAAAGCCATAACTACGGGTACCTCTACTCTTTCCTTTTCCTGTCCTTGAAACGGCTATATTATAGTCTACTTAAAGACAACGAATTCCAAACCCACCCATCATCTCCGTTCCGACCTCCCGAACCACCCTCCACCGCAACCATGCCACCTATCCCTATATACGCCGACGCACCCATCAATCCCTCCGCACCCACTCCCCAATCCTCCACCTCCTCCACCTCCTCCACCTCTCAAACTCCCTCCGAACCCGCCTCCAATCCCGCCGCAACCACAACCATCACACCCCCTCGGACCCGCGTCACCGCCCCAGCCTACAACCCCACCGATCCCGCACCACCCCAACCCGGCGCCCTTCCCGTCCCCCATCCCACTGCTCCTCCAACAACCGCCCCCTCTCTTCCCCCACCACCACAACCCTGCGCCATCCCCTCCGAACTCACCCCTTCCTCGCACCCCGAACCCCCCGCGCCGACCGCCCCTCCCCAACCGCACCATCCCCTCCCCCCACAAATGTCCATTCCCCCCCTACAAGCACCCCTCGCCCCCACGAAATCCACCATCCCCTTAACCAGCCACTCCGCGCCGCCGCCGAACCTCGCGAACCCGCCGGGATATCAGCAGAATGTGTACGCGGGGACGCTGATGGCGGAGACGCAGGGCGGGGGGGGGTTGCCGTCGGGAGGGGGAAATGAGACGGCGGGAAGTGGTGGAGGGGGAGGAGAGGGGGTGATGGAGAGGGCCAAGGGATTGTTGGGGGGGGCGGGAAGGTCGTTGGCGGAGGGGGAGAGGAGGGTTTGGGAGTGGGTGAATGGGAAGCAGGGGTAGGGTGGGTGGTATGGCTTAACAGAGCAGCAAGGGAGTTGAATTAATGAAGTGTAGCATTGCTATCAGGAGTTCTATTATACTAGATACCGTAAACGAATGAATGGAACCTATCCCATTTTGAGTACCGCAATGTTGCCCATTTTGTCTAGCCGGCCCGATCGCCATGAACCGTAAATGAATCGTAAATAAAGCCGTGAAATCAATCCCTAATACCCGTCCAGCATGGCCGTCAAATTCCCGGAGGCGTGTCACTGATCGATGACTATGACCACGTGACGCCCCCAGCTCCATGCGAACCGAGAAATCCATCGCTAAATTTCGTCCAGAAAAAACATAAGTAAGCCGCCCAGCCGAGCTGAGCGACTTCGTCAATTTGAGTAGATCCATCACCCACTTCCCTCCACCTCCGCTCCCCCGATCAAACTCCCCCCAAACCCGAGGATCCTCACCGTCCCGTCCTCTCCACCGGACACCAGCGCATCATCGCTAATCGCTACGCATGTCACTGGCGCCTCATGGCCGCCGTACGTACGCTCGCAGTTCCCCGTGCGCGGATCCCAGACCTTCACCATGCGGTCCTCGCTGCCAGTGACAATGCGTAGGGAATTGCCGGCGAGGGCCCAGACGCCTTCGAGGTGGCCGAAGAATTTCTTGAGGGGGAGGCCCAGGGAGACGTCCCAGAGGCAGATAGTGGAGTCGAGGGAGGAGGTAAGCATGTAGCGGGGG